ACGCGGCAAAGAGAATTGCTGGAGGCACCGCGCGTTAGTTTCGTCCTTGTTTGGCTTGCCGCTACTTCCCTGTCTCTCATCACCGCACCCCTTGTCGAACCCCGGTACTTCATCATCCCGTGGGTTATGTGGCGTGTGCATCTTCCTCCTCTGCCATGTCTGTTCAGGGACCGAGAGACTCGCCCCCGCACGGAAGAAGCTAAGCGCCGCTCTGACCTCATTATCAACTCACCAAAGTTCGTGGAGACGGTTTGGTTCTTGATCATTAATTTGATCACCGGGTATGTCTTCCTGTACAAGGGCTTTGAGTGGCCGCAGGAGCCTGGGAAGACTCAGCGTTTCATGTGGTGATCTTTCTGCTTGTTTTCTCTCTATGTTCCTTTTGACATGCCTTGGTTTGGTCGCTTGTACAATACATGTAGAAATTTAAATTTGCTTGATTACTCTTCTAAAAGCCATTGAGTTTTGTTGTGGTCTGTTATTACATCCGCCTTGGTATAGCATATATCCAAGGCAAGCTTCATCATCGTTCGAGGTGACTGTAAATTGTAGATCGTATCTTTGATAAAGAAAAGAGTGATACCTACATGTCCCGTATTCCAATACATCATATACCGAACAAGAAAAGCGACACCCTTCCCTCTCCATCGTTAATTATGTCTACTGCTGGCCCTTCCAGGCGATATATTTGCGGTAAATATCACGGCGGAAGGTTTGCTTTAGCTCGGCCACCAAGTCTCCATCGACCGGCAACGCTGCCTGGATGGCACCGACGCCACAAAGGTTGTTCTTTCGATCAATAAACCAAGTAAGCGTCAAGCCACCACCCCAAGTCAACGTCCGCTCGCCATACCAGCCATCAACATCCTCAAGCGTCAGCAAACCGCCCAAACCATAGCCAACCTTCAATTCCGGATCTGTTCCAACGCGGAAGAAGGGCCCGAGAGGACTCGCCAGCGTAGCTTGCTGGCCTGCCGCCGCTTCAGGGCCAAGGTGTTGCTGGAACATATTGTCAACGGTATTGGCATTGAGTAACTTGCCATCATTCGCCAGCAGCGAACGCAGAATCTTAACAAAATCCAAGCCGGGCAAGAACAGCCCATGACCACCAAAGGCACCACGGCCCCGCAAGTTCATCTCGCCGCCACCGCCGAGTACAGCAGTACCAACAGCACCGGGGTCATCGGGGTTGAGGTCGACGAGACGGGCTCGCAGGTCCTCACGGGTAACAGGATAGAACTGAGCATCTGCGATACCAAGCGGATCAAAGATACGCTTCTGCATGAATTCCAGCAGCGTGCCGCCAGTGACGCGCTCCACCACACGACCAGCCCAGTCAAGACCGGGCCCGTACATCCAGCCGGCACCGGGCTGGAACGTGAGCGGGTAGGTGAACATCTCCTCGACGAGACGAGGGTCTTCATTCTCAGGATTGCCAAACTGCGTGCGCCACTTGGCGACGATCGGGTTCAGGAAGTGGTAGGCGGTGCCGGAGCTGTGTGTGAGCAGCATTTTGAGGGTGATAGGGCGGGCTGGTGGGTCGAGCTGAGGGCTTCCATCGTCGGCAAAGCCAGTGAGAACATGCTTCGCAGCGAGCTCTGGGGCGATGGACGACAGGTCGCCGTCTAGACTTAGTAGGCCGTCTTCGACGCACTGTAGGGCGGCGATAGTTGTGACCAATTTGGTGGCTGAGGCTAGGTACAGCACGTCATCGAGCCGCTGTGGCTGCTTCTCGCCTGAGAGTAGAGTGCGCTCTCCGATTGCCTTGTTGTAGACGAAATGGCCTTCGGCATCAGTGGCACAGATTACAGCGCCATTGATCTTGCCGGCGTCGATGGCGGATTGGAAACTAGCGTCCATTTTTTTGGGATAAAACGATACTGATGCAGAGATGTACCTATTTAGCAGGAGGAAGATTTAAATAATAATCAGCTATATACGGAGTACAAAATATGGAGAGAGTCTCAATTCGGCGTCTGTTTTGGACGCTCGGGCTCTATTTTTGGCCTAGTATGGCTGCATGGGCACAACAGACGAAACAGGCAGGCGGTCTGATTACGCCATAATTGCCCACCAATCATATCACCCAACAAATAGGCGGTGAGTTTCTACCAGGAAGTGGGGTTATATTGAACTCGCAGGATGATCTTCCGCCCTCCGGGGCATATGGTCAACTGAAAATATACAGAGAAGATTAGCATGGCCCCTGCACTAAGGATGACACGCATAATCAAAGAGAAGCACCTATTTTTTTTTTCTTTACGCGACCTTGATTAAAGTGGTAGAATACGGGCTTTTTGTGCATATTATTATACTACATATGTATTTATGTCGCGTAGACGTCACGTGCTATCGCCGTTCGACTCCCCACGTTGTCGCGATCTGACCGCCTACATTATTCCTCCCGGGTTAACTATTATTCCGGGATTGGATTACTTCAATGAGTATTCTAGTTCCCCAAGACATACTGGTTAAGATACTTTTGCGGCAACATTTTGAGTAGGAGAATAAGGCCGAATATCACAATTTATGCTGCGAAAGCAGCGTTTTCACATACGAGTACAACACATGGGGTCTGTTTTAGAATAAGGTTGTGATATGTGGGTCCGCTAAAAGGATCGAACCAAGCGGGCTAGAGTCTAATTAGATTTACATGAGGTTAAGGTATTACCCAGACAATAATTCGGGTGCTGCAGGGTCAAGTTCATAATCAGGTGGTACTGACTATGTGCTGCTGGGAATCTATACTATCCTCACCCCCATCTCGGGGACACTGCTTCTTTTTTTTTTTTTTTTTCTTTTTTGTTTAGTGTCCAATTTTGGTTTTATCAGTATTGGCACAGTTCACTCGAAAAGATTGACAGCCAAGATTCATGATTGTAGTTCTTCAACGAATGTAGAGTTATTGCTTCATTGACATAGAACATAGATTGGATATTCTCTCAAGATCGTACTTGTACTTGTTAATAACATACTTTTACACTCCCTTGAATGTTATTGGAACTGTTCTCATATTTCCAAAACTTCATAACAGAATAGTCATTAACATGCAAAACCCAACAGTAAATCTATTTTTTGACGCAAATGAAACGGAAGGATCCACGGGTATTTGTGTCCATCTAGTCTTCATCCATCGACTCCCAGCCATCACCACCACGAGGCTCACCCTCATCACCCTCCTCCTCCTCAGAATCATCAGACTCGTCATTATCAGCATTGATACCAACAGTGCGCTCCTGGACATCACCAGCAAGGTCAGGCAGACGAGACACAAACGCACGACGGACAGCGCCGTTAGTCGAAGCATCCCAGATCTGCACATTACCCTTGCTACCAGCAACCGCCAACCGGAAGCTGACCTCCTGGTCGGGGGCGAAGGTAGTAGAGAACACCTTGCCAACCTCGAGCTTGCGCGTGACAACCAGAGTGGGCTTGTCATTCTCGACGCTCCACAGCTTGACGGTCTTGTCTGTTGAGCCGGTCACCAGGAAGCCAGGGATGGAGCGGTTGATGTCGAAGGATGAAACGGAGGAGTCGTGTGCTTGCAGAGACCAGACGGGCTTGGACTCGGCAGGGGTGGCGGGGACATTGCGCATGTCGTAGCGGTAGACCATGCCACCGTCGGTGGTAACGTAGAAGAAGTTCGTGTCGTGCGAGTCCCAGCGAACACACTCAACGTCAGCGTCGACGCCCCAGCGCGCCTGGGCGTCAGGTGCACGCATGTCTGCTGCCACTACGGTGCGGTCGTAACTGCCGCTCAGCAGGATAGTGGACTCGGTTGGGTGCCAGTCTAGTGAGCAGACCTTGTCCTTGTGGTTGGAGTAGGACTTGGCGCAGGTGGCGGTATTGAGATCCCAGAGCTTGACGGTCTTATCGGCTGAGGCGGAGGCAAGTAGGTTGCGGTGCTGACGGTTGGCGGCCAGCGCCAGGACGGCATCAATGTGGTACTCGTCGTTGGCTTTAGCCTTCTTCTTTTGCTTCTTCTTGGTCTTTTCGACGTCCTGGCCACCCTGTCCGAGAATCGCGTTGGGGTACATGCAGTCCACGACATCCAGATCCCAGATCTCGATATCGGGCTCCATGGTTCCGATAGCCACGAAGTTTCCCTGTGTCCGACCTTCTGGATTCTTGCCAACGGGAATATCAAGCCACTCTGTGCAAAGCGGGATGCCGGGCAGCATGATGTCGTGGTGCACATAGAGGTTGTCCGCTTTGTCTTCGTAGACGTAGACCTCCAAGTGCGCAACTTCGTCCTCCACCTTTCCGGCCAATAGAAGGTTGTCGTGGGGCATAATCTGGAGCTCCTCGCGTTCGTCATCATCCTCGTCCTCGGGGATCACAAGGTACGGGTCTTCCTCGTTGGGCTGGTGGTAGGCCAGGGATTGAACATTGCCGAACATGGTGACCTTCTCGCCGTCATCATCGATCTCCTCCTTGTCGTAGTTATCCATGTCGAATTCCTTCAACACATCATCATCGCTGTTAAACCCGATTAGCACAGTTAAACCCTCATTGCGATCAATACTGCTCACTTCTTTGAATCGGTACCCTTGACTGAGGTCTTCTCCTCAGTATCGTCTTCCATAGCATCATCACCCTCATCTCCTGAACCATCCTGGGCAGCATTCATATCGTCCTTCGCATCCTCAAGCTGCATGCGCGCAAGCTTAGATATACGGCCCATCTCGGCCTCATCAATCTCATATTTGGTAGGGAACTGGGCAGCGACACCGCGCCTCACCCATGTCGTAGTTGTAATCATAGAAGACATTGTGAAAGTGTTGTGACAAAACTGATCACACCCGTCCACTTTTTTTATCGGCGATATTTTTTTTTATCGATGTGCCTGAGGGGCTGTCCGCCCGGCAGAATCTGGCCGATCTCCTTACCGCCCGGGCGTTTTGCGGAACCGCGATGTTCTTGCTTTGCGTTGATCGTACGATTGAACTTGCAATTGTCTTTCAAGTTGTTCTGCTGTTCAGCCTAGTACCACTGCAACCATGCATTCTCACCTCCACACATCCTACAATGCCAGTACGTCGAGTCCACCACACCCGGAAGATCCATCTAGCCATCCCATCCCGCTTTATAATTGCCCATACTGACTGATATCGCACAGATTGCGAAGAGATCATGACTGCTCTTGATGAGTGTCACGCCAAGGGATTCCTACACAAAGCCATGGGAAGCTGCAACGATATCAAGCGCGATGTGAACAAATGCCTCTCCGGAGAGCGATTTGAGCGCGCAAAACGCAACCGGGACGAGGCGCGCAGCAACCGCCGGCGTGTTGAGGAGATCTGGGCTAAAGAGCGCGAGCTTGATCAGGGGCCTACGGTGGCGGCTACTGCGGCAGCGAATGTTGCGGCGGCTAATACCGGTGCTGCGAAGCAATAGACTGTGCTGTGAGATGAGCTTATGCCTCATGTTTGGAACTGGAGTTCGGAGTGTGCTTTTTATGGCTATTCTTTGATTTGCCTCATACCTGAAAAGACAGCACCGCTGCTTGGTATTAGTGGCAGCCTTCCGCATACCCCCGAGATTGCAACTCAACTGGGATATATTCCCACGAGAATGCAGGGGACAGGCAAACCGAGGGCAAATTATCTCCTCTCATTTCATCGGGGAAGAATACTTGTACGATATCTGAACATGTAAATATACATACGGCCGACTGGCCTTCGCTGTGTCTTCTTTTCCGTGTTTTATCTGGCACCAATGCCGATGACTTGACCTAGAATGTACTGAAGATTACAGGATTTCTTGAATGATATCAGATGTACATTACTATTCTATACATCAGCTGAACTTTTAGATATAACCCATCCGATCTGAACGCCGCGCCCTAGGAGTGAAATAAGGTTGAGAATGCATGCAATGATAACCAGCATCATGAGTCGCCTATGCCGTAAAGATTCAATCAAGCGTCAACCTCCATAGCCTCATTAGGCTCGGCGGCCTCGTCGAAGTCTTCACGAGGACCACTCTTAGCATGACGACGTTTCCTCTTAGGCTTGGCCGCGGCAGCATCATCACCATCATGTTGTTCAGTAGCATCTGCGACATCAACCTCCTTCCGGACAGGCTTATCCTTCTTCGGTGCAGGCGCATCAGTCTTCTTCTTAGCCTTCTTGACACTGAGAGGATTAGGCGCCTTAACCTTAGGACCGCGCTTCTTCTTAGGTTCCGCGTCATCAGCACTCTCGCCATCAGCTTCGCCATCTCTCTTGCGCTTGCCCAGCATAGGATCCACATCCAATCCAGCGCGGAACTTCCCACGCTCATGACCATCCCGCACCATCTCGGATGGGCCGCTCATCGGCTCGAGGACCATGACCGAGCGCTTGACGTAGATGATGGGAACACCGGGAATGGAGCGGGCACCGGCGCGCAATGTGCGAGAACGGCGCATAGCTTCCTCTTCTTTACGATCCTCCTCTGTCTTCCGTCTGCGGGGCTGGTTCTCGCTATTGTTTGCCTTTCTCAAGATTGGATCCGCGCATGCGAGAATGTAGTGCTCCTTGTTCTTCTTTGAGTCTGCGTTGGGTGAAAGCAGCGAGAGGAGACACTCGATTTCGTCGATGGGCGTGGAGTCCGCGTTGTGCGAGCAGTGGCGGAGCGGGAGTTCTGTGGGCGGGGGGAGGAAGAGAGGTCTGTATGGCTTTTCGGTTTTGGGGTTGATGGGTTGTGCGGCCATGATAGCGGCGAGCGAGCACTTTGTCAATACTGCGAGATGGTTAGTTGGGATGCGTCTTGGCGGATGGGGACTTCGGTGTTCGGTGCGACTCACGAGGCTTGACCTTGCCTTGGACTGTTCGTTCAAGTGCAGGAATTAGCTCCATCCTGAAGACGTCGGTGGCGCGAAGGAAATTCGAGTCAACTGTTCGAGCGCAAGTTAGTACTGTACATCAGAACATTGCATTGAATGGAACATACCTAGGACCTGGTAGGCCTCTCGGAAACCGAAAGTCAGCTCATACTGGTGCATAAGCTTGCGATACTTCTTTGAACGTTTGGCCCTCATTGTGAATGGTGAGTATCAAGTATTTGAAGATTGAATGCAGCAAAAGACGTGAGCTTCTGCGTCGACCGAAACTTTTTTCATTCTGCCGGGCGGGAGCGGCGGTGTTGTGGTCTGTGCTGAGGGCGAGGTACCAGTACTTTGTGTAAGTGGGGGGTCTAGCCTTGATATTAAGTACCCTATACTTCGCATTTACTGATGTCCACAGACTTAAAGATGAGAAATAATACAACATATTATGTATTGAGTCAAAGAGATATTATTATTTGTTCTGTTTAAACCGAGAATAACTATTAAACGATGGACAGACAAGCCACATCGTGCCAGTAATGGAATCCCTCATAAGTGAATCCATACGTAAGGAAAGGCGTCTCAAATATGGTAGAGGGGAGGTATTTGGTAGGAATCACCAGCTTGACCGGTTGGAAGCAGGGCTTCGATGAGTTCGCAAACCACCAGTGCAAATTCTCCGCTGGTCATATAGTTGCCTGAGCTGATAGACAATACCAACGGATGTGAGTAGATGATGACCAGATGAGGCTAAACAATTAAGCCTCGCCGTGGAGGACTGGGGGATACATATAAAGTAATCCAGCTGATGTGAAAGTCATCTCCCAGGGATTGGTTGGGTTGGTGCTTGACTGCAATGGATTTCTGGGTCCTGATTCGACACTTGCAAGACATCATAGCTGCGCAATAGTGATGTAGTTGGACAAGCTGTTGGCGGTAGACATGAGCATCTAGTATTGATGCTGGGCGTGGAATAAGAGCCTGCCTCGTGGGCCATTTCTGTATCAATGAAACTGGCGCATGCCCGAGACAAGGCGCGAGATTCAAGAGATCGGTGGATATTTGTGAAAGAAAGTCTGATCGTAAAACCAATGGCTCTCATCCATCACTTTTCTTACAGGATGCGACCACGACGGAGATATCGTCCATTTTGCCTCCTTCAATAGCCAGACCCTCGTCCACTGCCTTCTCCATGAAGGGACTCTCCGCGAAGGGATCCTGGGCAATCGTCAGAGCGGCATTAAGCAGTTCCCGGGCGACATAGACATTGCGATCATCAGACATATGAGGGTGTTGCGCAGCGTCCTTTGGCGTCGTGCGCCCTTCCTCCCATTTGTCGATACTGTCCATAACGACTTTCAGGACCTCATGCTCCCAGAGGTTATCCATGACGCCATCCGAGAGCGCCAGGACGACGTCGTCTTCCTGCACCGCAATCTTGGACAAGACTGCATCTTTCCGGGGTGTGTCGATACTGTTTGTTCCAAGCTGCATGGGACAATCGAACCAATGCCACTGCTCAGCAGTGCGGAAAAAGACTTTCTTCTCGCTTGGTCGAATCACGAGGATCTTACAATCGCCCAGGTTTGTAACGTACAGCAATGGCTTCTGTGTCCCGTCTTGTTCCTTGGTCCAGTGTAGTATGGCAGTGGCCGAGGTTGTCGTGCCGAGCCACTCAGTAGGAGATGTGGTTGCCCGCAAGGTCTCCTCGTATGCATACTGCAGGTATCCGACCGGGTCGAGGGTGGACATGCGGTGATCGACATTCTTTTCGACTTCGAGGGCCCAGAAGTGTAATAGGAGTCTAGACCAGAGTCTGTAACAGGGAATAAAAATGTCAGCGATCGTCGCATAGGACACAAATTGAGATTGAGGCCACTCACGCAGCATGACCACGAGGTTTTGTCGCCCAGGCGCCTACGCCATCGTCGACGCCTATGAAGTTCTCCGCGACGATGATCGCATCGTCTCCGTTGTTCAGGCCGCGGACTAGCTCGCCCTTGACGGATAATCTCTTATCCTGGCTTAGCCCGTGTGTCGTCAAAGGATCCGAGAAGGACGAAGAGGGCGGGGAAAGGAAAGGTGGAGGGAAGGGTCGTGGAGGTCGTTTAGCACATAAAGCGTAGCCAGTCTCGAATCGAAATGGCGATTTGGGGGGGACGAATGGCTGGTCGGGAACGGGAGTGGTGATGCCGTAGGAGGGCCACACTGCCGCGTGGTATGGCCGTGCTGTGCTCGGTTGTCGGAGGCGGGCACCCTGGACCTGGGCTTGATTTATGCTTATGTTCGCGATCCACTTGCTAATGGACGTCCAGGATGATGATAATGAATGTGACACGGCCGCTGCCTTGGTCACCATCCCTAACTTGGCTCTCTGTGCACCAAGATGGGCTCGGCGAAGGGGTTCTGGGGCATTAAGGCATGAAAGGTGAAAAATGAAGATACAGAATACAAGAAGATAGCAGAAAAGAAGAGTTGACTCAGAGTGAGGCTTGAGAGCACAGAGAAAAGAAAAATGCGACTCACCGGTGAAGGCCGAGAGTGTCTCGAAGATATCACTGGTCTGCGTCGCCGACTGTACCTTGCAATACGGAGTATCTCTGAGAATATGAAAATCATTAAAATATCGCCCTTTCTGACATTTATCATTCTTTTGTTACTTACACATTTCTTTACTTTTGTTAGATTTGTTAGATTTGTCCGAAGAATTACTGTCATTCAAAAAAAGCAGCCGATAATACAAAAATCTCGGGGCTCTTAGGGCTACATTTACTTAGCTATATCCCGGCCGATCCAATGAGCCTCTCAGCACTGGTCTACATATCCCCGAAGATGATATTCTCCCCTAAATTACAGCTTTTGATTTCGCTCTATTTACACATCTTCCAGAAGACAAGTGAGAGCGATCTCATAGTTTAAAGCTATTGGCCAAGTTAGCGAGGTGGTGCAAAATGCCCTCAAAAACGGACTACAAAAGCACAGGTTAGTGAGGAATCCAAAGAGCGGAATCTGATCTATATGTCCACTGTGGTTGAAGATTAGGGTGAAAACCATACTGGCCGGCCTGGCACCGACCGCTAAGCTGACTGGAGCTGGGGGATACTTCAAAATACCCCAAAATACTGGCCAAAATAGCTTCCTTGTCAATGTCGGGGAGGTTAGATATGATGAGGCGTGCTGAGGTATTATTACCAAAGTAGCCTGTTGCGTGAAGCCGGGTGATCCAAATTGTATCACTTATGATGGGTTCCTGAAGGTGCAGCCGCATGCTCTGCTGTTGTTGATGCGGTTGGATCGTCGGATGTGGGTTCTGTACAAGACATTAGGTAGTAGCTGGGGCTGAATTAATTTCATTTCATGACTGGATATGTAGACCTCTCGTGGTGGCTTTATCAAATAAATGACATGGCTCATAATCAGTTTCCGATATCTGTCAAATGATGTTATTCGCCCTTCGGCTTCCTCCCATTATTACTTCCTTTCGATGATTTCTCCTCATAGAACACTTTCCCGGTGGGATTGACTAACCTTTCCTCCTTTCCGTTGTCAGCTTTTTTTTGTCGTTTCCATTTTTTTTCCTCCGTTTCATTTTTTTTGTTTTGCAAATTGAATTCCTTTGGATGATTCTCATGAAACTCGGATGAACAGAATACCCATTCCCCTGGGAATCCTTGCTCGATCTGAATTATGGTTGTAGTTCATGAACTGAACTGGAAATCGTGAATCGTGAATCGTAGTCGTGGTTGTAGTCATAGTCGCAGTCGTAGTCGAAATCATTCGTAGTCGTAATCGTAAGTCGTGGCTGGAGTGACAGGACTGCGATCTTAGAAGCTTGCCTGGGTGTTTTCCCTGGGAGCCATCTCGCGTTCCGTGGCGATTAACAGAGAGAACAATTCGAAAGCATGGTTCAATTCATTGGCGATATCAGCAGCCTTAACATCACGTTTGAGTTCAGCCAAGCCATCGAAGAACATGCGAGCAGTGGTAGAAGCAGTAGCGGCGAAAGAAGGTCCATTCCGTCTGTATGCAAGACCACGCTTGGTCGCCATGATGCGTACATGTCGTTCGGCACAAGGGCAGGCGCGCTGCACCTCCAAGGTACACTCCAAGGAACATCCACAGATAGAGTTGCAAATGCATTTTTTTTGCCTGACAAGGTGGTAAAGACTGGGGATGGACTCCTTCTTGCGCTCTTCTCCGATGGTTGTGCCCATCTTTTTGGCAATATCGGACAAGCGGTAGTCCTTCACAATCTCCGTGTCCCAGACAGCCATGCCCACTTGCTCTGGGTAGATCCATGGAAGGTTCTCGGATGGAATGTCGTTAGGCGGAATAGTCACTGGAGTCATGGTGAGATACTTCTCCGACATCGTTGCCATAGTCTCCGCTGGGATGGAGTTGAAGAATGGAATGAGCCTTCTCCATTTCTCGCAGTAGGATCCGTGTCGGTAAGAGACAGTTCTCATCGCAAACGGGCGATATCCGAGGGGGTCAAAGAAGGGGAACTCGTCCTGGCTTCGCTTTTTTGTAACCTGATTGATGTATCCTTGCTGAAAGCAGGTGATGACGTCTTTCCGAAGGATTGCGCAAATCTCCGGAGAGTCCAGTACTTCCTTGAACGCTAGAACGATGCGGTAGAGATGATCAGCCTCCGGCATAAGGAATGGAAGCTCGATTCGCAATGCACTAGTGTCGATTCGGTAGGAACCGCAGAGCTCAATGCTGGCCAGCTCAATCGTAATGCGGGCATAGAGGGCATAATAGAGGTTTTCGACAGTGTCAATTAGCACAGGCATCTTCTGGGTGCGTACGATTTGCTCGCTGCGTTTGATCCAGTATGGCAGGCCGGTCTCGGAGCGGTCGGGCTAAGAGTAAGTGTCGGTGTTAGCAGTCATATTCCCAAGCGGCAAGAGATAGAAGTATGGGGCAACAGTAAAGTTGTAAGCTCAAGACATACCTCAGCACCATAATACAAGATGACAATCTCCATCATCTTCGACATCGTGTACAACTTGCCGAAGATGCGCACGATGACACCGAGATGAATCGATTCCTCGACAGGATCCATGTGCTCGGGGGCCACGACCTTGGCTGGAGATGTGGGCGAGGGCATCAATGGAACCATGACCCAGTCGTCGCTGCTCACAGTGTAGAGACGAAGGCGGCGCTGGCCGCTAGATGCGAGCTATCACAGGTCAGGGTCACATCTTTCAAAAGTGAAACCAATGCATGGAGCCAAGTCACTTACCAATGCCTCAGAGAATTCTGATCTGTCAGCAAACGAGCCAAATTCCAAGGGCGTCTTTGGCTCCGACCCAGTCGTGGTTGAAGTTGAGGAGACGATCGAAGGCATGGTCGAGTTGCTCGAGACTTCGACCTGCCGGGGGTGGGTGGCACCGCGTGAGATCAGGGACAATGCTTCCTCCACAATTGACTGGCAGTATTTGAAGAAGCGTTGCTTCATCTGTTCAATCTCCTCGTGTGGAAAATCCTCTCCATCTTTGACGCGAGCACAAGCATCTTCCATCATGGCCTTGGTGGCCTGAGCATAAGCATCAATACAGTCCTTACCGCGTTGGAAAAACAGATCCAAGTCCTTTCCCGATTTCAGAGCACTCAGGCGGGCTAGAGAAATGGTGGAAGCCATTGCTAGAGGATCAAGATTGGAATCGGACGCCATGGGGACAGTTGGGAGGGGAGTTGGTGGGAACATGAATTCAGAATAAATGGGGGAGTCGTGCGACAGAGGGCGCTTGAAACGAGGATAGACAAGCTTATTCTGGGGCTCCTGGGGAATCTCTGGCTCACGTGCAGTTTGGGCAGGTGGCTGCGTCTTTCGAAGTTTGGAGAGAGCAGCTCCCCATAGACCTGTTTTGTGAACCATATTGCATTTCACGTATTTTCGCAAACCCTTTGAAGTATGACTGGAGATTATTGTAGAAGTAAACAATAAAAGACAAGCTCTAGGATCTTTTATATTTTTTTAATAATTGTAATTATTTCCTACACTTCTTCATTCATCAGTTCCTAGAACAATTGAAGTATAGGGGTCCAATCGGGTAGGTGCGACTCATCGCGCGCAGCCGCGACGCATATAACCTTAAAACTCGCAGCTGGGACCAATCACGCGGATCGATTCCTCCCAACAAAGAATGATATTACACTGCCAACAAAGGATGATATTAAACCGAGACTACAACCTGCAGTACGATCAACGGGCGGTTACCGCATTTTTGGTGATATGTATAAGGAGGCCAATCAATCAATCAATCAATCAATCAAAGTTCAATTAACATGTTGCAGTCTAACTAGTTGCGTGTGACTATGCAGGCGTTTCATCCAACTGAAGCAAGAACTCGAAGCCAAACGCCGAGTTGGGATCACTCCCAAGAGTATACAGATGCTGATCCTAAAGAGCGTGGAATCAGCCCGTTTCTATTCTAAATGATTAGTGTACTATTGATATAGTGGCATCCTGTGGTAGAACTGGAAGGCGGTTAGAAGGTTGTCCATAAAAGACACCCACCTAGCCAGTCAATATTCTTCCTTAGCAAGCATCTCTTCCAAATCCAGTCAATGAATATTCCTTGGCCAGTTGGGCCCGGCCTGGGTCCTTCCTGACTAGTCTTACTCGTCCTGAGTGAGTCTTTCTTGACTCACCCTTAACAATTATTAAACCGGGTCTACATGTCTCAGGATAATGTACATAATATGTACTGATATACTGTACTTTGCAGTACTGTACTCTGTACTTTGAAGTTCTGTACTTTTCACTGGTGTACAGATATGCATTGATGACTCGTTTCGCGCTCCGGAAGAACGTTGGAAGCGGCTGGGAATCACATTCACGCGATTGGCCGAATTGGCCGACAAGGCGCAAACGGATAAAAATCCTTCCGCGGTTCCAGTTGAAAGGAGGAGGGAGGATGTTTGCCAATTTATACCTAGTAGGCCCACCCGGAACTGTCTTCTAGCCGGATCTCCCAATCAAAGATCGCTTAGGAGTGAATGGGTGGCTGGGTAGCATGGGAACAAAGAAAAGGTGTATAAACAATAACAATAGACTTGAATTGGCTCATACGAACAAAGAAATAAGCTCTAACCCTGCACTCGGAACGTGCGACCACTAGCAGTCTTGCGCTCACGTTCTTCATTCTCCGGTCGAGCTCGGTTGAGCACTGTTGTGAGTTAGTAGTGAACATACTTTCTTTGCTTGGATAATACATACCCTGAAGGAAATCCGCTGTTCTCTTCCTCATTCGAGTGTGGATGTAGGCCTGCAATGAATGTTTAGTCATCAATCCCTTGCGATCACCTAGACAAGACCGAGAGAAACTGCATACCTTTGAGGCTTTGATGTGGTAGTGGAAATAATCACGGAAGGTTTGGATGTGAGAAATATTTTCATAACGACGCTGCGGGGTCAGGTGTCGAGGGAACAGAACTGCAAGCCAAGTCAGTACGAAGATGGAGATTGATGGCACATTTTGCATTCATACCAAAGGTGACATAGCTAACTTCGCCTCCGGAAGCATTCAGACCAGGCACATTTGCAAGCTCAAGAGGAGGGTCGTTACGGAACAGGACTTGGGGGGCATTCTGAAGCGTCAAGACACGTCGCCGGGCGTCGACGAATTCCTATAGGCTGTTAGTAAGGGTTCCTCATGAATCTGCAGACCAATTGTTTGGCAAAACACGAACCTGCAGGAAGACCTTGCCAAAGATCCGATCTGTCTCTTCGCGGAACACGGTGCTGAAGATCACTGTGACTCGGTCCCAGTTGGCTTTGATATAGATGGCCTCCTCTTCACGGTAGTGAATTGCCATAACTTCACCGCCCTCCTGGATACCCTGTGGTGCTGATTCCGAGGTGTATCTGGAAGCCTCCTCGGCGAGCTTGTTGAATTCGTCGAATGCTTTCTCAAAGGGAGCAGCCATTGCGTTCCGCTTCAGGAGGGCAAGCTTCATAATCAGGTCATTTCGAGCCTCTTCCTCTGCGGGCAAATTTTCGAGATCGATTTGTACTGAGAAATCATAGCCCGGCTCCGGAGACACGATGTAGGGACCGTATTCTCTCTCCAACACCTCCTGGGCTCCGTACTGAACCAGTTCCTTGTAACATTTCACATTGATCGAGATAAGGATCTTTGTCTTAGACTCGGGAGTAGAGAGGTGAAATGTCACACCATCGAAGTCGGAAACCACTTGGTCAATCGAGGCGGGGGGTGCTCTGAGTTCAGCTTGTTAGCCGGATGCCTGTTTCGGGGTGATGTGTATACAATGCGCGGGATCGCAGTGCGGGCGGGGAGGAACAAAGCATACCCAGAAAAACGCTCCGTAAGGAGCGACTGGATCAACGCATTCTGATAATCTAAAAGAAGCATGACGGGCAGGACAATGGATGGTATGCAGTGTAGACGGGTGGCTGTTGTGAGGTTGCCCGTGATCGTCATGGGCGGTGGGTGGGGGAGCCGGAGAGGTCACTGTCGCCGCCCGTATTAATTTTGTCCTATCGATAGCAATCGGAGATTCCAAAAATTTTCCCATCCACCCTCAACGATGGTGAAATCATACTTGTACGTGCGATTTTTTGTGATTTGGAATCCTCTGATCTGAGCGCTAACCATTACATAGTAAATTCGAGCATTCGAATACATTCGGGCTCGTCGCCTCGGCGTCTTCGAATGCGGTTTGGGCCAAAGATGACCAGACCGGCATTGCACGCCAGACGGGCGCCGGACGAGCCATTGTCGGCGCAAGTGAGGAGGTTCTGTGCTGGGATGTGAAGAAGGGAGAACTTCTTGGAAGATGGCGCGATTCTGCCTGCAGAGCGCAGGTTAGTGTGGTCACTCAGAGCATGACAGATGAAGATATCTTCGCAGTTGGGTGAGTGTCCTCCGGTGTGACCTATTCGGAAGATTTTTCTCTAACTATTATGTTTCTTCTCAGCTACGAGGATGGAAGTATTCGTCTTTGGGATTCGCGCACCGCCACGGTCATTATCTCTTTCAACGGTCACAAATCCGCCGTCACTAAGTTAGCTTTCGACAACGCTGGTGTGCGCCTCGCCAGTGGTTCGAAGGATACCGATATTATCCTCTGGGATTTGATCACTGAGACCGGTCTTTTCAGACTTCGCGGACACACCGATCAGATCACATCGCTACATTTCCTGTTCCCCTCCCCAGAATTGCTCACGGCTTCTGGATTGAATGAACACTCAGGATTCCTATTGACCACCGGAAAAGATGCATTGATCAAAGTCTGGGACCTTGCCTCTCAGCACTGCATTGAAACACATGTGGCACAATCAAATGGTGAGTGCTGGAGCTTGGGTCTTTCGCCTGACCAGGGCGGATGTATCACAGCCGGCAATGATGGTGAACTTAGGGTCTGGTCGATCGACGAGGCGGCTATGATGGAGATTTCCAAGGAGAAGGTGGGCGCAGATGGTCGCCGAATTCTCACAGAACGAGGAACTTTCTACCGACATGGCAAGGACCGTACACTTGGCATCCGATTCCACCCCCGTTCAGACTACGTTGGATTCCACGGTTCCGACAAGTCGGTCGAGGTTTGGCGCATTCGCTCTCAGTCGGAGGTACAGAAGAGCATGGCCCGGAAGATGAAGAGAAGAAAGGAGAAGGAGGCTCGCACCGAGGAAAACGGACCTAAAGAGGATAACGACAAGCCTGAGGATGTTTCCGCCGCTCCTGTATCTGAGGTCTTTGTCCAACATGTTATCGTGCGAACTGGTGGAAAGGTTCGTTCCTTTGACTGGATGACCAACAAGTCAAGTGGCTTGAACCTCCTTGCCGCAACAACAAACAACCAGCTTGAGGCCTACAACATTGTGCCAGCGAACAAGAAGAACACCGACAGCGAGGATCCGGACTACACTCGGAGCTTGGCAGTGGACATTCCTGGTCACCGAACAGATATCCGGTCGATTGCATTGAGCTCCGACGACCGAATGCTTGCCTCGGCTTCGAATGGCACACTCAAGATCTGGAACGTTCGCACCGAAAGCTGTCTACGAACACTTGAGTGTGGATATTCCCTGTGTTCCGCATTCCTTCCTGGTGATAAGATTGTGGTTGTTGGTAACAAGAACGGAGAACTCGAGGTGTTTGATATCGCATCCTCAACATTGCTCGACACTATCAAAGCCCACGACGGACCCGTGTGGTCACTTCACGTGCACCCAGATGGCAAGTCTATGGTCAGTGGAAGCGCGGACAAGACAGCCAAGTTTTGGAATTTCCAGGTTGTCCAGGAGGAGATCCCGGGAACCAAACGTACCACTCCCCGCCTCAAGCTGGCACACACAAGGACGCTGAAGGTCAACGACGATATCCTCAACCTTCGTTTCTCTCCGGATGCACGACTTCTGGCGGTTTCTCTCTTAGACAACACCGTGAAGGTCTTCTTCGTCGACTCGCTGAAGCTATTCCTTAACCTTTACGGCCACAAGCTTCCTGTTTTGAGCATGGATATTTCCCATGACAGCAAACTAATTGTCACTTGTTCGGCTGATAAGACCGTTCGACTCTGGGGTTTGGACTTTGGTGACTGTCACAAGGCCTTCTTGGCCCACGAGGACAGTATCATGGCAGTGGCATTTGTTCCTCACAACAAGGATGGAAACGGCCACAACTTCTTCAGTGCAAGCAAGGACCGTAACATCAAATACTGGGACGGTGACAAGTTCGAGCAAATCCAGCGCCTCGTTGGTCACCACGGTGAGATCTGGGCACTTGCCATGAGTCGCACTGGTGATTTCATTGTCAGTGCCAGCCACGACAAGAGCATCCGCATCTGGCAACAAACAGATGAGCCATTGTTCCTGGAGGAAGAACGTGAGAAGGAGATGGAAGAGGCTTACGACAGCACACTCACCGCGTCTCTCGAGCAAGAGGAGGACGGTGAAGACGGCGAGAAGGCCGAGGCCGTCGATGCTGGCAAGCAGACGACCGGCACTCTCATGGCCGGAGAAAAGATCATGGAAGCTCTGGAACTAGGCCTCGAGGATCTCGAAGTCGTACGCGACTGGCGCAAGGTCAAGGCCGCCAACCCCAACGCCGCCGCGCCCGATCGTAACCCAGTCTACCTGGCTCTCAATAACGTCTCCGCCGAGCAGCACGTTCTGAACACCGTCCAGAAGATTCCCGCAGCAGCCCTCCAGGACGCTCTCTTGGTTCTGCCATTCTCCAAACTCTCCGCTCTCTTCACCTTCCTCAACATCTGGGCCGATCGCGAATGGAACGTGCCCCTCACCTGCCGCGTGTTGTTCTTCATCCTGAAGACCCACCACCGCCAGATTGTTGCCAGCAAGATGATGCGTCCTATGCTCGACAGCATTCGGGCATCGCTTCGTCGGGTCCTTGCCCGTCAGAAGGACGAGATGGGCTTCAACCTCTCCGCGCTACAGTTCATCGGCAACCAGATCCGCGAGCAGAGCACCACGGACTACGTTGATGAGGATACCTGGGAGGAGCAGCAGACCTCCAAGGGCACTGGCAAGAAGCGCCAGTTTGTCAGCGTTGCCTGAGTTTAGGATTAGGTTTGTGTACAAGCATGTCTATTGGCGTTATGATCATTTTCGACCTTGTTACCTTGGAGGTCTTCTCTATCTTGGTTTCCATATAAAAGTTTTATATCCTTGGGAGTTGAAGAAAATATAAGGAATGTATGATAGTTCAATTTCGAAGTAAAATATAATCTTTTCCATGGAATAATTGTTTACTGGATTTTCATAAACTCAAGTGTATCAAAGTAATGGAATATTTCATTCAATTGGTCTAGCTATTATATTCCCCCATGTGCAACAATCCAAGTAGTCGACGATACCGAAAAAGAATCTGAAATCTGCATTGCAAAGAAAAATCATTAGCGATTTACTCCAAGCAACGACACGTTGGTCTTTCCAAGGCCACAAGAAAAGAAACAACAAGCATCCAAAGACTCTACTCAGGAGAACCAATGTAAGCATCGACGACAGGGATTTCAGCCCCTGTCATACCTCTTCCGGCTCTTCCTATTAAAATTCCGGTTCTAATGCGAATCTCATCATGATAGAGTCTGTTTGGAGCGGTGTTTGTTGTTTCTTCAATTGTGGTCCTGTCAAGGGAGTTTAGTACCACATACCTATTAGTGGGTTCTTCCAGCATGGACCGAAGATCAACCTCATTTATTGGTCTTGGTCCACGCTGGACTTTGGGGTTGGTTGGAGCTGGAGAAGAGGAAAGAGTTGGGTTTGGAGTTTTGTGAGAAAATTTGGCCCGGTGGAGCTCTCTTAGTCATTCGGGTCACGTGTTGCTTTTGTATGGCGCTCTATTCTACCTAGGTAATGAACACGGAATTTGTATAACAATTTGTGTAAAATTGAATATTCAATCAAAATTCATTGTCATACTGGTATCTATTTCATAACGGTCATGATTCCCTGTTTAAGGCAGTGGTTATAGAACATCTCGAGATTTGATCAAGAGGACGGCTTCATTGTCCCACAGCAAGAACATGTCCACCACTGGGTCTCCATAAAGCTACTGCACGAGATGCAAACCCATCCAAGAGGTTTCTTATCTGCACCACGGTCCAAGGATTTGAGGGTATCCAGTGCACGTGTTCGGTTCTTGAAAATGAATGTATCCCCGGGATTCGCTTCCTTCTCTTCCTTTCGATCAAGAGACAAAGGCCTTTTCTTCGAGTTTCGTGACTCTGAACGCACTGGTTGGGTAGGATTTCGGCCAGAGGTGGATGTGGATAGCGTATTGGTTGGAGGCGGTCGTTCTGCTGCACAAACATCACAACATAAGAAGGTAGACGGGTTCTCGAGCGTGCATGTTGGGCAGATCCAGGGTGTCTCGTATGAGCTGTTATCCGCTGTAAGATCAACAGTTTCATTTTGATTCGATGATGGGGCTTCTTTTGGAAGCGTAGGCAGAGTTTCAGAGATAGCAGGCGGGATATCGGAAGTAGCCGGTGGCGGCGACGATTTTGTTCGAGGTCCTGCCGGGTTTTCTTGACTTGGCGGAACATAAGACGACTCATATTTCTCCCTTTCTTCTTCCTGTATCAGTTCGATAAAGGCCTCCATGATAGCCCGCTCGTTTGCATCGTCTTCCTCGGCTTGGGTTCTGAACCCATGCGAGGCCTCTTCCGCAAGCTCGGTGCTTCGGTCAGTACCGGATGCACAACCCTGAGTTACTTCGATTCGCCGCTGCGCAGCGTCAGCCCGGAGCTTGCGTATATCTGTTCCTCGGAGCACGCGGGTGCCGCCAAGCTTTTTGCCGGAATTTTTGGCAAGAACCCTTCGCTGTTCAGCAGCGGCACGAGCTTGACGTCGAGCTTCATCCAGCGGAATTCTTTGGCCACCTAGACGCTTTCCTTGAGATAAAAAGCCCTCTCCGGTGTAGCCTTTTCGGGCTAGTTCCTCATGCTCATCCCGAAGTTGATTCCACAGCGCATGAAACTGCTGGTTGTGAGGACCAATCACGTTGTGGGCGAGTCTAAACTTTATCAGAATTTGTATTTTGGGATATTTAGACGTAAAATCACTCACTCATGAAGCATAGTATCCAAAACCTGCTCGATAGGGAGAAATTGCCGTTGGTCGGAGGGATACCGTAATCTTAGACAGATCTTCTGGCCCGAGTTGACATTCAACCCCAGCAGGTTTCGCTGCTGCGGATAGAACTCACAGAGTGCGCCCACTCTCCAGGCGCGCTGCCGCATGATTGGTTTGACCAATGATGCGACTTTTCGCAGGATCAAGAGAGCCTCTGCTTCCCGGGGGCGTTTCTTTTCATGGCGGTATTCTGAGATGAGAGGGTCTAGTTCCCGCATTTTCGAGGTTTTTGATCAAGAACTTTGACGGTATGGTAACCCAGGGAGCCGCTGATATATGAGATGTTGCCTGCGTTGGGATGGCCTCCTCCGAGGCCAGAGTCCAAGCAAGAAGATTTCACATCAGAGCACGACCGAATGATGGCATTACACAGATAGCGACGCAGGCATCCAGGAGCAGTCAAAGGAACATAGCCAGTGATGGAAATTCCAGAATCAATCCAAGTCTGGGCATCCATGGATGGCCTTTTGGCATTGGTAATCAAGCAAGATACACAATTGACGCCTGATATTCCAGGCTAGATTCTAGTCACGTTTTTTTGTGTCGTGCTTCTATATAGTCCTGATGTAGTGTAATAGCGTTTTTCCCAGTGCTAGTAGACACGACTATAAATGTGATCGAAAATGCTCTATCTAGGTACATATTTAATACTAATAACCTCCTAAACGATGACTTTTGCTCAATCTTGTGTTTGTAATTGGGTCGTCTTGGAAAGATATATATTCACAGTATCCAAAATTAATACGATCGCTAAGTTGTTAAAAACAACGCTTTGCTACATTCCCACTACTTCTGATCAGAAAGGCTTATAGAAGAATAAAAAGAAAAAGCCTCAAGAGCATGACGAGTTTTGTATACTCCCCGCCCTTCACTGTTTTATACAAAGAGCTGCTCATGTGACCTTTCCGATAACACCGAGAATGTTATCAGCATCCATCTTATCGAACTTTCGCTCTTCTTTTTCTTTCCAGCTTGTTCTCAAATAAACAAGATGACGAGCGACGACCAGTTCTTTTTTGACTACGTGAGTATCATAGAAGGAGACAAAGAATGCCTTCGGCGCTGACACTTCCTCACCTAGCTCGCCTCTATACCTCATGACGTAAGGCGGTATTCCCTCGAAGTCGCAGACTCGATCGACCGACAAGTCGACCACGCCGCGAACGCGATCAAGGATACGCTGGCCCAGCAGTCATGGTTACCACCCACTGTTCGTCCGGCTCGTGTTTCCCCGAGAGGGCAGTCATCGCAAGGCCTGAGAGACCGGATCCAAAGCTGGATGGTTCGGAATCGCGCATGGACGGCGGCCATCCTCGCATTTATCGGAACCGGTGTTGTCTTATACTATGGAAACAAGAAGTTACACGGAAAACGGAGAAAGGCCAGAAGGGCGAGCAACGGCGCAAGGAAAGAAATTGTTGGTATGTGTCAAAATGCCTGCCTTTGATCTGCACTAGGATCTGAGTGCTAATTTTCCGATTACAGTTGTTGCCGGATCGCCGCACGAGCCGATGACAAGGGCTATTGCCATGGATTTGGAACGTCGAGGATATATCGTATATGTGACTGTATCTTCCGCGGATGAAGAGCATATCGTCAAGTCTGAGAACCGTGTTGATATCAAGGCTCTCTGGTTGGACCTTACAACTGTAAGTGCTGTTCCTGTATCTCTTATACGGGAGAACTCATCTAACATTGTACACTAGACATCCTCATCGCCGTCCGAAATCCATCCTTCTTTGCAAGAGCTTCGCTCCTTGATCACTCAACCACAGTCGCCTATCGCCGGAGTGCCTCCGCACACCTGCCAACTGAGCGGCCTTATCGTGGTCCCATCACCCAACTATAGCGCAGGCCCTGTCGCAACCATCCCGCCGTCATCGTGGGCTGACACGGTCAACACCCGACTCCTCTCGCCTATCCTCACAGTGCAGGCATTTCTCCCTCTTCTGACCCTCCGCAGCAATAGCTGCACTATCGTCTTCGCCTATCCCTCTATATCATCCTCCCTTTCCGCACCATTTGCCGGACCCGAAGTCGCCACAGCTCGAGCAATCTCAGGCTTCGCAGCCTCGCTTCGCCAGGAACTTCGTCTCCTCGAACAAGGCAATGTCGATGTCGTCGAGCTGCAGCTGGGCAACATTGACTTAGGGCCTACATACCGAAGTGGCCAGAGTCAAATCGCAGGCACAGAAGTCCTTGCGTGGAGTACCCAACAGCGAGCCCTTTATGCCTCACAGTATCTGTCTAGCGTTGAGCAGCGCGCAGTTGCCTCTGCTGGTCCCAGCGCAGTACGCGGATCTCCGGCGCGGAACCTCCATTACGCTATTTTGGATGCTTTGGAGCCTACCTCGCGGGATATGTTCGGCCGGAAAGTGTCTAAGAAATCCATGATGTATGTGGGCCGGGGAGCTCGGTCATACAGCCTGATCGGGGCCTGGGTTCCCAGTGGACTTGTGGCACTGATGATGGGGTACCACAGTGGGAATGGGATGAACTCAGAGACCCCAAGTGGCAGCGGCAGTGAAACCAACTGAGAGAGAGTTTAAGTTCGTCGGGTTTATCATGTTCTGACGCATCTCCCTCATGGCCCTCCTATCTTTAATATATCAAAAGCACTCGCTTGGAATGATGCTTTCTGTACATAATATCATTGGAAATACTCTTCGCTCTTAATGGCACTATTCCGCCTGATTTTGTTATTCACATCATCACATATCGACGTATACTTTTACACTTCATGGACACAATTATTAGATTAGTAGTTACCTAGTAGGATATCATTGGTATCATACAGCTCCATCCGCATCCCTATCCACCTAGGTAGTTTCCCCCAGAAGAAGAAATTCGACTCATCACCTCCAAACTGGCACAACCTTCATCTCATTCGATTGCTCACCAACACACGCCTCAACGACACCGCCAAAAGCATCGTGCGCACACAGCGGATCCCGTCTCGCTCGCTTAATCTTACCGTACGTCAAACGGCGACGCAAATGAATCAGCGCCCAGGAACCGAGGAAGAAAACCAGAACCGCAGCCAAGATGCAAAAACAGTATCCCGTCACAAGCTTGCTCTTCTGCCCGTGGTCGCCGACGTCGAGGAAGGAGTACGGGTACCAGCCCTCGGTTTCGTGGGTGATGTATGCGACGCAGAGGTAGAGCAGGAGTATGAGGATTAGGAATGGGATCGCGATGAATGGGTGCGGCGCTGTGGCTGGGAGGATGGTTTCCAGTAGGGCGTAGAGAGAGTTCAGGCAGTGTTGGGAGATCTAGGGAATTGGTGGGTTAGCTTGAACTGTGGCTTATATTAATTGTCTTTTGCTTTTTCCCTCTACATCCGAGGAATGGAGGCGTGTTGCAGGTGATATATCGAACGATGATACGTACATTTTGCCAGCCGGTGTATGACTTCTTGTACCACGGCGGAGTGAATAGAAGAACCCAGAAGACAACGGTGACAAGAAACGGGTACGTTGTGACTGTCACATACAATAGGCTGTGTAATACGCGGAAGGCTCGCGGCCAGCGGTTGAGGAGAACCGAGTGACCCGTTCGTGCATAGAAGGCTGTATGGATCGCAGCGAATAGCATGTAGAAGCCAATACCCCAGTAAGTCAGCCATGTGAAGTAGCTGAAGGAGTGACCAATCGAAGCGTGGTCATTGTGGGTGCCATACCAGCCCTAGAAGATGAAGATGGAGGTGAAAATGTACAGTGAGATCAGACCACGAAGACCGGCGAGGATGGCAGGGGGTAAGATCCAAGACGTCTCGAAGTGGTGCTTGTCGTCGGTAGTCGGGCCAACTCCGAAGAGAGTTGTTAGTAAGGGCTGAGGCATGTTGTTGCGTACCTTGTGATTTCGTTGTACTTCGGGAGAATTGAAGCCCAAGAAGCAAACAAGCAAGAAAAAGAAGACTCGGCTGTACATGTACTACTAGCCCAGGCGGGCAGCAAGCCTGCATCTATATGCTGACATTGGAGCTGGGGTAATTAATGCCTGCTTTTTCCCTCGATATAGGGTGACATCGCAAGCCGTTGTGCGCTTTTAGGGGTCAGTTACGAACCAGAGCCAGTCGTGCAGGCAGTTTTGCTCTCAGTCTCACCTTAGGTCCATTTTGTTCCCACAAGCGATGGCTCTACAAACTGAAAAGAGTTTGAAGGCTTGTGATTGAATCCAACTTTGGATCAGAATCAGGGGTGAGACTTAGGATTGATTCAAAGGACTGATAGAGAGCAAATCGGGACCTAAGACGCTTGCAACAAGACATTCCAGACATTCGAGACATTTTATCTTGGATGTATTAGAGTATTTGAGATAGGCTAGATCCAGGAGTTATTCTTTCATAGATATATGCCCTCCCAGTGCTCATATTCTCACGGTGGATACGGCCTGGAGTATAGTATGAAACGAAAAGTCCCCATGAACTCAGTTCTACGGGCTATACTGTCAAATCAATGGTTGACAGATTAGCCTATTATGCAGCCTATCTACATACTGAACCTCGTTTTTCACTTGCTTGGCAGCTGCCACCATCCAATAGCTTAAGCATCGTTTGACTGCAAAGGGAAGCTGCTGCGACCCGACTCCCAGCCATTCTCTCCAGGCTCGGATGGCCACACATCAGAAAGAACCTGTGCTAGTCTCTCTGGGATGCATCTTCCATCGGGGGCTTGATAAAGCGACTGATGCCGTATCTCCCTTTCACTTTTTCCGATTTCCCTAACAGTCGGTACCCCCATGTTTTGGAAATTATAGCGCGTGATCAAAAACGAACGAGCGAACCAATCAAGGAGCCGTTCTTCGTCATTCGGGAGGTGTTCAAGACCAAAAGGCACGACACGCAGGTTCCGTAGGCGGCAGGATGCTTGGTTGGACGAGATCAAGTGCCAGATCTGAAGAGCGAGTTTCTCATCCATGGCCGCATTCACGAATACCTCTTGAAGAACAGATGTCTCGGCTACTTGAATTCGGTACACTGGCCGCGGTCGGTGGTCGAAATGAAGATCTAGTACAAGGCTATAGAGGTTTGAAAAGTTCCCCACGGCCTTATACATTTCGCACTCTTCTTGACTGCCCATGGATCTTTTGATCGGAAGACGGAGTTCTTCTAGCTGGGGACAGGACTTGGCTAGCTGGCTTATATCAAAGGCATCAAGTTCTGGATATTTATACCCAGAATCGAGTTCGCCCGTCCTACCATTACGCCGGGTGCACGGTATAATGATAAGACCCTTCAGAGAAGGGCCATGGCGCTGCATAATTTGATTCAAAGACGAAACGCTGCGAAGACCGCGAATATAGAGGTATTTCAGGGGATTGAATGCCCTTATTGCGGCAATTCCAATATTATCGTCAGTACTAAGATCTGGACAGCGCCAACCGCGTCCATTTGTCGAGATAAAAAGTCGCTCGAGGTTGGGGAAAAGCGCAGCCACCCGTGCGAGTACGGCTGTGTCGAATGTCTGATCGATTTGAAGGGACCGAAGTTGGGAAAGATCCATAATATTCGCTAGCCGTAGTAGGATATCTTCATGTGGCCCTAGTTGACCGATTGAAATCGATTGCAAGGAGGATATTGGCACAGGCTTCGTGGCAACAGCAAAGTTGTGCCATTCTTGCTTTAGCATAGTGATTGGGAATTGATATGTGAGATTTCTCTGTAAGAGAAGGTGCTTCAGATTGGGAGCCAAAACAAGGAAAGGCAGCATCTCGTCTAGCTCTATCCAGCCGGAATTACGATCAGAGTCGCGGGGAATTTGGACGGCAAATGTATGCAGCCCCTGGAGACGTAGAAGATTGATATCGATGCCCCAGTCGTCATCGCTCATTCGATGCCTCACTTGCTTTTTTAAACCTGGCGCACTGGAGCTCACATTCTGCGGCGACCAAAGATTCAGCTGACATTTTGGATGATGCTGTAATATAGCTTCCTGCAAAGAAATTGGAAAATCGTTCTTAACGACGAAGTCAATTTGTCCTAAGTGGGATAGGTGGGCGATGAGGGCAGCAAGTGGGTCCCAGTCTCTTTCCAATTTCCTATAGTTCGACCAACCTTTGAGGAGACCGAATCCTAAGACATGAGATAAACTGGGATCTGTCAAATGAGACTCCAGAAAAGTGTCTTTTGTGGCCGGCTCGCCTTGGACCCCACGAGGTAATCCCAACTTGCAGCCTTCCAATTGCCAAAGACGGTCCTGCGCTGCGTTATGATAATCTGGATCGAGACATATAATAGATAATTTCCTAGCGTATTCCACAAAATGACGCCCTTTGCCATCCTCTGCCACCTCTGAGACAGCTTTTCGGAGGGATTGAGGATCCCAGAAGATGATAGAAAGGTGTTGATAAAAAAGAGGGGCGGCTAATCCATAACAAGTGTGATTGAGCTGACTGAAGGTTGAGAGGGTTGTGCGCGAATCCAACCCCTCAGCATGAAGCTAAAGGCTTTAGTGTCTCACAAGAAAACAGAGCGTGAGGAGACATACACAGAGACATATTTGCCGCAAGAGCTCCAGTGGAAGATTGTTCATTTTAGGGCTTGCAGTCTGAGGGGATGTATTTATGAAAGGATATAAGAGCTTGGAAATATTCAAAGAGAAAGAGAATTAAAACAAGCACTTCTCGTAGTTTGCTAAGTGTTGCCAAGCGTTGCCAAGATGCGGTTTCAAAATCGCATCAAAAGACGATATCTTACTAGCTCCGTATTGTTAGGTAGTGATGCATAGTGTTTTTTTAGCCAAGGTGTTCTCCCTCTTGACCACATAGGGATTTGCACAATCATCACGGGTTTTATAGGTGTGTGGCCTCTTATAGAGCCGATTTATATGCAGTCCAGTCTCCAGCCATTGGATAACGAAAATGATAGTAATCATCAGGATTATAAGTTTTGGCATTACGCATCTGCCATTGTGCATAAAAAATGGTGGTCATGGCGTGCGAGCAGCGACTCTCCAGTCTGATTGTTACCAGAGCACCCCGCTGTCCAACTTGGGAGGCCGCGCGAGTTCGCTATCGGGACATGGGCAACAACTACGTTTCAAAATGTTTAGAAAAAAGAGAAGCAAAGAGGGGGTTACAGACTCTATTTATAGACTTCCGATATATCATGATCATAATCTAGATTTCAATGTTGGTATACCCGGGGGTGTTGCTGAGTAACCTGTGACACTATTTCCAACTAGGCATAGTGCAACACTCAGACCACGGTTGAGTTGACTCCAAGGCCGCGTGTATCCATGGATATTGTCCTTTTCATCCCCAAAAGAGACTTATAACACATGTAGTAAATGTACTATTATGGAAAAGAAATCATCACATAACAGTTCTGAGGAGAGATTCCCATTAGGAACCATTTTAAACCCCTTTAGGAGTGTGGTACCCGCTCTCGTGGCTTGCAATATAAGTAGGGGGGATGGTTTCACTTCTCTCAACCATTGGTGCTAACCTGAGAAGCTAGCCTGTCATGATTCTTTTTGTATATAACTAGGCACCAGCTGGTCCCCAGGTTGTCATAATTCTAAAGATAACTCCAAAAGTTCATGCATGTGGTTTCTTCAGATCAGGAAATGATGAAACCACCCGTGTGGGGAGAGACGGCAGGGGAACTGGGATTCTAGAAGATAGCGGGTCAAACAAAACACTCAGTGATCGAAGTAGTAAAATGATTAGTGAAATCAATAGTACGGAGTAGACTATCCAAGGTTATATATTATTCTAATAGAAGAGTTATAGCCAATAACAATACATAGTATGCGAGTCATATGTTATTCTTGGCGACCCCCTGAGCAGTTCTCCCCCTGAGACGATCCCTTGTCAAACGTCGAGACCCAGTACCAAGTGGAGAGTCCGGACTGTTTTATTTTAGTGCACGGGACGCTTCTATTTACTTGTCGTTCCAAAGTTTGCAATTGTGATCGTCAGTCGCCCTCCGTTTTTCTCCTTCCTTCTCCTTTCTCGTTTTGTCTCATACTCCCCTCTCTCCCCAATGCCCTGAACTCCCACGCTATTCCTTCGATTTTGTCTGTAGGGCTGTCATTCCTTTGGCTCTATAATATCGCCCTCCCGCCCGAACCCCCTTTGTGTGTTGTCCGCTCCGTCCTCGTTTCGGAAACACCAACTTCAAGACTACTCCGATGCTTCCTGCGCAAATCTCGAAAGATCCAACCGACTCGGGATAAATGATTCAATAGCCGACCATTTCATATTCACATATTCATCATGGATACGCGAGGGAAACTAAGCGAATGTCGCTCCATATCCCACGATACCCTGCGGAGTGGCTCGCCACGAGTGGCGCATTTCGACGGCGAAGTTCCTCCCGCACTTTCCCCCCTCGACGCATTCGCCGCCCAGAGCCGATTTCTTGCCCGACAACTCGATGAGTCTCGACGAGGAGACCGCCGCATGAGTCGGCTGCCGCCGTCGAGTGTAGCTCGATCGCTTTCGCAAGGCCGCCCGGGCTTCTACCGTTCCAAGTCGTCAACTGAATCCCGCTCCGAATTGACCAGGAAACCTACGCAGAAGGGGCTGCCGGAGTTTGAAGACCCCAAGTACCGCCCTATCTCCGAACATCCTCGGTTGAGCTCAATTTCCAATGCTAGCACCGAGGCTAGCTATTACGAGGAGGATGATAATGCGACACCCCGGACAACGATGCTTAATACTGGTCCGGAGGCGTATGGGATGCCGCGCGCCGAGTCACCAGAGGATCTTGCGCCACGCGCAAGTGGAGCGGAGGGTGCGCCTGTTGGTGTGGCGGTTGCTGAGCCGCAAGGTTCATCGATCGACTCATCAACTTCGCGACTGCACATCCCGCGCACCTTGGCACCACCGGTGTCACCGCGGTCGCGCCCATCCAGCAGTGCCAAGGCCACACACCCTGAGAGTTCTGATGATGACTACAGCAGCTCTAATGGTGGGTCGACGTTCTCCAAACCTCGCAAGCTGTCCTCTGGAAGTGCTGTGTCATTGCCATATTCTCCCATGTCGACATTCCCTGCACGACCACACCCTCGATCGCCATCCTTGAGCTCAGAGACATCAGGAACGGGAACAAACCAGCTACCCCGCCCTTCTTTTAATTTCTCTCGACCGCTGAGTCGGTCGAGTACGAGCTTGTCTGCACCTGGAGCTTCAACGCCTACCGAACCGATCCTTGGCTCTGGATCGAACCATATGAACCGCCGCAGCAAGCCGACTCCGCTCCTCTTGCAACTTTCGACCGAAGACGCTGCTGCAATGGCAGCTATCGATGGCGAGCCGTCCTCCGCGGTGTCGTCATATGTTTACGCCAAATATGCGCTTCCGCGCGGACGCTTCCTTTCACGGGATTCCGTGGTCTTTGCAGGCTTGCAAACGCCTCATTTCGAGTGGGAGGAGCCGTTATTTGAGAAAACGCCTCCCCGACACTCAGAGGAGCCACCACGGATGACACGGACGCCATCCCCTACGCCCCATCGCCAATTGGAGCGCTCACCGAAGCCTCACTCGATGCACGAAGCTCCAGCTTCGAAGCCTCAAACGCCGACCCCGATGCCGAACTTCCAACCTCAATCTCCACCCCAATCTCCACCTCAGCCTCAACCCCAACCTCAACTCCAACCTCGAACCCCCAAGTCTCAACGAATCCCACAACCCCCGCCTGTGCCAGACTCCCCAGTGGAGCCGGCACCACGGCCCTCTGTTGAGAGTACCCGACAGACGATCAACGATAAGGATGAAACTGTCTCTTCTGCGGATTCGGCCAGCACCATGCGGCCCCAAACCGCCACCGCTCAGGTGACGGCTTCCGGCCTCACGGCCGACGACCACGTCGCTAAGGGCATTGATTGCCACGAGCGAGGATCTTTGAGTGAATCTACGTATCATCTGCGGGTAGCCGCGAAACAGGATCATCCGACGGGAATGCTGCTTTATGCGCTGGCCTGTCGACACGGTTGGGGCATGCGGTCCAATGAGAAGGAGGGAGTACGATGGTTACGCAAAGCTGTGGATTCCGTCGGATTGGAAATGTTGGCGGATCCAGATGCTCCCGGTGCGTCGAAGGCGAAGGAGTTGCAAAAGGCATACCGGGTTCAATTTGCTCTGAGCATTTATGAACTGGGCGTCAGCTATTTGAATGGCTGGGGTATCGAGCAGGACAAGTCTCTTGCCCTGCGCTGCTTCGAGATTGCCGGTCAATGGGGCGACGTTGATGCCATGGCCGAAGCCGGATTCTGCTACGCACAGGGTGTTGGCTGTAAAAAGGATATGAAGAAGGCGGCACGCTTCTATCGTCAGGCTGAGTCCAAGGGTATGAGCATGGTTGGAAACAGCTGGTACGTTCTTCCTGGTAGTTACATCCCAGTCGACCTCCCACTAACAAGTATACGCAGGATCTACAAGGACAAATACAACGAGGTCGAGTCCACTGGACGCTCCCGTGGCCGAAATGCCAGCGGAGAGAAGGACAAGAAGCCGCGTAGCAAGTCCCGCACTCGCAGTATCTTCCAACGCAAGAAATCCAACGTATCAGAGGCATAGACTGTCATCTGTCTGTTTTATTCACTTTTCTTTCTGTCTCGACGCGTTCTCCTTGGAGTTGTGGAAGAACCATCCATTTTGCATTTTGCAATCTGTTTGGAGCGTTCTGAGCCGATCTTTGATTTATCCGCCTTTTTTACCCGATTTTTCGACTTACATTCCTTCTTTCCTTCATTTTCTCATGTCTAAACTTTTCTTTTTCACCTTTGCATCTTCTTCCTTTCACCTTTCCGAGCCGCCTGGGCAGCTGTTATCGAGCCTGGACCGAGTCTGTGGTCCACGTGCCTCGCAGGCTTAATACTTCAGTTCTCCGTGTATACCCTTTTTCATTTCTTTTCATTTCTTCCCATCATTCGCCAATTTCTTCTTTATTTTCATGGCATCTTCCCCATTTCTCTTCTTGGTCATATTTCTTGGGTATGATCCCTACAATTTTCTCATTTTTTTGTCTCAATATTTTGTTCGGTGCCTCAGTGTGGCGAATCATGAACTCATGACAGAATCAAGACAGCGTTGATCTGTATCTTTTTGGACTCAATAAGAGCATTTACTTATTATCCAGTTTTTCCAGTATATAAAGAATCTTGAAAAGTAATAAGTTCTAGACCCCCGCATTGTTCCCCGGCTTTTGTCTCGGAGCATTGACCCAAATGTGTCTAAATAGGCATGTTCTCCATGGACATTGTCCTAAAACATACTGGCGTCCTTTGGGGTTTCTTTTTTAGCGGGGATTAGCGGGGATTAGCGGGGATTAGCGGGGATTGACTTGGCCAGTTCGGCTTTTCTCTCCGTATAGAACCTCTGAATACGCCGGGCACACTCCTTGCATCCAGGGTCGCCTCCCTTGGCAGTACGCTATCTTGCTGCTAGTCTCACTGTCCACCAATGGGGACACTGCTCATTCAATAATATAGTGCAACGGTACCCCATATGAGGATCTCTTAAAAAAGTCCCCCAAATCTCTCATACATCATTTAGGAAACGCCCTGGTAGCACAGATGCACCCGTCCCGACGCATCCCGCTTATCAGGATTGTTAATTCTTGGTACTCCGTATTCTAGTCCACCTCGGCTTTTTTTTTCTTTCATGTGGTGATGGTTAGACACTTTTAACCTGAAACATTATACACCCCAGACATCTTGATCGCATATCCCCGGAAATCTGGAGTTGCCCAGACGCTAAAATGATACCGAGACTTATATTCTCCATATAGAATTGGACAACAAAAATAGCGAAATTAAAAGGAAATGAGAAGCAGGGCTTATCGTACTTGCATGCATTATATTTCCCCTTTCTTTTTCGGATTGCATTTGGTGGCTTTTTTTCTGGTGTATAACATGTGACGCTAGAATGTACCTTGTCAGTTCCTCATTTTAGTCGAAATATTCTTGGTGGCTTTTTATTATAAAGTACGGACTACTACCCACGCTCTTTTAGCGGTGCTTGTATCACATTTTCGTTTCCTTTCTTTTTTTCTCGCTTCGAAGCTCTTATCCTTTTTGTAGGTGTTTGTTCGACTCGGTATGTACATGTCCAGCCTAGAACCAACCCTCTTCCAGTCCCTAATACAAATCACAGTACCAAAATGTCGACCTCAAAGCCCGAAGTCGTCGAGGTGGAATCCAATGTGATCCCAGCGCCAACCAAGAAGGGCTTCGGCGCACGCCTCGCGGCCCATTTCAAGAAATGGTGGTGGGTGCATTTGATTATATTCATCGCCTGTTTCCTAATTATCCTACTGCCGGTGTAAGTCCACCCTTCCCAATATTTTAAATCCGCCTTGACCACGCGGGCGCCACATGGCCCAGATAAGAACATTCCACTCACACTGCATTGCATCATATAGTGTCTACGTCGCGTATCCCAAGATCGCACAAAGTGCCGTCAACGACTCGACCCTCGACATCACGGAGATGATCATCAGCGATCCCACGCCCGAATCCATCCACCTCGAGCAGAGACAAGTCCTCGGCTCGGATAGTATTTTCCATCCCCAGATCTACGCTTTCGATTCTGCGGTCTCGCTGGCCGGAGCGGCGGATCCTTTCGCTTATGTTACTGTCCCGGCTGTGAAGTCCAAGGACGGGGCTGAGATTCACTTCGAGCAGAAGGTTGATCTAACTGATGCCTCTGCGTTCGGGGATTATACTACCGCTGTTATGATGAATGAGGAGGTTTCGTTGAATATTTATGGAAGACCTGGTTTGAAGCAGGGTGGTTTGCCTAAGACTACGGTTGATTATAACAAGACTGTTGTTATGAAGGGTATGTTGCTCTTTTCTTGTTTCTTGACTACACACAGTGTGGGATTAGAAGAGCATGATGTACTAACTGGACGAAACAGGCCTCAATAAACTCAAGGGCTTCGAGGTGGCTGAGTTCTTTATCATGTTCCCGCCAGTGAATGGTTACGGGATGAACGGCACCGTCATTATCCCCAATGCCTCCGTCATGACAATCCCAATGGTAATTACTCCTCGTTCTGTATATAACATCCCCATTCTCCATGACACTAACACAAAGCAATAGGGCAACGTAACCCTGGCCCTCGAGCTAGACGGCAAATCAGTAGGAACAACCTACCTGAACAACCTAGTCCTGAAACCAGGCAACAACAAAGTGCCAATGATCGGCAAGGTCGACCAGGGCGCCATCATCACCCTTCTCACATCGAAGTCCAACCCCTACAAAGACGGCATCCTGCCCTTCGACATCACCGGAAACGCGACATCATACAACGGCAAGGAGCTGCCGTACTTCACCAAGGCCCTGGCTGCGAACACACTGCACGTCAAGTTGGATGTTCTGTCTGCACTGAAGGCGGCGGGTGTTAATCTCACGCTGTAGTGTGTTTTGTGTTGTGTGGGTTGTATACCATTTCTGTTTATGCTTATGGTTTATGTTCTACGTTCTACTTTCTATATCTCATTACCCTCACCGGTAGTGGATTCGGTGATTGGTATCCGTTGTTTGGTGGTTTGTTCGCTTTTGTGTATGTTTAATACCCTTTTTTCGTTATCAGCTTGCGCGATGAATACATATGGATTGATTGTTTCCATACGAAGTCTAGACTGGAGGATATAGTAGTTATTTCTGCTGAAACCAAAAAAAATCTAACAATATTGATTGACAACCAATAAAAGAATAAGAATGATTCATCCTGTAATACTTCAGCAGGTATAAACAACGAATTATATCAACGTATATAAATTACTAACATGAGAAAAAAACTTAACGTTTTAAAAATAAAACGGTAATATCACGGTTAATATAATGTTCTCCAAAGGATTCCAACCGTTATACCACGGTAATCTGGCACCTAGCATTTCCCACTACATACTGATAAGCTACCCTTATGGCACGCAACGTGCCTACGGCCTAGTTGTTATAGGCCTAAGTTGTTATAGGCCTAGTCGTCATGCACCTTGACCACGACCTTGCCACGCGCACGCTTTGTGGCGATACGCTCGTAGGCGCGAATAGCATCCTGCATCTCGAAGATAGAATCGACAGGGATACGCAAGCGGCCTTCCTCGATCAGGTGTGCTAGGTAGACTGCGTCGTCACACGCCGGGGGCGTGCTGAACATTATATAGCGACGCGGCACGCCGCCCAGCCAGGTGGGCAACCAGCTATTGAGCAGCACGTTACGCACCGTCACATATACACCCTCGAGCATGCCGATATTTATAACAGCTCCCTCGGGCTTGAGATAAGCTGGGGAGTTGACAAAAAGTGCTTGCGTGCCGACGCAGTCAAGTATAAAGTCAAACGGCTTATCGCCATACTGATGCGCTAGGTAGGCTGGTAGCGGTTCATGTTCGCGGTAGTCGATGAACTATTTGCATATTAGTCATTTTCTTTTGTAACTCGGACGTTAGCAACTGTGCCTACCTCATCTACACCTAGATTACGAACCATTGGCTCGTTGCCTCCGCTAGCCACGCCGACCACTTTTGCACCACGTAGCTTGCATAGCTGCACGAGCACCGAGCCGACCGACCCGCTAGCCCCATTCACGAGCACTGTGTGACCCTCGCGTACACCTGCTGTGCGAATCATCTTAAGCGCGGTGCTACCGGACCCGATGATGCCCGAGGCCGACGCCATATCAATACCGTCGATACGTGCGACCTGGGAGCCAGGCAGTCGCACATATTCGGCTAGCACGCCGTGGCCCATAACCACGCTAGGAATGCTCTGAAAGGCAATGACATGTGAGCCCGGATCGCGCACCTCTGCCGGTGCACCCCCGCCAGCCGCTACTACCACGCCGGAAAGCTCAATCTCTGGGACCCACGGGCTGGTGAAAGGCAGTTTAGGCAGTGTCTTCATCATCATCTCAGTACTGAACTGTAGTGACACGTTTGACACGCGGATTAGGACGTCAGGCGATGAGCCCGTGGGCACGTCGGGCATTGGATAGTCGGTGGCCAGCTCGAGCGCGCTACAAGCAGGACCGCGCCGCCGGCGTACCCAGGCACGCATGGTCGGCGGTATGGCCGGGAGCTGGGTCTTCGATGACATTCCTTCTGCTATTGGGTATTGCTGCTTGGTGAACAGATGAAGAGGACAGTTCACGGTCAGGGACGTGCCCAGTTGTAAGCACTGAGCAAAAAGCGGCAAGGCCTGGCACTAATACGGAAAGAGAGCGCCAAGAAGTGGCAGAGGAAATTAAGTACGGAGTACCTACATCAATGATATATGTAGATAGTAATTTAGGTATTTTGATTCTTCTGCCGGTCTTAATTTACGCCTGCATGCCAAAATCAGGCATTAAGGCATCAATATTTACCGGAAATGGGATTTTGACCCCTGGCGTCTATACCGCTGCGTAGAAGCCTTCCTACAAACATTAGGTAACTACTAGCCGAAAGAATCAGGCAGCAACGTAGGCCTAACCTAGGCGCTAGCATGCTGAACTGGGCTAAAACTGACACTTAGCGTGGAGAAACAGGAATTCTTACCCCCCTTGCTCTCTTCACGTTGATTGGTTCTGTTCAGCGAGTATCTGCATGTTGAGCGTCAATGATTCCACAATTAGACATGCTAGCCAGTCAGAGCTCTACATATGGACAGGTCTCAGCTGAAAGAAAACACCAGCTATCATCCACCTCCCCAAAGTTCCAAGGCGTAAATCTTTGCGACTACGAATTCTAGCATCTGAACCTCCCCAAGGCCGCACAATGTCGTCGACCGCGCAGGCAGGCCGCCTTGCGAGACTACGTGATAAGCTTCGAAAGTCTCGAGGGGGAAGCAAGCAAGAGACCGAGCACCAAACCGAAAACCATCAAACACACACATCAAATGACATTATACCCGGGGCTGTTCGAGATGCACTTACTGAAGCCACGATTCCTACCGGCAATGGAACAGCGCCTGTGGTATCTCCTGGGCCTACTGTCAGCCCCGGGCTGCAGGCGAGCCAGCCATATTCAAGTCCTTCACGCCACATTGTCTCTGAAGAGGTAGCCTCGATTCACAAGGCTCTTTGGGACAAAGCCTACAGCAACCTCATGAACGACAAGGATAAAGCAAAGTACATGACCAAGTACGAGGAGTTACTCTCGACGATGTTTCATATCAAGGATTTGCAAGGTGAATCCGTTCCAAATCTCGGAGAACACCAAATGAACCAAATCGTGACAGCGGGCTTGGAAAAAATCGAAAAATACAAAAACGCTCTTGATCATTCAGAAGGTACAATTAAAACCATCGAGGCCGTCAAGGCCATTCTTGATATTCCATTGAAAAACATCCCACAGGCTGCCTTGCCTTGGGCGATCATTTCTTCAACTGTGGAAGTGAGTGGATTTCAGTGACTTCTTTCTAAACTTGCGTTGCAAAAATCTAACACATGACGTGATCAGATATTTCTCAAGCCAGTCAAAGTCGGCGTGAGCTTGTACAACGGAGTGGGACACGTCGTTACCAGAATCGAGTTTTACTCCGACTTCACCGACCGTCTTCTAAGTCAGGAGGGCATCAGAGATGGTAGCGCTTTGATGAAAATTCGTCAGGGAATCGCAACGAGAATAACTGATCTTTATCAACCTCTGCTCTTCTATCAGATCAAGAGTGTCTGCTTTTACCACAGAAATCAAGTTGCTGTATTGGCCCGCGGAATACTAGACCTTGACGACTGGAATGGTGACTTGGAAGGTATCAAAGATGCAGAAGACCTCCTGCTTCGAGACTCTACTCTCTATGGTCTGGAAAAGATATATGATCAAGGGAAGAATATCAGCATGGATAAAAAAACAGAAGAGGAATCTGAGAACTTTCTCAAGCGCCTACGCGCTATACGACGTGTCGACCCAGCAATTGTTGTTCAGGATATCCAAATCCGGAGGGAAAAAGCCATCAACGAGGTGTACAAATGGATCTTCGAAACCGATGAGTTCAAGGCATTTGTCAAGTGGGAAGGCCAGGAAGCACCCGGACGACTATGGATCAGCGGACAAGCTGGAACCGGGAAGACGATGCTCCTAATTGGTGCCATCCAGGAGATCCAGGACCGTGGTCTATTGAACACCGGACATGAAGAACCTCCAGCCATTATATATTTCTTCTGTCAACACACAGATATTAAACTGAGAAATGGAGCGGCGGTTCTTCAGAGCTTGACGTGGATGCTGCTTCAACAACAGCCTCACTTACTAGCACAACTTGGGGAAAGATTCTTCGATTCAGAGGGAAAATTCAGCTATGACCGGGATTCGGTTTCCACTTGGTCTAGCATCTTCACCAACATGTTGAAAACATCTGGGCGTGTGGTTATCGCCATTGACGCTCTTGACGAGTGTGAGGAAGAGACGAGAAAACATCTTAAAGACTTCATTGACGACACACTGCTCATGAAAGAGCTATCCCATGTTAAGTGGTTAATTACCAGCCGGCCCATATTCGAACTTGCAAGAAGCATGCCAGACAAAAATTTGGAAAAGCAAAACCTCCTCGCTCTCGATGACTGCAACCTCACCCCCTATATCGATGCGTATATCAATCAGAAGATGGTAGGTCTCCGACATAACGCCAAGAACAAAAGAAGATTGGATAAGATAACCGAGCAATTGCGCGAGCGAGCAAGCAACACATTTCTCTGGGCTTCCTTGGTTATTCAGCGCCTCGAAGATAAGCCTGAGGCTTCATGGAATCGAATGCTCGAAGAGATCCCTGATGGCCTTGATAAGTTATACGAATATTTACTCACGGGAATCGAAGATCCAGAGTGCAAGGACGTTCTTGTTGTCACAATGCTGGCACGTCGACCCTTGATGCTTCGGGAAATTGAGCAGCTCGCTGGTCTGGAAGCAGGCGTTGATGCAGGGCGAGACTTTGTCATTTTATGCAAATCTTTCCTGGCTCTTCGTGACGAGACTGTTTATTTGATCCATCAATCAGCTCAGGATTGGCTTTTAAAAAACCGCCAACGACTTCGTGATGCACCATTGCAAGATCTTCACGCATTGATCTTCAAGAAGTCATTAGAAGGCCAAGGAGAACTCCTGAAAGAAAACGTGTATGGGCTGTCACATCATGGCATTCTATCAGAAGAGGCTAAACCCCCGAAGGAGGACCCGCTGTGGCCTATCTGCTATAGCTGCCAGTACTGGGTGTACCATCTTGGCGAAAGTCAAGTTTCTCCATCCACTGATGTGCTTGAGTTCTTACAGGCACACTTCCTTCACTGGCTAGAGGCAATGGCTTTGTTAAAGTTATTGCCAGAAACAGTCCAGATTGTAGACAAGCTACAATCATTGGCAGCTGTAAGTCAAGAGTGAAGAGTGAAGACAGATAGATTTTGAAAATGTGGTGTTAACTCTTGAACTAGGCTCACGCGAAGGTCGAAATTTCTGATTTTCTCCTTGATGCTAAACGATTCGTCCCGACAAGCCTCCCCGCCATGACTGTGGCACCGTTGCAGATCTACGTTTCCGCACTCATATTTGCGCCAACAGCTAGCTTAGTACGACAGACAGGGACAATACCTGCCTGGATTCATACAACTCCACTTGTTGATGAGGAGTGGGGGTCTTTGTTGCAAACCATCGAAACTTCTTCAGATATGGTTCGAGTGGCGTTGTCTCCAGACAACCAGCTCGTTGGGGGGGCAGATGGAGGAAGGGTCAGACTTTGGGACACGAAAACAGGGATCCTCAAAAAGGAACTTGATTGCGAGGGCCCTGGGTCTTTATTGTGCTGCGAATTCTCTGCTGATGGCCAGATGTTGGTCTCAGGATCGTCCGATGACAAGATTTATATATGGGAGACTGCTAAATGGAATCTGACACCCATATTGGACCACTCATCTGGGATTGACGCCTCGGCTGGGATTGAAACTGCGATTTTCTCTCCAAACAGCAGTGTGCTAGCATGCAGCTCACCCAATGGTAATATCAATGTGTGGATAAGGGATACGAATACGTGGAATCTTAAATGGAGTTTCCATCACTCAGGGAACCTACTCAACCTTTCATTCTGTCCCAAAAGCTTACTCCTTGCTGCGGGCACGCAGAATGACGAAGTTTCCATTTGGAACCTGGCAACCGGGGAGCTACAGCCCATCATTCAATGCCCGGAGCCTTTGAAAGCTGCGAAGTTTTCGCAGGATGATCAGTTCTTGTTGACGCTCTCTTTTGACGGTATCATCTGCTTCTGGGATACTGATAACTGGAGTCTTAAACAGGAATCCCAAGTCCCCGAACGCTGTTTTGACTTTGCAACTTCTCCAGACAACAAGTACCTTGCGACCAGTGGAGAGAATAGATCAATCGTGGTGCGGGAGAGAAACAAGGGGACAGTTTCTCAAATTGCACATGGCCATACCAACAGCATCAGGGCTATAACATTCTCTTCAGACAGCAAAATGATGGCAACATCGGCACAGGATCGAACTATCAGACTATGGGCCAATGCACCCGGGAAATCAACAAAGAATCTGGACAAACACTCCGGTTTGATAAGTGACATCAGAATCTCCCCAGATGGTTCTCTAGTAACGACATCTGGAGGGTATAGCGAAGTGAAATTTTGGGACGCAAGTACAGGCCATCTGAAAAGAACCGTGGACAATATGGGCGTCCTCATCTCTACCGCTAGAATCTCTGCGAATAACAGGATCTTGGCATCGGGCTCAAGCTCGGGAACTGTGATAGTGCGAAATGTCCAGTCAGGAGAGCCGATTGTTGAAAGAAATGGGAACGGATATATCGAAGGCCCACAGAAAATCACAGACATTCAGTTCTCTCGGAGCAGCAAGCTTTTAGGCGCCAGAACAGCCTCTGGACTCATCGAGGTATGGAACACAGAAACAGGGAATCATGTGATGACTCAATATGGCGAAGAATTCGAAGGCGAAGAACTTGCAAGATTTCTCAATTCACTTGAGCAGGAAATATGCTTGGGGGAGACAGATGAATTCTTCGAGGATGAACTTCCTCTTGGGAACGTCCTAACATCACAGCAATGTCAAATCTCCGTTGTGGGTAACTGGGTGATCCTTGGAAAACAGAAAAGTATATGGCTACCACCAAACCATCGCCCATATCGTTCAAGGGGTTGGGACCAGACAAACAATATTCTGGCCGTTGTAACTCCGGGAAAATGGGCTGAGATCTTTGCGTTCGATCCTGTTGCAATGTCTGCTGGACAGTTGCAAACCTTCGAGTGAGATGGTAGATTCTTGCTGGACCTTGACGATGAAGTGATTTCCTGATGTACTTGACGGACTATGGTGTGTGCACAAGGGAATGTATCAGGTTCTTTGCCGTGGAAGAGAAGTTAAATTCCATGTGCTCTATGTTAGACATCTAGTAGTTTCCCCCGTTCAATCCACTGAATATTCTAGGTTTTACCCACAGCCTAGATTTTCAGCTCGACCACCCTTATAATATGACTGTTATACTACATCCGTTACCGTTCATATCCAGGACCTCGATTCCCATTTCCCGCAAAGGGATCCTACGACCGTGGTTTTTTCATGAATGGAATAAAGTGTTTAAAAGCTTTGGGCAACCTCGAACAGTCAGATCCACACAATCTTAGCTTATAGATCAATCTCTAGAGTACAACAGTTTCGACAATGGGGCAGATTGTGTCCCCAAGTCTGTCGAAGTTCACACGAAGACTCAGTTGTGGAGTGAGAAGCTTGCTGCTAGTGTGTGGCTTCCGGTGATTTCAATCCTTTAGTTCGGTTCCTAGGCAGTTGAATCTTCTAGGATTTCGACAAGATGAAATAAATCTTGCAAGCTGGGACTTTCTGGTAGCTCCTCGAAAGATGGTAATTATACTCACTTCTTTGATTCAGCGGTCGTAATAGAGGGAGACAGCCTTGCCCATACCCTTGCGCTATAACTATATATATAACTCCGGTTGTAAAGGGAATGACCAATGCGCCTACGACTCGAATGGAGAAAACACCGGAGAATAATGGCGCTCAGATTGTGCAATGCGTCGCCAGAGGAAAATCAACAAGGAAGCAAAAGCCAACAACTACGCACGTTATATTTGTTCAAGCTGCGGAAACCCGAACCCTGAGCTCCATCAGGCAAAACCTGGCCTAGGACTCAAGCTCCTGAAGCTTGAACAAGTGCAGCCTGCATAGTTGTAAGACTCGGTTTCCTTATTAATTTCCCTTGGACACATCGCACAAACAGAGCACCATTTTCCCCCGGTGTTTGCTCCATTCAAGTCGTAGGCGCACTGGCGATGTCTTTTAGGTCCGGGGTTGTACATAGAAGTATAGTACAAAGGTATAGTATAATGAATTGTTGTTCAAGGTAACGGCCTCACTTCGGCGGTAGTTTTTCACAATTCTGTATTGTGCTATAGGTCATCAATCAGTTAGCACCCATTGCTTGACTGGTGTTGCTGTAGTGACGTAGCTTACCAAGTGGAAGGCAGGGTGGATGATTGTTACCATCCTTGAACTCCAGCTGGGACGGAGCAGAGCTCGATTCCCGCTATCCATAGATATCAGACTTCTTTTTTATAAATTGAGAAAAGGGCCTGGCTTCAGGTGGAAGCTGGGAAGCCAGCCTTGGGTGTGAAACCTAGCATGACTAATGCCAGAGTGGGAATGATGATATAAAAGATGAAGAAATAAAAACCCAGTGAGGTAGTATTTATATGGCAAGGGCAGGCAACCAGGCAAACATGATATTGCCATTTTCCTTTCACGTGAGCGATGTGAAACAGAGGTAAATCAGGGGGGATCTGGATCGTATGTAGTTGTCCGTGGGAATTCAGGTATTCCATGGCAGCCTGCATATCCAGGGCAGAGCTAAATGATTTGGACTGTTTATACTCTGTAGTGTCTCTCAGAGTTCCACCTGGAAGACGGTAAGCCGCAGTCCTCGGTTCTTTGCCTCTCAACACTATTATGCTGTACCCCCTGGATATAGTACTGGGATGAGTTGGTCCCTGTCTCTTGGACGAAGTTAAAAGAGGCATATTGTAGTATTGCATGTTGGACAGCGTGAGAGAGTTTAATAACCGGTAGTCGTCTTCAAAATTATTGTCTCTTCATGAGAGGTATCGCAAGAGACAAATCGGCTTTGCAACAAAAGATATAGACAGAGAGCAAGAGCTTCAGATTTCAGTACTGGAGTGGATAAACTAGATATCTTTCCTCTTTTCTAGATTGTACAAGACAAGCTATCAAAATAAGGGTGGTATAATCCAGAAAGGGAAAAAATAACAGTGCAAAGATAATATATTTGAGATTGCCCTAATTAGGCTCCAGAGACAAAAGGATATGAAGGAAGTACCTACGGAGTAGTACCTAGGTAAATATAAAGAATAGAGGGGCAGTCATTTGTCAATTAGCTTAACCACCTAGACAATCAAATACCCGTTGTCCGATAGGCCACCATAACCCCGGGGCCGTCGTAAACGCGATCGGCGGTAGCATCCTCTAACGGAGAACTTTGGCCCCCGAAAATATAAAATGACCAGAAGTGGGCTTCGGCTTTTAGAAATGACTTCAATGTTGCTAAGAGCGAATCAATTGAGAGGTTTTGGCAAAGTCGAGGCCCCCTCATTTGTAAAGGAAGAGCCTGGCACCTCCAGTTTTAGCTATAGATCAATTAACAAGAACATTGAAACATTCTATCAAAAGGACCATGTCAACCCAGATGGTTACAAGGTTGGATCATCTGTTGGGAAATAAACCGGGTATTGGTTAAATCCGGCTTATAAATAGGCTTATAAATACATAGGCTTATAAATCCATGGATAGGAATTGGTATAGTTTGGCCCTAGGGGACTAGGTGGGTGTATAAGACATCCAACTCCTCTATAACTAGGTCGGGAGACTGTCTACTTCCCAATACTACTCTCTCCCTCCTTCCCTTTGTCCCTACATTCGTAGTGCCCCAACATATTCAAGCTTAACAGATTCGCCAACTACATATATAAATTTTCCTCTTTGCAGCCTTGCAACCAACATTCCCGGAAATACTTGAATATTCACAATGACTACGTCTTACCTACTTCCTGCGAACACCTTGGTACTTGTTACAGGTGCCAATGGCTTCATAGCGTCTCATATCATCGACCAGTTGCTTGATAAAGGCTTCAAAGTCCGGGGCACAGTTCGTGCTCCTAAGCCATGGCTCAATGCCTTTTTTGATGAGAAACATGGGAAAGGGCACTTTGAAACCCTGGTTGTCACAGACCTCGGGGATGCCCAACAATTGGAAAATGCAATGCAGGGAGTTGGAGGTGTCATCCATGTGGTCAGTTCAATACACAGCCATTCAAGAAGAAGGCGGTAATTCCAAACTTTCTTTCTAATCATATTTGTCAATAGGCATCTGATGTGTCTTTCAGTGTGGACCCTCATGCCGTCATTCCCTGGGTGACGGATGCTGTGCGCAAGGTTCTTGAAGCTGCATCTAAGACTGAAACCATTCAAAGGGTTGTTCTTACTTCATCGTCACGAGCTGCCTATATGTCTTCGCGCGGTAGCACCAAGGGTGTTCGTATAGACGAAAGTAAGTATCTCACGCCTGGCCAGAGGGGCAGGCTAATACCTTTTCAGATACTTGGAACGAGGAATCAATCAAAGCAGCATGGGATCCAACGACCCCGGAGGACGCCAAAGCCTTTGCTGTGTATTCTGCGTCTAAAGCAGAAGGTGAGAAGGCCGCATGGGCATGGATGAGAGACAATCAACCTCATTTTGAATTCAACACAGTGCTTCCCGACTTAAATGTGAGAATTTCAAATCGTTCCAAAGAAAGACCCTGGCTTTTACTAACCAAGAGTCTTTACATGGTTTAAGATTGGAAGGATTCTTCATCCGGAGATTGCTGGCTCGAGCATGGGCTTTGTACGTACGCTTCTCAAAGGAGATACTACCTCGTTCGAGATTTTCCCTCCGCGTAAGATTCCATTTCCCCCCCCCCCCACCTCAGTCCTGTTGTGGAATACTTGAACATTCTCTAACATTTCGAAACCTGCAGTGTGGTATGTTGATGTTGAAGACACCGCTCGTCTCCATGTGATCGCGCTGCTCAGTCCCGATGTGAAATCTCAAAGGCTCTTTGCCTTTGCAGCATCAAAGAATTGGACCGACTATGTTCAAACTCTTCGCAAACTGCGACCCGACAATAAATTGATCCCAGAACCTCCTGCGAATGACCCACATGATGAAACGGATGTCGTTCCGGCCCATAAATCCGAGACATTACTCAAAGATTTCTTGGGCAGGCCAGGTTGGACTCCATTTGATGAAAGTCTCGCCGCTGGTATAGAAGGGTTGGAATAGTAGTGCGATAATGACTTTTGTTATATGTCGGAAATGGGGGATCAGCCAGCATATTCCACAGGGTATTTGTCCTGAATGCTGCATGGCCTCTGCATGGGAAATCACACACACCAATACATTTTAGACCAGTCCGTGTCATGATAAATTGCCAGATTTTGGTCGTTCGATTGAATCAGAGAAATATATATCAAGATCCTGGTTAGCATACATAAACGGTGTTAATAATTAGACCCGCCTACCTAAAAATTTCAGTAGTAGTCAACAGGATAGACCCTCCTGGGGCCGAGTGACAGTGTCTAAATGTTGCTGATGTGTAAGACTTTCACGACTGCATTCTTGTCGAGGCAACCTTACTGCCTTAAGGCGGATAGGACTTTTGCTCCCCACCTACTTGATCTTCCTCCATCCCTCTCCCTCCGTCAACGGCTGAATTCAACACGTGGTTTCTCACTCGCAATTCCTTCTCGCATTTCCTTCTCTATGATTCTGCAATCCTTGGGCCACCAGTTTCCGAGCTGAGGGCACTAATCGGCCCAACCGGGGTTTTAGACCCATGAACAATATCCCGACCATTCGAACTCTTCCACTAACTCGCGTTATTCACAATCACCGTCATGATATGGAGTTGAACCTCTTATAAGTGTCCAGATCCGTCAGTGGAACCCAGTTGACCCGTCTCTTTGGATATTGCTGACCTTACGACCGGATCTGCGATAGCACAGCCCAACGAATACCCGAATCCATTGCTCAAGAAGCCATGGTATCCCGTGGAGGTGAGCAACACGAGCGATACTTCTGACTGCCGAGGCGATCATATAATGTTTCGGCTAACATCAACTACACACCACACCTAAGCTGCGGGGAAGGGCGGGGAAACCAAGATGCCCCAAAGACGCCCAGCTTTGGAGGAGTGAGATGACGTCATATCTAACAATATGGCAGCCCGAATGAAAGAAAAGAAAAGGTCGTTGGTGTTATGACGGGCAGCTGACAAGGACTATATCTAGCCGATCATGTTCGCTTCTCTGAGCTTTCTCACAACAGACTCCTCATTAGCTGAATTCACAAGGATCCCATCCGCAGCCGCCAGCAATCCGCCTTCTGCCTTGTTAACCTCCAGATATTTCCCATCCCAGCTGTATATAACATCCCCATGACGCTGCTGATCACTAAAAAGAAGCGCCGCACTCCGGGCTACAGCCTCCGGACTCTGAACACCGACACCAAGCGCCTCAATAAAAGGGGTATCAATAATGCCAGTTGCTGTCCAAGAAGGCGCAACAGCATTGAGTCGAACCTTTCCCTCAAGTTGATACCCTATCCCGCGGATGAGCCCCAGAACACCATGTTTCGTGATCGTGTAATCACCAGTGCTGAAGTTCTGGAACGAAGACGTAGAAGCAGTGACCACGATACTGCCCAGTTCACCAGATGCACGATGTGCCGAGTTCTTCTGGATGTAATATGCGGCTAGCCGAACTGTGGAGATGACACCCAGAAGATTGACATTGATAGTCCGGAAATTAGGAGGGGTGAGTTGACCATTTTCGTCAAGGTTGTCGTCCAAGAAATCGGACGTTGGCCCGACGCCTGCATTGGCGAAGACATGGTCAATACAACCGAACCATTCTTCAACCTGGATAAATGCATCGCGTTGGCTTTCCCATGAGCAGACGTCCAGTTTTATAAACTTGAGCTTCTCCGAGATCTCGAGGTCGGACGGTAAAGGGTTCAGATCGCCGATGATTACATTCGCGCCGTGCTTCAGACATAACTCTGCAGTTGCTTTTCCGATTCCTGACGCGCCGCCTGGTATTATCAACATTTCTGATTCACTGTTCGTGGTGGTAGAATGAAATATGCGTACCGGTAATGAGAATTACCTTATCCTTCATTCCCTCGAAGATAGCGTCGGAAATTTGTACGGTCGCCATGTTTGGAGATAGGTGTTGGATTGGGTGACTAGTATCTCGGACTGATGTTGGCAGGGTTTATATCTTTCTGGTTATGTTGACAAGCCGAAGTTGTTGAAGTAGTACAGACGAAACTATACTGCATATATAAGATGAAATGGATTTGCGCGAAGATGATACTAGGAGATCAGAAAGAAGTAAATTGTAAAGCTGTCTAATCTCTTCATATTTGGAATAGAAGTCTATATTTATAGCCTTCGCTTCTACCCCTGTAGAATCCTAACCCCTCATCTGTGTCTGAATCTCTCATTAGTCAGATGGCCAGTAGCCGAAATATGGTATATGTACGGAGTACGTATTTGGTACCTAGGACACTATACGTACTTGATTTCCTCTGCCGGGTGAGGCTTTCCTATCTTAGCTGCCGCCGCTTTTATGAGGGCGCTCAGGGTCAGGCTCACTGAGTAGATTTCAGTCCGGGCTCAGATTCAGTGAGTGTGGTCCCTAACGAATGTTAGGGCCTAATATATATATCGCTGCAGAGACGAACAGAGGTTCTGTTTGCCCTTATGATCTTTTGGCCTAGCGGTTAAATGCTCTTATGTAAACCCTTAGGAGTCCATGGGTACCTAGTTAGGTAGCGGCCTAAGCGGAGCACAAGATTACATGAGCTGCTCAGTAATATCATATGATAAACCAGTGGGGTCCATTGATTCTGCCTTAGGCAGCTGCCCCACTTGGGACAGATCCCAGATAGTAGACCGTAGCCTGATAGCTCTCTCTCTCTCTCTTCCTCCTTCCTCTCTCTGTCCCTTTGCTCCCAGGCGAATCTCACAGTATTGTTTCTCCATATCTGGATCTCCACTCTGTAGATTCTCCATCATAATCTTGCCATCATACAACTTATGTTTTTTTTACTGCCAATCAAAAAAAGACTGAACTTTATAAAGTTAGCCTAGAATTGTCCATCTTTTTACCGCTCGTTCTAGACCTCATTTATATAGTAATACATCCATATATCGGGCTTTAGCCATTAGCGGAGGTTCTATATCATGGTACTTTTTGTCTCATGTCATTTTTGCCACGTCGTGCAACTTCCGTGGTCTAGAATAATTTCAATTAGCGTCATATGCTTCTGGTTTTCAATTTGCTATTGGTGGATTGCCCCGGGTTGGGTTTGAATTTTCTAGTTTTGCGGTTCGGGAGGACGTTTGCGTGTAACTATGCTTAATCCATCCATTACACTAAGCAATAGCCATGTAGTCAAAGATGGATGAACCATGACAGCTGATGAACGTATCATATTGACGTAGCCTGCTCTGTTACTCATGCGTCGGTATATAAGCCTTGTTCAGGAAAGGGCATCGCTTGTTAATTTCATTTGTGTATAACGCACCATACGAACTATCAATTCGACAATTTGCGAACATGAAGTTAATTCCACTCCTGATCTCTGTGCTACCAGGACTAGCACAACAAGTGAACCAAGCTGTCCTTGAAGTTCCAGAGCCCTACGCCAGCAATTGCAGTGCAAAGCAGATTCAGTCAATGACAGTCACGAAGGATTGCGATTGCTGGAGCGGCAAAACTAATTGTCGAGCTTTGGAATACACATGTCCAAATCCCGACAGAAATATACGTGCAATTAGCGGTCTAAATTTTAACACTTCTCTTGGTCCATGCTTTTATGATGATAATGCTTCATGCAATTCCTGCTATCTCTGGTTCCATAATCTATGTTCGTGCATACAGAAGCTGCTATACACCCCCGGCAGCACCAACTGCAAGAACAGTACTGCTCTCAAAACAAACAACCCAGTTTGGATGCTGCTTGAAGACCAGCGACTGATCACCACAACGCTGCCATTGTCCGGGATTGAAAAACTGCAAGATGCCGGCCCTCATGCTGATGCTGGCTGGAGTTTTGCGCAGACAAAATACAAGAGGGGTACACAAGCACTGGCTATGAACTCAATGGCGTCAAGGACTGAAGAGCAAATCCACATCCATGTGTGCGATATCAAAGATCGACCATGTTATCCGAGTTTCAGAACTCGTGAGATACTGTCATGCCTCAGTAATGACACCGCGAGTCGTGCTGAGTATAAAAACATGAAACCGGTACCCTTGATGCTTGGCGATACGAAATGCAAGGTGGCAGATCACAAAGGCGACAATATTGACATAGTAGGGGACATCGAATTGGAGATACGGAAGAAAGATTGCAAACTCAATACTGGAGCGGGGATCATAACGGACAGCAATAATTTTACCTGGGCGTGCTTGACAGATAGCACGATGGCTGCTGAATACATATTCTGTAACTAGCGCAGAGGATGACTGGCGGTGCGAAACTCCCATCTTATCAAATGTACTCTTAACTTAAGCGACAATGTACCCTGTATATGTCCTTTTCTTTTATAATCCTCCTTCTGGTTACCATTTTGTGCTATCCAACCGGTTTGGATTAGAGCAAATATCAGCCACGTATCTGCAGCTATCCACCGTTCCAACACTTTAAGAGTCCCTGACACAATCACATCTATCTTGCAAGTCATCTCGCAAGTCAACCTTCATATGGGCTTCGTGGGTCAGTTATGCAGCGCCGAAGAATTATGCTTTGGGTGAAATTTTCTAATGAAGCTTGGTTTGGTGCGACTAAACCAGATGCAGATCGATGGCCTGGAGAACATTTTCAATTTACCTGCGCATGTCCCCGAGATATTGAGGGATACACAGTATACTTGATCCCTAGTTTTCGGATATTTGATGTACAATAACACGGATAACAAGATAGGCAAGCTACTTCGCATTCTAAGAGAGTATCTATATAGTGCCCGAGCCACTAATTAATTTAGAGGATATTTCTAGGTGTAATATAGCTACTAGATTATAGTTAGTTGTAAATAAGAATATACGGAAGGGAGTTATATTCTAATACCTTAGGGGGTTTTATTACTATTATAAATTAACTACGACGAAAGCTATAGTAAATAATACGGCCGGCGGAGTCTTTTTTAGGCTTCTAGGAACACTAGAGCTTTTAGTTTCCTTAATAGTACTCCGCTAGTATCGTGCTAATATAATAATATCTATAGGATGTTCTTAGATCACTACTATTAGTGATTTACGGGTAGTGAATAGTGTTAGAAAGTTAATATTAACGTTTACGCCCAACGGCTTCTGTAAGCCGAAAGTGCAAATAATACTCATCAATATATAATACTATGTCACTAGGCAGGGAAAAATGGCTTGTTGCATAGATAGAAATAATGTTCCGGGCTCTACTTATAGGGAGTGGCAATGATAAACTTTATGTTAATAATGGAAAATTACAGAGAGTGACTTTATTCTGACGAAGAGTGGGATATGTTCCAATATGACGGGCAAGGTAAACAAGTCCCTTTTCACTCAGTCGACCACTCTGAGCGAAAGCCTGACCGTACTTCCCCATGCGATCCTTGACGTTGAGGTCAAATAAAACACCTTCACATTACTGCTTGGCAATGACAATGGCTCCAGGCAAAGGAGTACCCTGGTAATTCGGCCCCAGAATATTTGACTGCACCAAATATTAGTCAGCAGACCCCTAACCAAGGATGAGATGAATTGGTAAACATACCGACATAAAGCACCCTTTATCAGATGAGCGGAATGTTGCATCTCCACACGCCGGTTTGGAGGCACATAGATCCGCACATGCCTTAGCATCAGCCACATTAGCGAAACCGACTGATAAGGATATTAGCCACTGGGAACTTCTATGTAACGGGGAAACAACGTGCCATCAGGTCCTAGGTTGGTTGTCACATCGCAGTAAATTTTGTACGTGAGGCCGTTCTTAACATAGAGCTTCCCGTCATCAGCCGGGCAAGTCGGGTTGGTGGTAGTGGGAGTGCCCGGCGCACAGGCTGCGGGTTGATAGACGGTCCCGAGGGGACAGCAGCCCGATTGGCCCGTTGTTGCGTCTGTATACCGGGTGCCTAAAAATTTGTTAGTGTATCTTATGTCCAGGATACCAAGAAGACAAGTGCAAATGTTACCCACCGACGCAAGCGGGACAGTAGCTCGCATCAGAGGGGAGACCAGGGCCAGTAGTGGCAAGGCCCACAGAAGCCAGAGAAGTCAGAACAATAGCAGGAAGGTACTTCATAGTGACTTGATAATACTGAATTCTGAATAGCAGAACAATTGTGGTTCTAAGAAGAATATTAAAGACTCTTCCAACATAGGGTAGCCTATTTATATACAAAGAAATCGGATTTAACTGGCATGGCTTTTGCAATTACTATTATTCATACATTGCTAGTTTAGTCTGCTGTTTATCTGCAGTGCTGTAGTCACTCTGCATAGTTACTGCATTAAGTTTATTAGATGTGTCATTTTCCTTAAACCAGTCACAATCCATTAACGAGCTGCAAGCTGCAAGGTGCTGGATTAGCCAGACCAAGTCAGCAGTTCATGCACATTAGTGCGCGGAAGAGAGGTAACCAAGACAGCTATGTTGCAAGCTAGGTATCCCCCAAGAGGAAATCAAATTCATAAGCTCCCAGCTTTAGTAATACTGAGGCTTAGGCCTTAAGACGCATACGGAAGAACATAATTACTTCGCTGTTATAGTGTCATTGGCAATTTTGAATTTGTCAAGGCAGCATTACCTAGGTAGAGTTGTTCAACGATCGTTTTAGACATTAGGTTCTGGGATTGTACTAACCTTAATCATCGGCAACTTGTCATACCCCATAACGCAATGCAATGATGGATCTAGCGGCAGATCTATAGCGGGGTAACTGCGAACATCATGTATGCCCCGCAGATAACTAACTCAATATTGTGACACAGAAGGGCTAGATCATAGGAAAGTAGTCACGTGTCTTGGTGGCGCATATCAAGATAGGTGCTAGAGGGGTGTTCCGTCGGCTTAAGAACCCCAATCCTTCCATGAAGTGTAGAAGCTGATAGGACCTTTGGTGGCCTCATCTCAAGTGCGAGCAACCCTGCAGCCCCCGATGCAATAGAAAGTGAGTTACCCATGGCGGTGGTCGAGAGTTTCAGCGACTCGTGCATCGATACAAACTAATAGGCAAAGTGTGGATGGTGAATGGTGGATGGTGGATAGGCGATTTTCCAAATCGTCATGTGGGAGAGAATTAAGGCGCATTGAGGTCGCAGTGGTATGACCAATTCTGGAACGTAAAAGATTTAAGTTTAGACCAGATGTATAGTAGCGGGTTTTAAGACAGGTGTAGAGAAATCTCGGTTGGGAATATGTTTGAGGCATATACACAAGATGCATTTTCTTGGCAAGGCTTGAATCATTCGCACCGCGACCCATCTTCTAGACCTGGCAACTGCAATCAGAACAAAACTGACGGGTCAACACTGTCCAGCCGTACCCAACACGGGAGCATGGAGAGGCAAAGAGAAGATCGTTAGTCCACAAAGCTAGGCGTGGCAAAAGGCTCTCAAGAACGTAACGATAAAAGACAGTTTGAGAACAGAGCACGGACCAATGAGGCAAAGGAAACGTGCGTATAATATGCAGATCGAGCTGTCGAATCCTAAAGCCCTAACAGATCATATATACCACAATTTATACAAAAACTGGGTCGAACTAGGCCTAAACTGGGTTTTCTAGGGCCCTAGTCACTAGGTCTGGGTTGGGCCTGGGTTATCAGCTTTCGACACAAAATGGGTCATGCAGAAGACTGGGGCCGGTACAAAAAAAGATCGCCATAAAGGTTACTCGATGGCAAAGAACCATGCGCCGTCCCTAAGGACAAAGTATGCTGAAAAGACTTTTGCCTTGGAGATGCAAGACTGCCGAGCTGAGACGGGCTGATTATTCTCAAATCCTATGTCCAACCTGACTCTCATTCGGAATATATAAACTTTTAAACATATAACTCTCTCTCCATAGCCCAGAGAACAAAACCTTTGTTGTAACCCCAGGTAAAAGGAGGAAAATATTGTTCCCCCACGACGCGGAACCCCCTTTTCAGCCAATAAACACCTTGGATCTCACGAATGGATTTGAGCATAATGCACGAGTGAACCAATTCTGTGCACTCCGCAAGAGACATTCTTTTCTTCAGTTCCTCCTCACATGCCTTAACCAAGCTTTCCGCAATACCTTTCCTCCGATATCGAGGATCCGGCGTGATCGCGACAGCTGCAATTTCAAAATCCCCCTCGCAGGGCACATTCTGGGATTCATCACGAAGGCTATCCAGCACCGTAGGGTTTCCAGAGAAGATCTCATCCGCACTGAATTGGTCAAAATGGCCCGGTAACTTCCACGCGGCGCCTTCGGAATCTGGCAACCAGACTTTCAAGCTTGCAGTACCGATGATCGCATTTTGAGCAAATGCAATTGCAGTAAAGCCAGCTTCCTGAAGTTCATCGGCAAGCTGGGTGTCGCTTTCGAGCCGGGGTCCGTACTTTTCGAAAGGACTGACACCGGTATCATAGTAGCCGGCGTTGATCACGTCCCGGAGCTCATGCAAGAAGGGCTGCCTAAGAAGATCCCTTTGTGCGAAGGTTTCGATTCTGTGGGAGGGTGGAGCTGGTGAAGATTGGATGGGTTTTAGGATATCCGGAGTCTGTAGTATGCCTTCCACAGTGGTAGTAGACATTTTGAGAATGAATGGAAGATCCCCAGAAGTGGAATTTGGCAAAAGACATAAATGATATTGTAGTTCGGTCAGCATTCTAAAGGAATGCAACTTGTCAAGTGAAGGGCGTGATATACGAGATGTAACCGAAGGCCGCAAGATAGCGCGGATGCCCCAATTACGCCAATAGCAGCCAGTCTGTGCGCCGCATCTCCACGGTTTCAGAATAAGCAAAGCCAAGAAGTACAGTAGTTCCGGAAATTGGAGTCACCAACTACTCTCTTCCATTATTTCCCAAACCCCAATGCCAAGACCAACTAGTCTGTATTAAGAATAGCCCTGGTGTATCAATCTTCCTGTGTCATTGTATACGGTATTTAAGTTGAACCTATCACATGAGCCGTGTATAGTGACAGTATGTGCGATAGTACTGCTAGACTTCTCAGTGGGATGTACTGCCTTGAGGGTATGACTCACTTAACAATGTTAGTTTACCTTTATCGAACGGGTTATCAATGGCGTGCCACAATTGATTCTGCTAGGGCATGAAGTCCTTAAAAACTCTCGCGGCATTGTCGAGATACCAGTCCTGGACTCCAGGGGCCCGCTGGTCCCGCCAGGTGTAAAGATGCATTTCCTCACCCTGCCTCCTGGTGTGGGCTAGCGGATACTCTGCAGGCCTTATCGACCTATAAATTGTATGCGTCAATACCATTGCTCCCAGCATAAGGGGGATCAACTGGCTAGCGGATTTAAGCGCATACATCCCTCTGTGGGGGTTCCATTGTATCGTGAGTTCTGTCGCGGCTATGACCACAACTGACGTGAACAACCTAAACGCACCTACCCAAACCAAATACCTAGAAGCATCAAAGTCAGTGTATTCCTTTGGGATCAAATAAAGCATCTTACCTGAGTTTGTCAACAGGAATTTGCCCGAGGCCCTGTGGCGCTGCACCAGGTATTCCAGTTATTCCCCCTATGGGAATTATAACCCACAATTTCCCCTCAAGAAACCATGAAATGGCGGCAACAAGGCGGACAATACAGAAACAGGTCATCCATCCATCAAGATCTATATTAATGGCTCTGAGAACAAGAGCATTAAGATTCACACGACAAAAAAGAAACCCGAATTCTGGACACTCTGGATTCTTTGCCGATGATACTTTAGTTGTCCAGAACCACAGCTTGAACCCAGACACGGCTAGCAACAGAGACTGCTGAGTTATATCGAACTCTGCACTGGCGATGACAAGCGTCCATTTGGTAGGGTCTAACGTTGGATCGCAGCAGCTGATGATCCTCCAGGCAGATATAGGGATAAACATGTAGAAGTAGCCAAAGCAAAGAAGCATCGGAACGTATATGTCAATCATCGGAATGTCTGAGGTGGACGTCTGAACAATGACAGCTATCAGTGTGGCAATGGTGAATGCTAAGAGTCCGAATCGGATGGGACCAACATCGGCTTTCACACGGAGAACGGCTGCAAAAGCACCTGCAAGCCACTGAAGATAAAACCCGAGCCGAATTCCGAGACCATACGTCTCAGGGTTTTCCGAAGGACAGCTGGTATCGTCCATATTTGCTTGCTGAAAGGTCGAATATGTGGGTAATTGTAAATTTCTGCAACACTAAACAAAGCAGAAAGAAGAGCTGCAGATGTCATTTTGAAAACAGTTGTTCCACAGGTGTCGCGATTAAAAGTAGTAGTTCAGAATTCGACATGTATTTCGTCCGCGTTACCATGTCCTGTAATTGAGTGGTTAGCGAAATGATAGGATGCCTTCCAAAGTGATGTTGCTTAACAATGGTCTAGGCTAGGATGGCCCTCGATGTAACGTCTAATGGTATGCATTCGTGACATGTAATTTGTTTGTATTGAGGGGCGGTTTTGGTCACCCGAGCTTGGTGTTTCATGAAAATCGGCGCCGCACGCGGATCTTACACTGTAAATATGACAAAAAACAATACCCTCTTGAAAATAAGCTTTTTGGGCAGGAAAGGTTAGCCAGCTCATAACCCTGATGATATAAATATCTATAACTTGTCATTACTGCCGGATTTCCATAGAAAAGAGAGCATTTGACGAAAATATCTAAGTTGAAGAGGGAGATTGTTACGGATCTACTTGTGAAGGTAGAGAGCCCTTGTCGATCAGGTAAGACAAGAGAGCTAGGGAGGAGGTAAGGCTAAGTAGTAGATCAGGTTAACACATGGAATGATCCTTGAAGAAGGAAACTAAGTACAGGAGATATGTGCAATCGTTTTATCCCCTTTTCCTGCTTTAGTGAGAGCTAAGTGCCCTAGCGACAGGGATTATGTAGGATGTATTTGCCACACACTTCCTCAGTGATATATCCATATACGCCTATTTTTCCTGACCATTGTCAGAATGTTAGCACGTAAAACAGGCCTAAGCGCAAGCGTAGATTTGACAGCAGTCAGAAAATCCCTGAAAGAGAGAGCGAAAGAGAGCCTTTTAGGAGATTCTTTCCTTTCTATAGCAAATATAACCAGGTGAAATATGATATAATCATACCCAAGCAACCGCATATACTAAAAGCAAGGACTGAGGCCCTTCTATGTCGACCTAACTGATTACTGGGGAAGACCCGCTGAGGCAATTCTATGTCGGCCAAGACCAGCTTATGGACGCAGGCCAGACTGTCGGTAAAATCCTGCACTCTGTATAACAATAGATGATCGTGCGTAATATAAATCTGGGGCACACATAACTCACGGATACTCCTGGCTAGATTTCTCGATTAGCTGCGAATGAAGACAGTAGAGAGAGACCTTGCTCGGCCGCTTTGAGATGAAATCTTGCATACTAAGCTGACCACTTCAATCATATAATTGATAAGCTCAAGGGTATGTAGATTTAGCTATTTTCGGTGCTATGGTTCAAAACGCCCTAGTGCGGTCAATTTTGAGTGAAAATGATTGTGAGAAATTTGGCCGTGAGGGACCACCAATGGCAGAACCTACACAAGTTACTAAGCATGTCTTTGGGATTGCCGACTGAATATTGTGTTTCCTGTCGTTTTAGTTAGAGGTTTCAATATATCTGATTTTGTCCTACATTGTCGTACTGCCAGATTTTTGTCATTATTTTTTAAGTAGTTTAGCGTATCTTGGCATTAGGGTCCGAGAAACAACGAAAGAGTGTACGTGGTGACACCAATTTCCGGAACTACTGTAACAGGTTAAAATATGAAACTCTCGTATCCTCAAACTTCATGTGAATCATCAATCAGAAGCAGAATAATAGCCAATCATTCGCCAGTACCAAGAGAGAAAGTAGTCCTTAGATTCCCAGTGCGTAGGTGCCCACCACTTTTCGTAAAGAACAGCATAGCCCGCCTTGATATCCTCTGGCCATGGCCATTGAATATTCCACGAGAAGTCCACTGCAGTCCACGGGGTAGGGCCTTCACGAGAAAGGGCAACATTCAAGACGCTCTGGTCGGCTATGCTGGTATCAAAGCTATCCTGGACTCCCAGCAACGCCTCAAAGTAGTGGAACATCTTAAGTGACGGCTGCAAGATCATAAAGCCAGTATTCAGGGTATCCCAGCCCCAGAATCCTCCAGGACACGCGACGGGTGCGATGCGGGATTCTGCCTAACTTGCGGCAAGCCAGCAGCAAAGTAAGTCTCTGGCAGGGGTATTTCAACCCCGTTGAAGGACAGTGAGGTCTGTGTGGTTGTTGCACGCCAACTCACTGGGGCGCTGAGAATCCCATCGAGACATCTCATCAGAACGGAATCGCCATCCAAAAACAGAATCAGGTCGTACTGGACCATCTCCCACAACTGCAGTTTCGTCAAGGCATCGGCCCATCGGGATTCGGTCGGTCGAATCCAGTCGACTCAGAAATCGGACCTCTCCCACTCGATAACTTGTGCACCGTCGGATTGCAGATGGTCTCTCTTCTCTCGATCGACATTCTGATGAACAAGCACCACGAACGGGATGTCCAATCTAGTCCGTGTTTCCGGTGCGTGAAGGACCTGGTATGTGAGGATTCGAGCCGCGTCGAAATATGGATCGCTAGTATTGTGGAATTCGGAGACGAAATGGTCTTTGTTTTCGGTGGCGCGCTCAGATAAGTCGCGTAAATTACTCGTCGGTTGCTGGTTGCTGTTGATATCTCACTAGGAAAGTAGATCTTCCATAACCACGACAGCAAGAGTACGAAGCCACCAAAAAGCCCAATTGAGCTTAATATGGGCTTCATTCTCACCAACGTTGAGAATATTAAATGGTGAAACGCGTGATCGGTCACAGGCACATCCTTATATATATTCAACATCAACACTGCTATGCGCAGATTTGAAAGAATAGGAACAGGAGAAACCTGTGTGAGCTCCTCTCATTGTGTTCCATGCACAACCCAGTATGGCCGCTTGTTTCGGTTCCCTTCTGGATTCTTTCTGGATAGGTAGCAAGGAATACTTAGTCGGTTATTACTCGATAAGGTGAGAAACATAAGTTATTCGCTGTCTTTCCTTTCAATTCAAGGTTGACGCTGTTAGCCTTGCAAGGAAAATTCTAGTAATATGAGGGTTCCAGGTTCGTCCCTGAATGCGATATATCAATAACGACTAATATATCAAGTTGCACAAATGACTGTGCACAAAAGCATTGACCGAATATAAACCAAGCACCTAAAACTTGGGATGTCTCTGGAGCCCTTTCTGTCTTTTTCCTGGTTCATATACACATTTCTCTGGCCTAGGTCTCCAGGTCTCCGACACGGCGATGGGTGATCATGACCAGAATAACGAATACCATGTCAATTTCGAGACACTCAATCTTCTGAGAAGCATACAAAAAGGCTATTTGGGCGTCTAAAATATAATTGGGCAAGCTTCCCTCTAATAGCGACCATCTGTTTCATTGGTACGCCTTTCACCAGTTGTTTATAGCTCATACCTATCGTCTTCCACACCTAAGTCTATGACCGCGAGGCCTATCGGTTTATCGTCGTCTTTGTCTAACTTAAGACAACTGAATCGCCAGAGGAAACTTGTTTATTGCATGGATTTAGCCATATAGCAGGTGGTTTGCCGGTACTATTCCTTGTCCAGCTCCGAGCATCGGTGTTGCGATGGACACCTGTTAGTACTATTGAACACCGGAAAGACGTTTTCCAACGGTCAACCACGGGCCAGTTCACACTCCAGTTGGATTCAGCACTCCCAGGACCTCACACAAAGATGCTATATGATTTTCTAGACCGAGAGAAAGCCTCCATATTAGCTCAACTTCGTACGGGACACGCCAGGCTCAACGGACATCATCATCGAATCGGCCAAAGCGATAGCGACATTTGCGCGTGTGGCATCTCACGTGAGATGGTATCGCACTTCTTGTTATATTGCACGCGATAGAGTGTACAGCGTCGCACCCTTATTGAGGCAGCTGGTTCCAACTTCGGTAGTGTGTCGTTTATGCTGGGCGGTAAACCGGAGAGCATGGAGGGGATAAGCGAACGGAATAGGAGAGCATGGAAACCTCACATTAATGTCATCAAGGCAGTCATCACGTCTATGATTGAGACCGAAAGGTTGGCGAATGAGGGGTGCTGAGATGTGATACGCGAAGTGCAAATTTGTTTCATGTGGTGAAGTTATCCGGTGTACATATTCAACGGTGCAGTGCACACTAGCCAGGGGCTGCATGCGACCCAAGGTCGTGAAAAGCCTGAGGAATATAATATTAATAATAATAATAATAATCATCTAAGGCTTTGAATAATCCATGCCATGTGTGACAATGCACTCGGCCTACAGTCCCGGAGCGCCCCCAACTCAGCGATCTACCTACAGACGGCCTTCCATACACCCCCCCCTTCAAACATCCTTGGAGGTAATGTGTTTGCGCAAGATGGTCAAGATCTGGCCCCACGTCTCTCGGTACAATTCGACGCCCCTCTCGCTGGCCTGCAGCTTGCTTGGTCTAGAACATCGGGGTCAGCAGGGTTCCACTTTCCATTTTCACCTTGCCCCAGAATTCCCAAACTTACTCGAGGACTTCATCGTCATGCCACAGCTTCCCGATGCTCCCGAGGCCCAGGGTAGTCGCGCTGACAAGGGATCGACTTCCGTATTCGGCAGTTCGCGCAACGAAGTACTGGATTGGACCCATGAAAACCTTGGAAACCAGTGAGAAGTTCCGGCCAAGATCCGTCTTGCAGAACCCCGGACACGCCGCGTTGATAATAACCTGGTTGTCGCTGTGTCGGTCCGCCACACCCTGCAAGGCGAACATGGTGGCCAGCTTGACCATCAAGTAGTGTCTTTGGTCGGACCATCCCTCCTCGCTGTTGAGTTGGTCAATCAAGGTCTTGTCTGACTCGAGCCACGACTCCTCAACGTCCTGGTAGCCCTTGCTCGTTGTGAACGTGAGGTGAGACGGGATTGCATTAGCGGCGGCCGTTTCCCGGAGCTTGGGGAGAATAAGCAACGCCATTAACGCCGTGGAGAGCACATTGACTTGCAATGCGATCTCGTAATCTCCGGGCCCTTTTGTAAAGCTGGGCATGGCAAGACCCGCATTGAGGAGTGCGACATCAAGCTTGGGGACTTGTTTGTTCAGCTTTGCGGCGAATTCCTTCACGGCATCAAACGTCGAAAGATCTACCGGGATGACAACAATGTTCTCATTGCCGGTCTCGCGGATGATGGCGGCCTTTGTGGCCTCGCCTTTCTCCTGTGTGCGGACGGCAATAACGAGCGGCGATGCCCCCAAAGCAGCAAATTTGACCGCGGCATGATATCCAATACCAGTGTTGGCGCCGGTGACCAAGACCGTCTTTCCCTTGTACGAAGTTTGCGGATCCTTCGGCGGGTTTCTGGCCTGCGAGTACAGATGCTTCAGCTGGTTTGCGCTCGGGCGAGATTGGTTCGGGTTCTTGGCTGTGGAGGACATGGCGAAAATGTAGAGAAGGCTTAAAAAAAAGACGGGAAATCTTCAAACACGAGGAAACCTAAAGAGAGGGCGTCAAATTCAGGGCGCGGTGTTACGTGCCAGGTCAATCAACAAGAAAGAGTGCATTCAAACTAGAAAAGCAAAGATGGGGAAAAAGGAGAGAGAGCAAGTGGTGAATCCCAGAGGATCTTGTACCAGAGCTATCCCACAGTACAGGCAACCCCTTTCCCGATTAGGCATAGTAGCACTTTGAAGAACAAAGGAAACAAAGCAAACATACGATCTCTGGCATGTGATCATATGCAGATCGTGACACGCTGGATGGGTCGAGTTCTTGAAGTCAACATGCAGTATGAGGTTCTAGAATTCAGGGTCGTGGTGGAAGCATATGCTGTGGAGAGATAAAGGCGTCGGTCAATGTCGAGTATTGTGGAGGTTGAATTTTACAAGCGCATAGTATCCGATTATTATATTTCCAGCGCGCCGGTTTTGCAAAATGACACCTAACCCGCAGGCCCCAAAGCTGCTGAACCAACGTAAGCAGCTCCTGTAACCCCTGGAAAATCCTTCAGGGCTGTATCTACAAACACATCTCATACTCAGTCCAATACGCATCATTAGTCCCATGCCATACTAGTGCAGACGGTAATTTCGAAAGTCGACAGTCAACACTAGATGCCGCTAAAATTACCGACGTGACGCAATATTGGGGACGACAGCAGGCGGGATCCCGCTAAGGTCGCCGGGCAGGCACGCTCACACCTCAAGAAAGAGTGGTCTGTTTGGCCCGGTGAATAGAGCCTTAGTGCAAACTCTGGTTGGGCAAAAAGGACACTCGGCTTTGTGGTACCTTGGAGAAGTACGGATGCCTAGCCCATCCGGAGCTAGGGCATGTGGATCGTGATACCCCACCTGTGGGCCGGGTTGCGGAGTACCGCCCGCCGGAGCCCTATGTTGTTGCTCCCCCACCCGGTCGAATACCGCCTCCGCATATGCAAGCCCACCTAGTGGGCTGTCCCTGTCGGAGATGACATAAGTCGACTAGGGGCGGGCACTCTGCCCTCAATGTAGTGGTGGAAATGGACATAGATTGCGAGACAGTTGCATGCGACACGGCATGGGATGAAACCACACCAAACTGCCGTTAACCGCTGGATATTCCCAAAGTGCCAAAGACCCTCCTGGCGCTGGATATTCTCTGTCCGACCGACCCGTGCCCGCCCTATAGGAAGCCTAGAAAATCATGTGACAATTGGTATCAGGCATACCATACAAAAGTGCATAATACTTCTTGTATGTACATGTATAGAATATCAGGTTACAGTTAGTCATCGATGTCCGCACAGATTGTTGAAAGAGCGGGTTTTGTCATTTTAGTTAGTGAGAGATTTCAATATATCTGTTTTTGTCCATACATTGTCGTACTGCCAGATTTCTGTCACCATGTATTCAACCTTGGACTGACATATTCTCCAACTTTTGCAACCCTCCAATTCGATTTTTCTACCTAAATTCGAAGTTCTCTCTACTCTTTATCAATTCCAGATGCTCACAGGACATGTGGGCAACAGGCCCTGTCTCAACAACACCGCTCATAATTCAAAAGAAGCAGACCAGCTGCCAGCTGATCCGGTCCTTGGTATCTCCAGTTCACTTTTCACTCTGAGGTCGACGTCTCAGATCCAGTGCAGCTAGCATCTATCCTATGGCGAAAGTCCTTGAAATTTATCTCGACAACTCCTTGGTTTCAAAAGCTGTATTGGGCCCCAGTGGACAACGCTTCGCGATGTCAACAAATTATCGTTTTAGTCCATTGGGAGAGCGGTCATGGCTGGAAACTGTTCCAGTCGTCCTTGGGCTTTACCATGATGCTGGGCTATATACAAAATATCTCCAACCGGTGTATCCAGCTTACTCTACCCGCCAATCTCTTCAACTTCGACAGTGTCCTCGAGATAGTCTCATTTCAGTTCTCTGATACACTGTCTACATCTCAGATTGATCATAAATCAGATTTCAGATCCAAGTGGGAGACAACAATTTCTCTCTACCCCAGCAATGTTACCACGGAGTCCGAGTTGATACATTGTTGTGGAGAATGGCTTGAATTAGATTACCCCTCTGGAGATCAATTCTTTATCGGGTTGCTATTCTGGAAATCGAACACCGATGTGGGTAATCTGCGTCAACTTCGAGAAGCAAATTTTCACAATATCGGGCACCACATAGCAGACCTTCTGAAAGCATACAGAAAAGTGAGGAGATAATGAATTTGAAAATTGAGGTGAAACGGGAACGACTGACCATTTTTAAAGCACGGCATCTGTGCCCAAGGCAGTCCGGAGATGCGACACTAGTCTTTCTACGCCGCAGCTAACATAGCCGCTCGCCATCGCACCCTCACACAGCCTGAAATAAGGCAGCCCTGGTCCCAGCCAACAAATGTGTTTGATTAGTTAGACGTGACTCGGTTTCTTGAGCGGACCGACGGAGGGGCTTCAGGGGAAGTTCAGGGGCCAATTACCAGTCCGTGGCGATTTTCATTTGCTTCGGCGCTTACGCACCAGATTCTTCCGCCTAAAGTTGCTAATTTAGCAAAGTCTCATAGAGCACCCAAAATATTCCAGGACAATTTAATGGAGGGCGAGTTGGAATAAGGTCTGATAAACAATTACATGAAAAGTAACAGATTAATATCATCTCGAGTTTGTGCCGGCACTTGCTTTACATGTTTACACAGGCAACTACTTGTTCATTCTAAGAAGGTACATTAGTGATGGCGTACCGTGCGTGGGACATGGGTGGGCGAGAGGTTAGTCCTTGATGAAACTAGTTTATGAACCCGCTGACCATAATCAGATCAAAAATCTTACGTCTATTGCGCATGCTCTTGCCACGGTGGGTGAAGAACCAGTGAGCTACAAATACCTGGAAGTGGCTGCGGAATCGAAGGAATAATTCTCTATGGAATTCAGTGAAGATAACCGTGTTGAGAGCATGTATTTATAGGGCTGACAAGTTACTGTTTTGTCGTTCCTTTTGGGCGGTAGAACTCACCTATCGATGGTGTTATCCGGGGAAGCCAACCGAAGAGAGAGGGTTATTGGGTACAAGACAGAATGTTAAACATGAGAAAGAGTGAGCGAACGGAATGTAGGGGCAATGGGGCAATTTGCTAAGGAATATAGCTTCCCGGTAGTCTGGTGGCCCGATGCTGATGTGGGCCAGGGAGATGGCATTGTGAAAGACGTGTCTGTTCTGGCGAAGGGTTGAGAGTGCGCAGTGCTTGTGGTAGAAACGCTTCATTATCATGCAATATGCAATCGCTATTAAAACACAAACTGTATGTAATCGCTTCTCTTATAAAACATCCTCTCATAAACATATAAACGGCTTACATCTTCTGACTCCGTTCGCAGCAGTTGTCTCTTTGCTCGCCATCTTTGGAGCTGGCCAAACTTCAATCTAGAGCGATCACTTATTTCGATAATTTCTCAGATCGAAACCGTGCCGGTAGATAATAGTTCTTTTTTCATCATACCTAACGAAACATTTTGATTGTTTCCGAGAGTGTACTTGTCTGTTTGGCTCTTCTAGTCTCGATACCTTAGGTATGTTATATACGTGTAATAAAAGACAAGAACATTCTGGAAGCTCATCGTGACCCCGTCCAGAGATTTTCGTCTCTCGCTACTTCTTATTGGCTTTCACTTCCCGTTCTACTAGTTAGTGCCCGGCCCTCGCTCATGCCCTCACTCACTGAGTAGATCAAATACACGAGAGCGGTCTGACCAAATATGTGATCCACTGCATGATATTCGAAATCTTATTTGCTTCTTACGAGTAGCTGAATCTCAGCTGACCAGTCTGATCCACTAATCGTGACGTGGCAATTGTACAAGTGCCGATCTTCCCGCATGCACCCCCACCTATATGCAATATAGCCCTCAGTAGTCAAACCAGCCGGGCAATGTCTGTATTGCTGTATGTTATATATCGCCTCTGACGTTATGGTATATAGTATGTACATATATAATGACTATAGATACTTTTCCATATGTGCGTTAGCGTCGACCCACCTACTAATATATATATCTGCGTTTTCTGTCAATCTCTAGGCTTTTGACATTAGAAGTATCCAACATTTCATATTAAACCTGACCAAAACCAAATAACCAACAGCCGTCAATACATTATGGGTCCGAGTCCCCCAGGCCAAGCAAGGCTAGAATTGGTTTGTTCACGTTCCTTAATATAAACCAACCTTCCAATAAATTTTTAAGCTAACTATCCATCTAGACATTCGATATTCGGTATGATAGTCAAGAGATCTATGAAGAATACAAGTCGGATTGGAAAATACGATGGGCGTAATTTCGACCTCTCTTTGCACGTGAATGTTTGGATACTAATGTGTTTCGATAGCCTGGTTAATCTATACGCCAAACATGGCCTGCCCTATACTAAAGACGTAGAACGTCAGGTCATCGAGAGAGAGCGGACCGTAAGAGAATGGGTCACGTGTGTATTCCCAGAGCCCCTATAATTATATATCACTGTCCATAGATCTCGGATGTGAAAGGTAAAACCAGCTAATGCTTGCTTTTACTAGGGTATATTTGCCAAAGGACAGCCCAATTAATATCGAGACTTTGCGAAAAGTGGAGCCGCGTGTGTGGAATTCCGAGTACAAGTTCACGGTTTACATTACGGGCGCAATACATTGAACACCTGGTGCCAGAGTTATGAGCTTGACTTCTGGATCAGAATGGATGGAAACTCATATTTATCCACTCTAGATGGTTTGCAGCCTAGTCGAACCGGGCCCAGGAGGTTTCACCATAGACTCGGCTGATGATTCTACTCTCTTCAAGCCCAACACTTCCTCTGCATCTGTTCCAACTCGATCGCCAGTCTGATAACTCTAGCAGACAGCTTATAAAAATTGATGCCAATTTTGGACGGACCAGATGGTAGATCTAAACAAGCCCTAAAAGCCTATGCAATCAGCGTTACCATACAAGCTTGTTCTATGACATGTGAGGGATGTAAACTTTCAACACTTGCTATATAAACAGGAAGATCCCAACCTTACTAAAAGTCCCTATCTTTCCACTTTCTTGGTGAGCAAGAAACCCTCTTTTGTCTCTTTATATAGTCTTCTCAAATTACCTGCAATCACTATGACAATTTCTCCTCGCTCTATAACTGTCATTGAGGGTGAATTTCAATGCCTGAAAGGCATCAGAGAGGTATGCTTCGATAAAGACGTTATGGCGTTTCTCCAGGACGCATAGGCAAAGCTCAAATACAAAGGTATATACCACCAGCGAGGACTTTTTAAAAGGTCACTCATTCACTATACTACAATAGGTGACTGTGCCGAGCTCCTACTTTATCTCTTACAGGATGGGACAGCAAAAGATAACCTCGATCAGAGAAAGCGAAAGCCTGCCTCTCTCCTAGGCCGCGCAATACAGTGCATTGCGTACGGTAAGGCTTTTGCTGGATAACGGAGGGGATATTAATCCTATAGACGATATATATACAGCAGCGTTGTCGTAGTTGATATAGGCAGGTAGGGGCCCGAACCGAGTAGCCACAATAGATTATCTGAGAGGAATAATACGACGAGGAGAGGTGCTACACGGGCTTCGATCAAGAGGAAGATCACCTAGGTCTTTCTCTCGAGTTGTTATTGTAGAGCTTTAGCTTCTCGCCTTCTGCTTTAAGAAAATAAAGCTTCCTTGTTACAACAGGTGTGGTGTCGGCGTGCACAAACCACCTCAATAAAGTGTCTTTCGAATCTGCTACGCCACAACAATTTGATGCTTCTCCAACTCCAATCGCTATGCATTTTGAAACAAATCACCCTGTTTTTCGGACGCCCGTTAAGCCTGAATACAATGTGAATGAATTGACGTTCTCGGAAAACAAGGACCAACTCCATCTGGAATCTATGAGGCAAGCGAGACAAACCCCTCCTCAGCGCATTGCCGGCGGACCCGCTGGTGGTTGGTGTCCTATGGGAACACTTTCTCAACATCATTTGCCCCAAAGGCAAGTATAGTGTCGCCTACACTAGAAACTATCCGAGCTTAATTGGGTGCTTCATCTGGACGAAGAGACCGATATTGATGAGTACCTGGTAAAAGCGTGCTTTGACTTTACTGAGCGAGGAACAGACGACATCGGGATGGTACATATTTCGCTTGAATTATACGTCTTACCCAACACTAAAACATGTACAGGGAACAATCTAATACACATCATATATTAGAAAAACGTATTCTTGACCACCGCTGAGATATTTAGAGTCGCAGAAGACTTTGGCCATTTCCAACTTCCAGTCCGACTTTTCAAGCGCCCGCTACTGGGCTGGATGCATGGATCCTTTATAATGATGAATGGTGGCGTAGAGAACAAGGTCACCTGGGACACTGGGTGTCTTGCCGAAGACTTCTGGTTTGCTTTCAACGTACGTGTTCTGACTATATCAACAATCCACTTGCTCGCTAATTTGGAATATCTGAACGAGCAGGCCGCACGCTGCGGATTCAAATTCGGCTGGATTCAAGCAATCGCACGAGAACAACCTCCCGTTAGTGTTTTAGACTTGATTCAGCAACGTAGGCCGCGGTACACCGGGATTATGTCTATGGATAGCTGGTTGGTTAGATTGGTTCTCGCAATCCCTATGATGGGACCGTTAGCTATGCAAGTCTGTAAGTGATTGGAGTGTGCTCCAGGACTTACACCTCGGTGACACCTCTCTGGGCAGTATGGTCTTGCATATTATTTTGACATTGCTCTGGGCGCCATTGTGCAGTTCGCACATTCAATCATCTTCATATCGGCATTGATTTGGCCTGCAAGCAGATTTGTGGTGATCAAAAAGGTATAGCATGTGGTTTCTGCCGATAATACATGAAGATAATCTTGAATTGCTGGAAAATATATGGTATTAAACATAAGGATTTCATTGTATAGCTTGGGGCGACTATCGACCGGCAGTGACTTTGGTCCTATTGGCTTTTATTGCTAGCAGAAAATTGGCCCTCTATGTATGCATGGGATTTTCCAAATTCTTATAGAGTAGTAATTACCTGAATAAGTACCCTTAGTCAAGTCATTTTGTAGATCTGTGCATGAGTTCACGGGTTGGAAGTTTCTCCAACGTTTCGTGACACATTCATAATATGATTTTAGAGTTCAGAATTCAAGACAGTAGACCTGGGTGCTCTAATATGCTACAGTTCCTCGGCCAGTTCCTGAGTGCATCGCTCACAGGCGCAAGAAAATAGGAAGTCTTCTTGTAGCAGATTTTGCCGTGCTTTGACGTCTACATACTTGGGTAAATCAAAATAGCAAATGAGACATTCTTCACCTGCGGCAAGGTTCCGCGAAGTAGTGAAAACCATTCGCCCATTGCTGTCTGGTTTCCAGGTGATCTAGGATATTTGTGAGCATTTGGAATTTGACAGTGTCTTCACGGGATAACTTACATTTGGAATGCAGGAATGGTTTATGATTGTGGCTCTTGGATAGATACCCAACCCGTAATCCAAGCCTCGGTCAACTGGGGGGTCCGGAATGGGAAATATCCCGGTCTCCCTTGGGTATAGTCCGAACGAGTTAGACTCTTCTTTGCAGATGAGGTCCACCATGTCGTCGAAATTAAGATCTGACTGAATATCATGAGTTAGGTATAGCTCAACAAGCCTTTTCCAGTGCTGAATCTGCGTCTGGGGCCACTGCTCCCGGTTACTGTGGAGGAGATCAACGGATTCCCATCCCCGCTTGAACCGATCTTCCCAGGAATAAAGTTTCGATGGTTTGGATCCTGCCTGGAGCTCAAGGTATCTTCCCGCTAGAAGACGGAGGACTGTCCAAATCATAGCAAAAGTATACTGACCCTCGTTTTGACGAAGATTCTCTCCTTGGTTTTTCAACCAAGCGCATTCAAAATCATGCCGAGCCTGATCCGCAGTTCGGCAATCAATGTTACACCAAGCCACATCTCGGATACAATTGCTTTGGCAACGAACGCTCTCTTTGTATTGTGTCACCCGTTGGCGGCATTTCAGGTTACTGCAAATTAGGGCCTCGGGTTGAGATGGATCCAGAGACGGGGTCAAAGCATATGGTACATCTGCGAGGATTGTGGTTCCTGCTGGCACAGATGCAGAGACCTGTAGGGATCTTCCTTTGTGACTATTGTAGTATTGTACCAAATTTGGATGCACATAGACATCCGCGTCTCTATCAAGAGGATTGGCAGTTTTGGACTCGGCTGGCTTCTGCGCAACGACTAACTGCCTTCGCTCCATCATTCCCATGTCAATGGTGCCTTCTCGTGTCGACGTTATCAGCTGCAACCCATCTTCTGCTTGAAGATTTAACCCCACTTTCTGCAAAAGATTGTCCATTTCCTCCATATCGTAAAGCCTGACGGAATAGAAAAGGTCCTGGAGGACTGTAGGGCCTTCCAAATCAATCACAATTTCTCGGCTGGCGAGAAGAGTTTTATCTGGAGAAAGCTCTCGTTCCCGACAGGCCATAAGTGTCTTTTTGCCCTCAAGCCATTCCCATCCACTTGAACTGAAGTTGGATCTAATCCAAGATCCATCCACGTAGTCAATGATGAAGATGCCTCCTGGCTTCAGGACCCGAGAGACCTCGCGGAGGGACTCTAGGTCTCCCTCATCATTGCAGTGCCCAAAGGAGTTTCCCAGAAGTATAACCAGATCAAAGGAGCAATCCGCTTCAGGAATCCGACGAAGGTCTCCCTCCTGAAACATGGTGTTGCCCTGCACATCTTCTGCTATCACTCGTTCTCGAGCAAGGCCAAGAAGGTAGGTGCTCTGGTCGACGCCGCGAAAGTTCACCGATGGGAAGCGTTTGGCAAGGTTGATGCTATGTCGGCCTTGGCCACAGCATAGATCCAACACGTTGATCTGAGATTCTTGAGTTCGTAATAGCTGTTGCACACAAGGGATTCCGACGAGCTCGTTGCATTCGGTTTCTGTGATAGCGGGGATTTCGACACAGTCGCCGTCGGTGTAGAGGTACATCTCATTGTAAGCTTTTTTCCACCAATCCTTCTCGATATGAGGAAATAGGGAGTCAACATGGCCAAGACTGGCAGGAACCGTCATTTTTGAGTATATTGAGAAGCGACGATACAGGTTTGGGGGGGTCCACGGGTGTAGGTGATTTCTCTGCAGGAAGGTTCGCTATACACAGACCCTGACAAAGCGCGGGACAAAGCTCAAAACCTTGGAACCCGACTATGTTGTAGGTTATTGCAGCGTCAATTTCAGAACTCTGTAAAGTGGGGTCCGATTTACCCGATCTCTAGGCATTTCACGTCTACATCTTGCTTAAATTACTTTTCTTCTACTATCTATGCGTCCGCGCTCTGAGCTTACTCCAGTATCACATGAGTCTATCTGCGAGCTTCATAGTGCTGTTGGATGAGGTTTGAACTAGCAGAATAACAATGGTGGTGTGGGGCAAAGGGATTAACAGGCGCTTGGTGGTCATGGATCCATAATCACTCACGCCCAGGCGGGTACCTATCCAACCCGATGAGGCAAGATGCTCGACCCTCAAGAGACTAATATGCGTCACGCATGCTACGTCATGCGGTTAAAAACGTTTCTTACGTCGGAACCTGAAAGATCGAAAATAAATGACTGCGAACAAAAGAAAAAATAGCGAAGCTCGAAGCAGCAGGGTAAGAAGTATCAAAATGAGCAAAAGGTAGACAAAACGGGGCTTTCCAGCATCGGAAGAAAATGCAGCAATGTTAGCAGCGGCCCCGGGGAGATATCCACATGACAAACCTACGAAAAGAAAATCCCCGACGAAATCTTGGCTTATTTGCGACGGATGTGAAAGATGATGGAACTCAACCCACTCATTTTCGTCTGCCGTCTCCGAGTTCTCTCCAACTCTACCTCGCTCTTAGCTAGTATCTAGTGTATAGCTTTGATACACGACGGCCCAGAGATGGCGGTTTCGATAGGCAGCCACTGGCATGTCTTAGCAGCGGTCTGCGCAATAATGTGGGGGATTTACTTCAGTACCTGAGGTCCATCAAACTCGCCCATTGGAACAGAGCTAATTTATTTAGTTTATGACCTTCCGGCATCCCTGTCGGTTCCATTACAAGAGCATTTATCACTTCCAGGCTCTCAGTATACATACCTTGTGTCGGCACTCTATACCGCTTATGCGGCACCCAACACGGTCCTGCCGCTGTTCTCGGGGCTGGTCGTGGAGCGACTAGGAGAAAAACGAGTTCTCCTTGTCACGCTGATGAGCGTGGTAACTGGCCAGCTGATATTTGCGCTCGCCATTCAGTTCCGAGTCCCGTTTGTAATGATTCTTGGGCGTGTCCTCATCGGCTTAGGGGCGGAGATCATTGGTGTCTTGGGAAGTGAGATCACGACGCGCTGGTTCAAGTGAGTTCCCAGTCTGTCGGCTTAGGATAGCTCCTAACATGTAATTTTCAGGGACAAGCAATTATCTTTGACTTTGGCAATGCTGTTATGCATATCGAGACTAGGCTCCGTCGCGGCTTCCATTTTTGTCCCCAGAATGATTGAAGCCTTTGGTGTGGTGTGGACTGTATGGGTAGCGTCGATATTCTCGCTGGGAGTGGCCGTTACTGGTTTACTTTATTTGCTAGCAGTCGACGTTTCTATAGCATTGCACCATGGGAGCGAGAGCCTTCATTCGGCACATTCAATTCGTCAGTTTCCTCATGCCTTCTGGCACTTGGCTCTGATTTGTATACTGGGCTACGGAGGTATCAATACTTTCACTATGTCTGCGCAGCGGTTCCTTGCCGCATGGTTCTACAACGGAGATCAACGTAAAGCTGGAACTGCTATTGGGTAAGTTGTCTCACGCCGATTCTGTCCAAAGCTGACATTGGGTGTAGAATACCATACTTCCTATCTGGGATTTTGACTCTACCATTTGGACTATTATTAAATATGCCGTGGTTTCAAAGCTACCCGGCGTGCCTAGGTGCCACCAATATCCTCATGATAATAGCACATCTACTATTACTCTACAGGATAGAACCAATCGGAGCGATGTGTCTGCTTGGAATATCATATGCACTTTATGGTGTTGCATTCTGGGCCGGGCTTGCACGATGTCTCCTCTCCGTCGTCGAGTCGGCAAAGACAGATGTGTCAGACAGCGAGGAGAGAAGTTCCGTTGACGGATGCGAATATGGGACTATTAGTCTCCCGAATCAGTTCTCTGATGATCACTCTGATGTTTCTGGTGGAAATAACGAGTGGGAAAGATCGGCGGAGGATGGCATCATCACACATGGCTATGGAATCATGACAAGTCTCAATAACCTGAGTACCGGTGTGGTTCCCGTCTTCCTCGCCAAGGCAGAAAATGCCTGCGGGTTTAGAGGTCTGGAGTTCTTTTTTCTCATGTTATCTGTACTAGGGCTTTTTGCATCTGGTGGGTTGTTGTGGTCGCGAAGGACCTAGACAGTGTCACTACAGTAAAGGAAATCCTTGGTAGCTAGAATGTCCCACGTGGCAAATCCGAGCTCGGCCCGTCCCCGCCCCGTGGCTGTTTCTTTTTTCATTGGATGCTCACAGCGCCAATGGCAGTAGCACTAGCAGGCCCATGACTCCCGGCGTCTGACTCAATCTTCTTCTCGCCAGTCGCGATCTCCCAGCTAGTCAAAGTGCGATTAAAGAGCTGCAAAGACGCAGCAGAATGATAAAATGGTACCATATGACCCGCATCGTAAACGCGAGTAAACGAGAAATTACCGTATTCACGAGTCACGCCGTATTCCTTCCCATCGACAACAAAGGGTCTTCGGGTAATATCGTGCGCCGGCCCCCATAGGGCCGATGCGAGTAAGCCACGATGCCAAGATCATAGCTGCATGTTGATCGATCCCAGATCTAGAACAACTATGCGCCGGACGTCATATATGCTTAGCCAAAGTCTTAAATTGGCCTAGGAGGCTTGGACAATATAGGTTTTATACTTTCAAGAGAGGCGTCAATGTCAACTTCGATTGACGCACAATATTGCCATTGCTAGCTGGAAGTTCCCTGATTTCAGAGTGCTCGATGTGGCGGCCTTGGCTCAAATACCAAGGAGCCATAAGGAGACGGACTCTGCCAAGCTCATTGGAAGCGCCTCAAGTGTGTTTGCTGAATAACCATACACCAGCTCAAAGGTCGCATCCAAAATATTCCATTAATGCGATATAATCAATCCTTGACGGTTACTGGTACCTCCAAATACTCAAACATCTTCTCCCTCGCACGATCAACCTGATCTTGTACATCCAAATCCCAAAGCCACTTCAAACGTTGATCAAGTGTGTCCTTCAGCTTTATCGGATCATCACGAACCCCATCAAAACACAGACAAAGGATATCCGCATTCTCCTTGCTGCTAGTAACAACCCTCTGGCTCCGAGGCCGACGAATATCATCATATGCCTTAAAAGCCGCCACAATATCGTCGACAGAGCCGACACGGGGATCACTCAGTAGCTCGGCGAGAACATGTGCATCCTCAATAGCCTGACCAGCGCCAGCACCCTGATGCGGCGTAGATGCATGCGCGGCATCGCCGAGAATCGCTACCCTGGAGCGAGCATAGGTTGAGATATGCGGATGCTCGAAGATAGCCCATTGAGAGGGGTCCGGCATGTGCTAACAAGAAGCAAGGTAAGTAATCCAACACCCAGCAAATCACCAACCGCAAACAAGAACATGAACACGAAACATACCTCAACAAGAGCCTTCACATACCGCCCCATATCCCTCGTATCCCGCTCCATATCCTCCCTCCTCGCCGGCCTCACCCAAGAATCATATTCCCACGGGTTATCACTCAATACATAAACACCGACATTAACCAAACGAGCCCGCATAATGGGATACGAGATCGCATAAGCGCCTCGTCCAACATAAATCGTCGCAACCCGTGCCCTCTTCTCCCCAACCGCCTCAACCATTTCCCCCATCTCCAGGACAGCCCGATAGCCATACATACCACTATAAACTGGTTTCGTTTTCAACGATTCAACAGGAAGCATACACTCCTTAACCCTAGACCGAATCCCATCACAACCAACAACAACATCAGCATTAACAACCTCCCCATCCTCAAATCCCAAGACAACCCCATTTTCATTCTCAACAAGCGAACTCAACCTCTTCCCAAAATGCACAATCTCATCGGGAACAAGCTCAACAAGCGCATTTAGGAAATCCGCTCTCCGCAACGCCGTCTGTCCGGATGGTAATGCTTTTAGGTCCATTAGGACATCTCCTTCCTGTTCTCCCGTTGCCCAGACGAGCTCGAACCAGGTTTGCAGGTATTCTTCGTAGCCTGGACTGTCTGCGTGTGTTGTTACGAGGGAGTTGTAGATTTTTTGGAGGGACGGGTGGATTAGGGGCATTGCGCGGTACGCTGCTGGACCTAGGGAGATTCCTAGGCCTATTTCTTTGAAGGTTGGGGCTGCCTCGTAGATTTGGACGGGGATTTTGCGGAGGTGTAGCCCGGCTGCGAGGACTAGGCCGCCTATTCCGCCGCCGATTATTGTTATTTTGGGTTTGGGTGACATGTTTGGTTTTGAGGGCTGTTGGGGTTGGTTGGGATGGGAAAGATGTTGGAGGTGTTAAATAATTTCTGTGAGTTACTAGTAGTCCAATTCTACTAGTATTTGTCAGGTACTTTCACTAGGTTTTAGGTATGATGTCGATAAGGTTAGAAGTCGTAGTGTACAAATGTACCATGTAGCCACATGGACGTAATGTGGTATGGAACGGGGATTAGTACGACAATGACTGTATGTCCGACGTCGGGGAGTCAGATAGAGGGGTATGGTGTTTTCGAATACGGGAAGTTTGGAATGGAAGACGGGGGATTGGACAGGGAAGTGGGCTATCAGACATCCCGTGGTATTTGATCTGCACTGTTAGCGCGGGGCGTGTAGTTTGCCGAGAAGTGCACAGCATGGATGGAGGGGTCTACATCGTAGGGTATGAATTGAGATCAACGCTGTCTACAGGGATCGTCTTGAATGGAGAAGTATTGGTTGACATTAAACCCGGAAGAGTACAAGATAGCGCCAATCGTCACGAAACGTGCGTTTGCGTGTGCAACTCTAATCTGTCGTGTCTATCCCATTCCATGAGACGAGAGAGCGGACATGTACTTGACATGTAGCTCAGCACGGTGACCTGAGCCCAAAGTCGCGATCCTGTCGCGGGGATGCCCCTGGCGCCTGGGGGTCCGAAATGGCGCATTGACATGTGTAAAAATCGACAAGCCTGAGTGAGGTACACCGTACCCGTTCAGGCAGTCTAGAACATATAAGAGAAAAAAAGTAAAACCCGCTAGAAAAAAAGGGGAAAGTTGCATATTTTGCAACATGAGAAAATCAAATCATAGGAGCGGTCACAACTCGCTGCCGCTCCCACTTCGGAGGACCAAACGGATCACAATCGGAGTCACTATCCGCAATACCCGTGTACTTATCATCCGACCGCAGCGCCGGAGGGGTATCAGAGTCATCTAGCGCGCGACGGAAGCGCAGGAATTGCCGCGACTCCGTGGTATGCGAGGGCTGCATCATGCCCATTCCCATACCAGCCTGCATGGACTCGAGTGCTGCGCGCTGCAGGTCGCGAATGTCATCGCGCAGACCGCCGACTTGTGTCTCTAAGTTTCTGCGGGCTGTTTGTTCGCGACGCAGGAGCGTGACTAGCGTGCTGTATTGCTCGATTGAGACGCCGTGGTAGTCGGAGAGGGATGTGGCTGATGGGGTGGGGCGGAGGGTGCGCGAGGTCATTGAGTCTGCGCGGATTGTGCTCGTGCTGGAGGGGCGGGTGGAGATGGATGGGAGGGGGCTTGGGGATTCGTCGCGGTCGCTTGTGGATAGGAATGCGGTTGGTTTGTTGCGCATGTGAGAGGGGAAGGAGTCTGCTGAAGGGGGTGTCGCGGGCGCGATAGTTTTTCGGTGGGGTTTTCGGGGCCGTTGGTTTGCATTCGCGCAATGGCGAATTCCAGGTCAATTAGTTTCACTTCGAGCGTGGTCAACCGTTGCTCCAGGGTGACGCTGTCATCCTGCTGCATTGTGTTGACTAGACTTGCCACGTTCGACGGGAGACTTGGTTGTTCTGTCTGGTCGACTTCCATCAAAGATGGTACGGCGGACATTCGGGTCACACTGGTTACTGTTGTTCCCGATGAGGGCCTCCCCGACTGCCCACTATTAGAGCTTTCATCTAATGGCGGGGACTGCGAGCCAGGAACTGAGGCTGGCCTAGGAGGCGCGGATGATGTGCGTTGTGGCCAAGAGGTCAGGGTCTCTGGTAGGATATCTGTCATTTCGCGCAAGGCATCTGTGCTCCTTGATAGGCGGTGGGAGAGCAAGCTGTGTCTTCGCTCTGGCATATAACTCCTATCCTCTTGCGGATCGGATATCGCCGACGCCACTGCAAACCGAGATTCATCATCCGAAAAAATCACGCTGGGAAGAGTTGCGCGTCTTCGGCGTGGCTGCATGCTACCGGGCATTGAATCACGCAGGGTTGCAGGGGATAAAGGGGACAGCGGAGACAGATGGGTTTCTGCGATCTGGAGGTTCTCTGCCGAGAGTGGACTACTCCGGTGTGAATTCAAATTCAAAGGAGGCGGAACAGCCAGCATTGATCTTCCTTTGGGTGGTCCAGATTTCCGCATCGGTGGCATCGCATAAGTGGATTCGTATGGGTTCTCTTCCAGTTCATCGGCCTGACTTTGTCTTTTGCGGTTGAAGATCTTGCGCATGACCGTTTTCAAGGTGCTCCCCGTTCGGCGATGGGCAATAGACGAGTGTGAATGATGCGAGTGAAATTCCATTGACGGCAGCGCTGTGTCGTCGTTGTCTCCGACGTAAGATGCAGGGTTTGAGGCGGAGCGCTCTCCCCGGGCGGAAGAGGATCGCTGTTGTATACTCCCAACGGACTCGCTGCCAGCGCTCGCTATGGATCGTCTGGGTTGTCTCGACATGGCGATGTGGTATGGAGGATCGCAATCGACAAAATAGTGAGCATAGAAGGTATGGGTAAGATATCGACTTTGATCATTACAAGCAATATGGGTATATGGCGCAAAAGAATTGAAAAAAGATTTGAAATGAAAAAAGATTTCAAGCGAGTGTCGGGAAATAAATATCGAAGGGTATAAAGGGTACGGATTGGAATAAAGGCTAGATTAGAGACTATTCAAAGCTATCAAACGCATGTTAGCTGAAGAACCAAGGTGTTACAAACGGAACGTACAGTGTTATAATCAACATAATGACAGTTCTTCTCGTTTGCCAGTCGGGTACGAAACAAAAAGAAGAAAGAGTGCTGAAAGAAAGAAGAAACAAAGGGGAAGAGAAGTTGGAGTTTAGGGAGAAACAACGAGAGAGGAGACACGAGAGAGAGTCAGCTATTATCCCCACCCGGGGAGTTCTTCACGCCACAACCGAACAGGTTCTTAGGAAAAGACGAATAAAAGTGGAATCAGGAGTGTGAAAGTGGTAAAAGGTTTGTAGAATATATTAATGCTAAGTATAGTCTGTGTTCCGCACTCCGTAGTTTCTACTTACCTTTCCAAGGTTCTCAGAATAGTCTGAAACAACCACATGGTGAAGATGTTGATATCCGCACAGCCTAAGTGATACGAATTTGAGAAGCAGTTTCAACAGTTTCAACAGTTTCAACTTCAATTAGTCCATTAGTCCACGTAGGTTCTTTTTTTTATCAATACTTTGTAACCCCTCATGGCCCCCGGGGCCGTCTCATGGCCCTCTTTCATGCATAATGGGAAGAATCAATCCGCCCTATTCCTTTTTGGGAAATGCATCTCCGATGCCTCCAACTCGCAGATCGACTGGATGTTTCAAAATACCTTATCTTCACCCGTGTCCCGAATGGTTTCGGGCTAGAAAAAAAAGTATTTGAGTTGTTTGAGTTGCTTAGTGCTTTACCCCCTGTATCATCCCTTACATTGTTGTAGGCCGTGCACCCGGGACTAAATTTAACCTAGAAATCTATCCCGCTTCTACTCCGTACTCCCTACATCCTTGGAGATCGACATTGTTCTGGAACTCGCAACTGAGACTTCTCGATCTGCGGCTAAGGTCCCGATGTGCTATCCTAGTAAATCTCCAGCATCGGGGTATCGTAGGTCGGCGTTTTCTTCAAGGAAGTCCATCCAGTGCTTGAGGAAGCTACTCCCACTGTAAAAATTTAAAAAATGTCGATCAGTATTAAACCCAAACTCAATGGTCTCATCCCGCACTTACTGACTGATCGTCTCTGAATCTCCGCAAATACACAAATGTCGCTTGGGCCGCGTCATGGCCACTATGTGCAGCATCGTTAGTGATATACTGCATTCGCTGCAGCTACAACAACTGCACAGTCTGGAAAAGCAAAGGGGGAAAAGCATACCATTCAATCGTCGCTTCTCACCCAGGAACCCCACTTCGTGCTCCGTATTGCTGCGCACCAGGCTCACCACAACGGCTTCTTTCTCGCGGCCCTGGAATCCATCCACACTACCGAGTTCAAGACCGGGGTATTTCTCTCGTAGCATCCGCGACAGTAGGGCTAATTGCCCGTTGTAAGGGGTGATTACGGCAATGCTGTCGGGCCTGATACCCGCATCGATCAGATTGTCCACGTGTCTGGCAACAACCATGCCTTCCATTTCGTTGCTTTTGCTGTCTCCAAGCAGCGCACCCTTTTTGCTGATCTCGTCCTCCGCCTTTTCGGGGAAATCCCCGCCTTGCGTGTCCCAGAATACCAAAGGTTCTTGCGTGTCGTCTGTGCCCTCTACTTCGTAGGGTAGATCGATTAGCAGGCGGGCTTTCACCGCGTCGCCAGCTATCAGCTTGCCCTCGTAGAGTTCGTCGGAGGGGAATCGCATGATCTTCTCATGCATGCGATATTGAGTGGTCAACATGCGTTTGATCCCCGGTCCGTGCAGGGCTAATAAACGATCGAATAATGTGCGTTCAAGAGACACACCCTTCAATGTCTCGACATCGGTATTGGTGTCGGTCTTTTCCTCGCTGCCCTTGGAAGTTTCATCCTTGGACTTCTGGCCGGTAGATTTGACGGTCGGTGGTAATTGCAGATGGTCACCGGCAAGGACCACCTTCTCTGCACCCAGAAGAGAAATCCAACATTGTGCTTCGAGGGCTTGACTCGCCTCGTCGATAATCACAACATCGAACTTCTGGTTCTTGAGTTGGTGACCCCCAGCACCGTGAAGAGTAGCCAACACCACGCTACTCTCGCGTACCAGGTTATCCACGCATTTAGACTCGCGCTGTCGGAACTCCTTCCGGAGCAGCTTCAAATCATCATAAATACCCCGCCGTTCGCGACCAGACCGGGTTTTGCGAATACTAGCCTGTTTCTCATCAATCTCCTTCCGAATATCCTTCACAATACCCCCAGCATCAGAGGTCTGCGTAAGGACTTCAAGAGAATGCTCAAGAACAGAAGGAAGCAGACGAGCCGGATGCCCGATGCGCACAACAGGAACCTTCTTAGGCGCCAGACGTTCCACGATATTATCAACAGAAACGTTCGACGGTCCACAGACGAGAACGCGCTTTTTCCGCTGAACCAATTGCAAAATCAATTCAATGAGCGTATGTGTCTTTCCCGTCCCAGGCGGGCCATGAATCAAAGCAATATCCCGCGAAGCCAGCGCAAACCGAATTGCATCCTTCTGCGAATCATTGAGGGTGGGATCAAGAAACTCCACAGGTCCACACGCCTCAGTATCCAGCTGTAGCGGTGTCGTATGTCCAAACGCAACACGCATGAAATGCGAGTACTCAAATTCCGTCATCTTGACCATCTTTTCCATAGTCTGCCTCATTCTAGCCCGAAGTCAGCAACCAATCCAACAATCCTCACTCCCACAATCCAACCAACATACCTCCTATACGTAACATCATTAGCAAGCTTAATAGCCCACACCTTCTTCCCCCAAAGCTCCTCAACAGCCTCATCATCCTCCTTAGACATCCCCCCACCACCCTGCCGCCCAAACGCAATCCACACAGCGCGATCACCAGTCCGCGTAACAACGCCCTCAACCCCTTTCTCCGCATCTTTCTCTTTCTCCTTATCTTTCTCTTTCCCGCCAACTTTCTTCCCCGCCCCCGCAACATCACTAACCCTTACAACATCCCCGACGCGAATCCCATGCGCCCCAAGACGAGGCGTCCCATCCGCAGCCCGGGACTCTTCTGATGCGATTGCAGGGTCGGGTGCGAACTCGCCAACGACGCGACCGCCGAGACCGGTTCGGCATTGGGAGAGGACGAGGCCGGTTAGGGGCGTAGCCGGTGGCTTGGAGGGTTCGGCGGGTCGCCGGGGAGACTGATGCGGCTGTGCTTGCGAGTTTGGAGGAGGAGACTTCGGCGGCGTGTTCTTCGTGGAGGAGGGTGAGTTGGGTTGAGGCGAAGAGTGGGATTGGGATTGGGGTTGGAGGAGGCATTTTGGCGGCCTGTGTTTTTGGGCGGCCGGGGTTGTGTGGAGGTTGGAGGTGAGATTTTTGGAGAGAAACTGTGCCCTCCTGTAGAGAGATTGGAGGCGCTGGGTTTGGTTGGTGCCGATTGACTTCCACGGGTTCTTGGTGAGCTTTCGATGTGCGGGGATAAAGAAGCTTCAGTCGCTTATGTCCGAGCTCGGGATGATTTGATTGGTTGTAGATTTGGAGGCCTCAATGCTGAGTACAACCACATATATTCCCACGTCGTACAGTAGAAAAGAACCAACCAACAGCCAATACGTAAAATACCAATAAAAATTTTCCCCATCCCTTTAACACTGTGTCTTGGCTGCTCTCCTAGTCTTCAACAGCCTTCAACGGACAGGGAAAATGGGCGCTTTGGATGCGCTTCCAATGCTCTATCGGATTTCGTATGCTCCTGGGATATGTAAGAAATATATACAACCGCTGTGTACAACTTTCTTTGCCAGCAAATATCTCTAGCTACAACCTTCTGGAACTAGTCTCCTATCACTTGACCCCCGAAACGAACTCGCACGGAGTGCTATAGTGACTACGGCAGACGGGCGAAAACTGAGTTGATCGTGTGGGACACGTGGTTTATTGGATCCAAACCCTTTGTAGGCGCATTGATACACAATTTCTGTTACTAGAAGATCAGGATCCGGAGATTATGGCGAGGGAGTTCGAGATACTAATGAACAGGCGCAAGCAAGCAACTGTATCGACAAGACATTAGTCACTCTGGAGGCAACACTTATGTTATATTTAATTCAGTATCGTTCAGATCAGTACAGCCTTCTGATTCAGGGAATGTTCTGCTTTTTCTTAATGAAATCAGGGGTTCGTTCTTTATTGCATGATCTGAAACTAACACCACAAAGATAACGGAAGCTAAATGAACCGAAAACTATCAATCCATCAATCCATCAATCCATCAATCTATAATATGAACAGAATAGTTTCAAAAAGGCATATGAAATATTAGACTGGAATTGATAACCGACTTCTCTGCTAATTATGGGATTGAAGCTCTATATATGAAAGGCTTGTTTATGTCCACCCTCACGAAAGAAAGTCCTTCTTTTGGAAGAACGAGAACTCGAATAGTAATTATTGCATCAAAGGAAAATTAGCGGTGTTTGGTCCAGGCGCCATGCGATAACTCTGATTCAAAGCCATAATTTTAGAGGCTGGGGATTCTTCGACGAGAAATAATCATATCAGACCATTATAGGAAAATCGCATCAAGCGAATACGCCGACGTCATGTTCTCCCATCCAGACAAAGATAGACTGTATAAATTGAACGATTAATCCAAAACAGTCAGGTCCCAATCAAAGAGCCTCAATCTTAACCTTGGGCTCATCAACATCAGAACTCTTCTTAACCTTCAGCATCGTCGGCTCAAGCCCTCGAATCTCACTCTTACAAAGACTCAAGCCAGCCAGATCACAATCCCCACAGCGACGTTTAACAGGCAAACAAACAGTCTGCCCAAGCCCAACAAGCAACTTATTAATCTCATGCCACTTCTCAATTGGCAACCACGACTGCAGCGCTTTCCTCGTCTCCTCAGGCGTTTTGGTTTTATTCCAACCCCAAAGATTGGTAATTCGATGAACATGCACATCGACACCGATTCCTAGGTGTTTACCCCATGCGGCGCTCAGGCAGAGGTAAGCCATTTTGGGTCCAACGCCCGGGAGTGCCATGAGGCCCTCTGGCGTCGAGGGGATATCACCATTGTGCTCGTCTCGCAGGATTAGCGCGGTTGCTTTGATGTATTTTGTTTTGTTGTTGTGGAAGCCGACTGTGCGGATTAATTCATTTAGTCGCGTGGGGTCCACGGCTAGGATGTTGGTTAGGTTGAGGGTGCTGTCGGGATTTGAATCGTCGTTTTCTTGTTTGATTTTGATGTCTTGAGCCGGGGCGGTGCCATCTCCGAGCTCGGTGTGAAGGCGTTGCATCGCCACTGCCGTGACTGTGTCTTTGGTTTGGGATGAGAGCATCAATGCGATGAGTGTCTGGAATCGACGATCTATTGGTGATGACGCGCGCCAATATAGCTCCGAACAGCCCATTGTGTCGACCGGTGCAGTTGGGTTGGCTTCCCTCATCCTTTTCACCTTCTCGTACATCGTCTCCCAGTTGGACGGGGGCTCGACCTTGACCGAGCCGTCGATGCCGCGGGTTGTTCGGGCCGGGAGTCGTCTTTGTTTGGGTGCCGGTGTTGATTTCTGATCGGTCTCATCTTTCACTATGACCTTTCGTGGTGTGCGGGAACTTGTACTCTGCTTGAGGACGCGTGGGTGTATGGGGCTCGCGTTGCGCTTTTGACGCTTCGATGGCGGTTCAAGGAGGTCTTCGATGTCCGCCGTGTCGGCCTCGGAGAGCTCGGAGAGGGAAGATTCATCGTCGCTTTTGACTGCAGAGAGACTGGGTGTTACCAAAACATGTTCTGGCTCTGTCTTGACGGTCGGAGTTGCATTTGCGTTGTAGGCGAAACTTTTCAACGCGCTCACATTGGAGTCGCGCGTTTGTCGTCGGATAGGGGGCGAGAGGGACTGCAACACCTTTGCGGTGTCCCTAGAAGTGCGAGAAGTGCGCATCGTGAATTAACAAATATTGAACCGAAAACAGAAAGTGACCAAGCGAGACAGTCGGAAAGCAATTTCACGTGAGAATCCTCGGATGATGGATCCCTTGTTGGGCCGGCAGAACTTCCCCAACCTCGGCGATCGCTGTGCCGACCGACTTCCCCCAACTCCGTGAGGAGCGCACTTTCAACCGCACATATACTTTATACAGTCTACCACATTCCACATGGCCTCCAAAAGACGGGGTATCGACGCAAAAAGCCGGCTCATGAAAGAGCTGAGAGCATCTCAAGAGGAGGGTGAGAATGAAATATTCCTATACCTACGTCCCGTCGATGACGCGGACCTACTACACTGGGAAGCTGTATTGAAGGGCACAACTGGATCACCGTACGAGGGTAAGTTCACGAAGTCTAACTCCCCTAGCGGACCCATTCAGTTAATCTAACGCGACAACAGGTGGACTTTGGGGCCTTAGCATTGCTGTCCCGGCAGACTATCCCATAAAGCCGCCGACCGTCAAGTTCACTACTAAGATTGTGCACCCGAATATCGACTGGAGCACGGGCGAAATCTGTTCCTCGCTAAACAACGACTGGAAACCGAGTGTGGGTCTCTCAGGCGTACTCGCCGCTATTCAGCAGCTGTTGATGTTTCCGGATCCGGATTCGCCACTGAATGTTGAGATCGCGGTTCTAGTGCGCAATGGAGATTTCGCTGGTTGGGAGAGTATCGTCCGGTACTGGACCGAGGAGGAACGGTGGGAGGAAGGTCGGATTCCTGGACGGCGATGATGGTTTCTCAGAACCAGCGCGGACATTCGGACCACACATACCATACGGCTGTGCACATTCCGATCATCTCGGATATTTTGCACCTACTCTACATACGAATCAATGAATGTATATAATCAATGAGCTAATGAGTTTAATAATAGAGCACAATTTTTGCATTATCTTCAAAGTGAAGATGGAACATGGACTAAAAGTAATCACATGAAATATTAGCGTGTGCTGAGCGCTGTAAATGTCCGATAACCGCTGTTAAAACCGGAGAAACAAAAGGCCAAATGAGGCGGGATAATGAATGCCCGCCATAAACGCCCAAGAGAATAAGGAGAGACATGAGTAGGTCGTCACGGGTCGTGCGGAAAGATTGTACAATGACGAATGTCATGAAGATGCAGAGCCAATGCGAAGTGCTGAAAAACGCCGTTCGAAAAGATAAAGATGCAAGCAGGCGATAAGGCAGAAGAGATCATCCATTACAGAGCCATTGCGACCACGACGGCGCCACCAACCATGGCGACAACCTCACGACCAATGCCAGTAACCATCGCGGCAGCATTGCCTGTCTGCAGACCGGGCTTGCCGGCAGTGGTGGCCTCCGAGGCTTTGCCGGTTGCCGATGGGGTGATCACCGTGATAGAGGTAATGGTGCTCAGGCTGCCGTCGGGCATGGTGGTTGTACTCTTGAAGGTGGAAGTGCTCAAGCTGGTGTTCTCAGTGGTATGAGCAGAGGTAGTTGATTGATTGCTGGTGGTTGAGGTAGACGAGCTAGATGAAGTGCTCTTGGTAGTTGACAGAGTCGAAGGAACACTGGTAGTCTCCGAGTGAGTGGTCTGGGTGGTCGAGGACGCAGTAGTGGCAGTGGTCGGCTGAGCAGTAGTCTGGGTCGAGACCGTGCTGGAGGTCTCGGTGGGGACAGATACAGAGCTGGAAGAACTGGTGGTGGGCTCACTGGTAGAGCTGGCCGAGGTGACGGTTGGCTGAGTGGTGGTAGTTGACTCAGTGCTAGACGGCGCCGAGGTGGGCTCACTGGTCGCACTGGTCTCAGCAGCCGAGGTGGTGGCCGGATCAGTGGTTGATTCGGTGTTGGCAGTGGTCACAATAGAAGCCGGGGCCGAGCTGGCAGTGGCATTGTCCTGGCGCTTGGCGAGCTTGATCAGGCTAGCAATGTTGGGTTCTTCACCTTGCAGAGCTTCGGCAGCATCAAGGTCAGTCGGGAAGATTCCATGACGGAATTTGGCGGATAGAGCGTGCAGAGCATCATGAAGCGAGGCTACCTTGATGTCGGCGGGCGCTTCTTGGAGAGACTCACGTTGCGAGGTCCCCGGTACTGCGTCTACTGCGAAGACCGCAGACAGAGCGAGCAGTGTCACAAAGAGCAATTGAAGAAAGCTGATACGCAGCATGATGGGAGATTGAAGATCGGCAGATCTGCTGATAAGGTGGAGAGATGGGTAAGACGAGGAGAGGGGAGAAAGAACAGGAAGAGCAACAAAGAAGGTGAGATAGGTGAGGTTTTTTAAGAGAAGATGACTTGGAAGGAACCACACAAGAGACCCCAGAGTAACCAGTGTGGCAATTATATCAAAACGGGTTTTTTCTTTTTTTGGTTTTTTTCTTTCTTGGATATCTCGATTTCTTGATTTTTCGCACTAGTGACAGATAAACCCGAGAATCATCGGCGTGGCTGATTTTTTACGGCCACTTAAATGTCTCGGATCGGCCCAGAAGAAGGCTTGATAGGTCCCGAGGTGAACTATTTTGGATATTATACTGATTTAATGTACTTAGATATGTATTTATGGAGTACAAGAGGAACTGCCCAGACGTGCCACGAAATCAAAAAAAAAGTACGAAAGTTCATTCTCTCCTATCATTGGCCCGGTCTCAGCCCTGGCTAACAATAGCAACCTAGGTAACAATAATAGAGTCGTGTTGTCATGCATTATTGTTTTTTTACTCCATTTGGTTGAAAAGGGAATAGGGGCTTTCCGCTAGAACTCCCGAGGTCCCATGGTTCTATACTCCGTAGTTATCATTAATTGTTACTATGTATATAATATCCCAAACACGACCACTCACACCTTGAGTCACTCCGGAGTTTATTGTTATCCGATTCATTTAGGCAATGTACCTCAGCTATACGAATAACAATACCGGTATCTAGTCGGATCCATAATCTCACGGACCGGTCGGGGCCGATCAAGGATCCCGAATTCCATCGGCATATCGAGCGTGACAAGCGTCGCATCCGGCGGATTCAGGATCTTATTCGTACCATTGACTGCGAACCGACGATGGTGCTCATCCTTCGCCTGCCAGGTACTCCACGACCGATCGATCATACCGTGGTGTAGCATAAAAGCCGGGTCTTGCGGCGAGGAGAACAAGTCTTGGAGGGTAGCTCCGAGGCTGAAATGGCCGCCGCCATGCACGCCCAACACCCCACCCGGCCGTGCGGGCCAGTAGTCCATGACAGTTTGGAAATCGGAGATATTGGGCGCGGCCAAGAGTCGGTCGACGATGGTCTCGTTATCGTAGTTGCTGCTGACGAAATTGTTGAGACTTCGGTTGAAACAGCGCGGGTTGTAGTCGAAGCCTGGGGCGGGGAGTTTGTTGAATGAGACAATGTTGCGGTCGAATGGTCCCATGTGGATTTTCATGTCTTTGAATGGTCCGCATTTCACGCAGCCACCTCCTGATCCTCGTGGTATGGTTACTGCGCCGCCGGAGATGCTTTGTTCGTCTGGGTTGTGTTCGCCGTCGCCGGAGAGGGAGCTGTCGCTGCAGTCGAAGAGAGGGCTGGCCTTTAGGTTCTCGGACCATAATGGCCAGTTCCAGTACCTGGTCCGTGTTATTATAGTTTAGGGGTCGTAGTAAATGAATGGCGCTTACGGGAGATGTCCAGGGTAACCACACTCATCTCGCAGGGCTGTCTCCCAGAGCCAGAGAAAGTGACGGTGCCACGGGAGGAATAAACCGCTGAGGTGGACATTGAGTGTGTAGTTGATATGGGTGCTGTATGGTATGTTAGTACTTTGTCCCTAGCATCGAGAATGAAGCTATAGGAAACCTACGCCACAAAATCATCGAACCGATTCCGCACTCCTGGGTACTCTTCTCTTGGAAGCTGCTGGGGCTTCTCTTGCATACACAATACCGCATTAGTGTAGTCGATCCGTTCAGCGCGCTTCAACTCTCCCCTACGTAATGTCAGTTCTCAATTGGCCCCAGGAAAATCAGGAAATACAAACCATTCCTTCCGCAGAACAGTATTGTATTTTCCACACGATCGCTCGGGAAGGGAGATGCCGATGTCGATACCAAATAGGGATAAATCGGCTGCCGAAACCAAAACCCCCAAGGCAATGACCAAGAAAGACTGATAGAAACCAATCATCTTGTCAATCCCAATAAAAAACGCCCGATATGCGGTACCTGATAAAATTCTGGTAGAATCTCTCTACCTGGTCCATGAACACTGTTTATAAGTCATCCCCGACCCCCACTGCCTACGTATCGAGCCAATAAACCCTGATAGCATCCCTTGTATGATCTGTAAGTTGACGGGCTATTTCAGACGTGCCTACAACATACGGAGCTTTGGGGGAACTCCGAACAAAACTTGGCTATGCGGGTTCCAGGCCTGTCAGAGTGTGAGCTGTCACTTCACAGGGGTCCAAGTGCCTACATCATACGGGGAATAGGCTCCATAGGTGGCGGTGCACCTTTCCCCCTGCATGATATGGGGCGATAGCGGTTCGAGCAGTAGACCATCCAAAGCTTAGCCAGCTGTAGCTCCAAGCCAATTATCTTATTTGTTTACTCCGTAGGAGATGGTTTGTCGTCGAGATCTATGTTGTACGTAGAAGAACTGTGCCAGGATTCGATGTGCTTACTCGGCCCCGTATTTGGACGGTGGGGGAAAGAGAGATGTTCAAGTCAATCCTGAAATTATAGCTGCATTTGTTATGGAACCATCTGCAGGGTCACGGCCAATGGCTCCGGGGGAGGACTTTGATTATGTTCATAGACGCCCGACCGACAGCGTACCTCGTATATAACTAGGTACTCGAATAAGGTAGTATATTTACATTATTAACTCTTTAGACAATCAGCTATTTCAGATCTCTTGTAAAGTCAACTTGAACGATCAACTAACCTGGACCGAGGTATGTTGTAGTAGGAACTACGCCGTACCGCGTTAGACCAGTTCTCTCCACAATTATAAGTCCACATAGGGTGCGTGAAGCATGCATTGCTCTACTGTATGTTTCTCCGTACCTAAGCGTGCTAAGCCTGTTATGCTGCAGATATCACACTATGCTCACATGGTTCTGAATATCGAAGTTGTGTTATAGGGTTGGCAATGACAATGCTCATATTGACCTGCTCAATATATATCACGGAGAGCCAAGCCATTAACACCACAAAGCAGATATATTTATAATTGATCATCAATGTACGCTGCTGTCCAGATTGGTTAGGCATTCGCGTACCTCCAACAACCCATAGAAGCATGTGATAACACAAAAGGACGAGTCCACAATAAACCCTGCAAAACAACCCAGCAAGCCAATACCGCCAAATCCCGAAAGGAGAATCAATTCTATTTCTTCTTAGAAACCTGATCTATCTCCCCTATCCTAGCAACCTTGCCCTCAATCTCCCACATGGTCACCGGGTCATACGTATGAACTCATCCTACTACCATCGATCCACTCGGTGAGAGTAACAAGCCAGAAAAAGTACCGATATGGCCCATGGCCCAGCAGCGGACTAGGCTAGATACGAACAATGCCTTTACGGCTCTGCTCATTTCGAAACCTCCCTCTAGAGCTTCCAATTCCGCGGCAATATTGAGGTCTGCCTCAGTCAAGCCCGTCGCTTCCGCCATAGTAGACCTTATGGATGATTTAGCTAGGGAGTGCTGTGTTTGGATCCACCCGGGTGATGTAGGCGGATAACTCGGCGTTGATAAACGGCCTACCCTTTCTGTTGGGTGGGGTGTTCTGTACGTCTAATTGCGATCCGGACGGACCCACTCCCTGATATTCGAGATTGATGGTGGGCTCGGGGAATTTAGAACTGGGGCTCTGGTGAGGAGTTCGGTGTCGTGACCTTCGTCTGGGGCGAAGAGCTAAGTGGGCTGTGTTCTACGGAGTACGTAGTTGAGAATTGTGGGTGACCCGGATCTAGGGGATGGTCATCTAGGGAACTGGCGATGCTTACTTTGATATTTGACTTCGTGGACTGAGTATGGAACTCCATGCCAACCTTAGAGGGTTGATCTTTTGTTTTGCAGTGGTATTCACGCATTTTTATATTAGTCTTGTCTGCTCATGGCCCGTTCACTGCTTCATATTTCCTTCATCTCTTGGCGTCTTTCAGTCCCCTTTTTTTGTTTTGTTCCTTTCTCATGTGCCTTTGAGCTAGTCCAGTAAGCGAGCATGGGCTACGGATATTACAGATACCCGAGCTTTGAGCCTTTTCACATGGCATCGAACAGAACAGTCACTAGCGGCGACGCCCGCTGCGGGGGGAAGTCTGGGGAACTAACCGAGGCAGATACGTGGAGAAGATGAAGAATGCAGAATGCAGATTTAACATTGACCCCATATCCTGCTAGTTCTGGGGAAAGTCTTTCACATCCACAAATCACCATGGATGTCCCAAAAAGCTTTCTGGACCAGGTTGTACCCCAAGCCACGGCCTCCTGGGCTCACATCGTGGCAAAGTACTCGCCTCAAAAAATCGAGTTCGTTGGCACACTTCTCGCCCAGGTCCTTACCTTCTGGCTACCATCAATATGCTATATGCTCCTCGAAGTGATAGCGCCCTCCTTCTCGCAGCGCCACAAAATCCAACCAGCACCCAAACAGCCAACCCGTCGCGAGATCGCACGCTGTTTCGTAGTCGTGGTACAGAACCAGATCATATCATCTATACTTCATCTGACACTGCTGTCCGCCGCCAGCTATGCTGGCTTGAAATCAACATATCGCATCGAGACCTCCCTCCCAGGCCCAATCGAGATCCTCCGCGACGTCTTTCTCAGCCTGTTGATGCGCGAAGTGTTATTCTACTACGGCCACCGAATCCTACATATACCCGCCCTCTACATCCCAATCCATAAAAAGCATCACCGATTCACTGCTCCGATTGCGCTGGCTGCGCAGTTCGCTCATCCGATTGAACACATCTTCGCTAATACATTGCCTATCTCTCTGCCGCCGCAGTTGCTGGGGAGCCATATTGTGACTTTTTGGGTGTTCTTGGCTTATGAGCTTGTGAATACGGCGACGGTTCACAGTGGCTATGATTTCTTTTGCCACAAGGCTAGGGCGCATGATCTTCACCATGAGAAGTTCAATTTGAATTATGGATCGTTGGGGTTGTTGGACTGGGTGCATGGAACGGATAAATTGAAGAAGCGTCGCACTGAGTAGATATTGTTTGGTTATTGGGTTGGGTCGATGACTCCAATTGTGTGAATAAGTCTGGGGATTGTTAAGTGGGAGCTAGTATCGACAGTCGCGGCCAATGGGGCACCGTGGATTTGTATTGTGTACGGGGTAATAGTGCGGGAACTGTCTATAAGCAGTCTGGAGGGATTGATGTCGCCAGCATGGGCGAAGACGAATGGATTTGGAAACCTCATTGTTCCCATGTGTTGACAGATGTCCCGAGGTCTCCGAAGACCAATGGTCCATGGGGGTTCCATGGGTTGCATCTTGGCGGACAGGAATTATTTGGGCAGCACAAGGCGGTGAATGAAGGATCGGTTATGGACACCAAAAAAGCTCCGACTATAAATATCCGGCTAAGACAATCGAAGAAAAAAAAAGTTGCGGTCGCATTCCCATTTTCGCAGCGCTGCAATGTTCAGCTCCATCTCACCTCGACACTCAAACTATTGTGCAAGCTTATTCGGAACCACGCAGCGGGTGATTGTCCACGGGGATGATGGTCGAGTCTGGGAGGTGGATGGAATTTATAATTGACAATGGCATTCCAATTAATGAGACAGTCTTGAACTTTAGAAGGCCATCTACGGAGTAGGGGATCTATTCTGATTTGTCGATCCGTACGAGATTATGTTAGTTATAGTAAGTGCAATGTACGATGTACATTTGAAACATCCCAAGGCTATGCGTTGTGCAGAGTCAGAGAGAAATAATGGACCACTTTGATGCACACGGAGTGTAGCATTGTTCATATACCGAGTGTCTCAGGTCTATGTATAGACCGTTTGAAAGTGTCCATGGGCCATGGACAGGTGGGTTTGGTGGCGCCGAGACAAGTGTTTTAGCGAATAAAAAAGTAAACGAATGGGATTGACTTTTGATTGGATTCTAGAATTTGAGCGCGTTTGACATTAAACCCCTATACTAATTTGACCCCTTAGACCCTTAGAATAATAATAATATAATAATAACCCCAAGACCCCCTGAAGTGCGATCGACTTGCCTAAATGCAGATGCGTCATGGCCAAGCTAGGGTGATCCACTCGGGGTTTTATGGAGGCAGCAGAATAGATTTCATGAGGATAGGTTATGTAGTGGAATTTGAGCAGGGTATACATTCTGAATAAGTATAGTGATACATACAATTGCAGTACATCGCATATTGTACATCCATCATAAGTTGGATAAAACCAGGACCTGACGATCCAAAGCAGAAACAAAATAAATAATAAATAAATAATATAAATGAATAGACAAAATCAACCAATCAACACCAATGATTCAGGGTCATCTCCACATTAAATCCACAGTAATATTGACCCTTGCTGATCAGGACAAAGCAGAGAGCCAATGTACATAGTGGTACTCCGTACCTTGGCGTAGCACAGCCCATCCTTTGCCGCCCCGGGGGGGGCCTGGGTCTAAAACCCTTTATCCCTTGCTGTCCTTCTTCCTTTCTTTTCATTCTTTCTGACCTCACTTTCGTTTCTCAGTCTGTCATTCACTCTCTTTTAATACTCTGAGCGCATCTTTCTCCCACTCTCGTTTATACCAAGTTTCGCTCTTTCTCAACTTATTCCCACATTATGAAGTCCTCCGTAGCCTCCATGGCCACGGCCATCACCCTGGGCGCCTCATCCGTCCTCGGTGCCGCAACCACACTCAAGTCCCGCGCCAGTGATATCACCCCCATCACTGTCAAGGGTAACGCCTTCTTCAAGGGCAGTGACCGCTTCTACATGCGCGGTGTCGACTACCAGCCTGGTGGTTCTTCCGACCTCAGCGATCCCATCGCTGATGCCGCTGGTTGCAAGCGTGACATCAAGAACTTCAAGGAATTAGGCCTGAACACTATCCGTGTTTACTCCGTCGATAACTCCCAGGACCACGACGAGTGCATGACTGCCCTCGCTGAGGCCGGCATCTACCTCGTCCTCGATGTCAACACCCCCAAGTACTCCATCAACCGTGCCGAGCCCGAGATGTCCTACAACGATGTCTACCTTCAGTACATCTTCGCCACCATGGAGAAGTTCGCCAAGTACGACAACACCCTGGCCTTCTTCTCCGGTAACGAGGTCATCAACGACGGTCCCTCTTCCAAGGCTGCTCCTTACGTCAAGGCTGTCACCCGTGACATGCGCACTTACCTCCGCTCTCGCAAGCTCCGCGAGGTCCCCGTCGGATACTCCGCCGCTGATGTCGACACCAACCGTCTTGAGATGGCCGAGTACATGAACTGCGGTACCGATGACGAGCGCAGCGACTTCTTCGCCTTCAACGACTACTCCTGGTGCGACCCCTCTTCCTTCACCACCTCCGGCTGGGACCAGAAGGTTAAGAACTTCACCGGCTACGGACTCCCCCTCTTCCTCTCCGAGTATGGTTGCAACATCAACACCCGCAAGTTCGAGGAGGTCAAGGCTCTCTACTCCACCAAGATGACCCCCGTCTACTCCGGCGGTCTCGTCTACGAGTACACCGAGGCTGGCAACAAATACGGTCTGGTCAAGATCAGCGGCGACAAGGTCACCACCAACAAGGATTACGATGCTCTCAAGACCGCCTTCGAGGGTACCGAGAACCCCACCGGCAACGGCGGCTACAACTCCACCGGTGGTGCCTCCGGCTGCCCCAAGATGCAGAAGCCCAACTGGGATGTCGACTCCGATTCTCTCCCTGCCATGCCCGCCCCCGCCAAGAAGTACCTGACCGAGGGTGCCGGCAAGGGCGATGGCTTCACCGGAAAGGGCTCCCAGAACTCCGGCACCAAGTCCTCCGGCACTGCCACCCAGGGCTCTGGTGAGGTCGCTGCTGCCACTGGCAGCGGCTCTGCTGCTTCCAGCACCAGCTCCAAGGGTGCTGCCGCTGGTCTCAAGCCTTTCCAGTTCAGCTTCGCCCCCGCTACCGTCGGCCTCGTGACTGTCCTGTCGACTGTCTTCGGTGCTAGCTTCATCCTCCTGTAATGCTCCTATCCTTATTAAAGGGGCTTCATATCTTTTTCGATTCTCCCTGACATGTATCTTTTTTTAACTGGCTTTCATCTTTTACCCTGCGATAATGATCGCTTGGGCTTTGCAAATCGGGGGATGGCGAGATGTTTTCTAGTTGGTGTATAGCAGTCCTTAGTATCTACGTCTAGTGTTCAATGAAACGGAGCTGAACTGCTCATATATTCTGATCCTTGCTAATAAGCCGCTGTAGAAGGTAACCCCTTTCCAATCCGTATCCCACTCAGACAGTAATTCCAACCCTCAAACCCCTTCAGCAAGCGCTTGTCTCCGCGACTTAGACAGCGGATCGAAATACGGGATCTCCCCAAGTGAAACGACCCGATTACCTTGACGCTTCCCGCCGTAGTCACTATCCTCTATCAGCATTTGTACCTCTAACATCATAAACAAAGCAGAAAATGGCCCTACTCACTTGGTAGCAGTGTGATAAACCGACCGACTAAAAAAACCAACGTCAGCACATTACCCATCTACCCAAACCAGGGCTATTTCTCCAAGAAATGTCATACTTATCCCAAATAGCAAGATCATTCCGTCCCCATCTAAACCGAACCTGCAAATCATGATTTTCGATGAGAAGCTGGTTGACTATATATTCCAACTCGCATTAGCCAAGTATATCTCTAGCTCCCAGCCTCTAGCCTGTATTGAACTTACACAGTTTCTTCAAAATCTCACTTTCGAGCTGTGTCACACCTTCAATCCAGCCATGCTCGACCTGCTGTCCCGCGCCGAAGAGACTCTTCCACCCTGTTACGGGGTTTGTTCGGATGAGGGGACTATTTTGTTTAATTGTTAGTTAATGAGAATGGAATTGGAATTGGAATTGTTGGGTTGGATGGAAGTTAGGCCAGTGCATGTGAGTGGTATGCTTCTTACTGCGTCGCCTTGAAATCAAACCCTGTATTCTCCGGTGCGCCTCTATCGCCCTCGATTAGGTCTATCCCGTGTTCTTTGGCGATGTTGTTGAATGCAGGCTGGGTATTGTTAGTATTTAGTATATTTGATGCGTATATATGTTAGGAAAGTCGGAGAATAGAGTAGGGCTTACGTACTTGGTAATGCACGACCTTCAACTCCTCTGCTAACTTCTGGATACTCGGCGATAGTCTATCGTACAGTTCATACCCCGAGGCCCAGAGGGTATCCCCGCCGGATTGGTCTTCGGGGACATCTGTTATCTTCAACAGAGCGTAGTCGGATGGGACGCGTTCGAATGTTATACTTGACACTGTATTAGCTTTTCCGATAGCAATTTAGAGATGGAAGTTGGGATTATGACATACTCTGCGTGCCATCCTTGGCTTGCGAGACGGCCGTTATATGGCTTGTATCTGTCGCCGTATAGTTTGCGGTTGACCTATGACCGTCAGATATATTTCAACTCACAGAGCTGCTGAGTGTTCGGAGAGATAATACCTCGGACGAAATGACGGAAATCTCATCGTCTAGATGACCATTCTCATCGACAGCGATCCCTCTCTTACTATTTGCAACGGCGTGGCGGTGTAGCTGTCAGTTTTAGCATATGCTTTTCAATATCTACATCCAGTACGATGGGCTGGTCTAATCACCTTTGATGTACTTGGCTTCCCACTCAACTCGCCCAACTTCTGACCGAGAACCTTTTGCTCCTCGGAAGAGATATTCTGATCGCGGAATAAAACGACTCCTCGTTGGGAGACTACGCGCGGCGTCAGTGTTTGTTTCATTCCAGTGAACTTTCGTTCTATATGGGATATATAACAATGGACTCACCGAGAATTGCCAGATCCCGGATTTTCGTCTCGTCTTTCAGAATCTCAGTCAGCTGCACATAGGGGAATTCAGTGCCAATGATGGGTGTCGCATTGAAGTTCTCATACTCCTTTAAGCTTCCTGATGACTTGAGTGGTTCCCGGAGAAGACTGGGCTGCGGGGTATCGGTGCCCTTGGCTTTGATATCTATATCCTCGGGGTAGTTCTGGGTATCGAGTGCTGGCGACATTGTAGCGTGTGGTATATGGTATGTATGTTTCAAATGAATTATATCACCCATTATTTAGGAGCATGCGATCCTTATATGTGCACTATGAGAAGTATATTTCCCCACAGAAGGTTTGTCTATGCCGGTATGCCGGCTTGTTATCTTGCACCATCGCCTCTAAAGTTTCATCTTCGAGTCACGGATTGGCCTGTTTTGTTATCACGACACAGCACTGATGTTTTGGATATTGTTGTGGTGGAATGGTGTGATCTCCATCCCGTTGAGTTGGTCAATTGATGCTCCCTAACCGGGTAATGAGTAGCAATTTGCGTCGGATATGGCGTATGAGAAGGTGATATTAAGTGCAAAATCATAATTCCATTCTATGATATTGATAGGTTCAATACTATGAATCGCCCTGTGATTTTGAACCCTTACAGACATATGTTCTATTGAAGATTTTGTGTGAAATGTATTTATTGTTGCTCGGTCTTTCTTTATATAAAATCCAAATATCGCTGTGACCAAAGCACAGTATATAAACTCGTGAGATAACACCAATTTGTGTCCGCTGCAACGCCCAGTCAATACATATGCAAATCAAGGACCTATAAATTAGTCAAGCAGTGATTAGAGAGATCATCAGCATGACCCATGCACCTGGCCATCCGACGAATCCACAGAACAAAATCAAGTCGCCCCTGCACGTCGAGAACTACGAGAAGTACGAGGAGGAGGGGGAGTACCAGAAGGAGGGGGACGAGCACCAGCTGGAACCCTCGGCTCAATATCAAACCGCATATGCAGGTTGCCTCTCAAAAACCAAGTGTGGATTCTAGGAATCTGATGAGTACCTTTGCGCCAAGCGCTTAGAACAAGACGAGCCACCGCCCTCCCCAGCTGTGTTCCTAGGATTTGCTGGAACTCTGGAGTATCCATCTGCCAAGTATGGATTGTTGGAGTGGAGGCTCTGTTACCAGGACCCGGGAGGTTGTTATTTCGGTAGAGCACCTTCCCAACCAAAGGGAGGGTCTCATCATTCTCAACTGTTGTCGCAAAAACATATCGGAGAGTGTCGATTTCCGCATCCTGTTTGTATAAAGCTAGAGCAACGTCACCCCAATAGGGTCCCCCATTATTTCTGTAAATCGATTTAGCAACGATAGCACCCTCTACGATGCAATGCTCGTAATTGGACACATCGCGCATTTTTCTATTGCGCTGTATACTTGTATAACGGTACTTTTTCGATTTCGGATCACTTGGAAGGGCTGTCGATTTAAGACTCTCTCTGATTTCAACCGGTGAGGCAACGAGCTCGCTTTTCCATACAATAAACATTGACTTGGGATCTGGGTGATTGGGTTCGATTAGATCGTCAATGGTTAGTGTGGACTGGGACACTGGACATGCAGGCCCATCTGGGTTGGTTTTGGCCATCCAGGCTTGAAATTGCGCTCCCGTCCTTTGAAATTGGTCGATGGTTTCCCTTTCAGGTGTTGGGTCTAGGATGGTTATTTTGTCTGGATTCATATTCGCAGAAAACTTACCCACCCACATGCCAACATTCCTGGGAGTCGCAGTCAACTTGGGAAGGTCTGCCCCGGGATCTCGCTCGGGGGCGGGAGTGTTTCGACTGGGAGTCACTGGTAACGGACTACGACGTGTCGATGTGCCCTTTGATTGCATAGTGGCACTACGTTTGGCGGCTGGAGCCAGGTCCTCATCATTGTCGTCGTCAGCGCCGTCACCCCCACGTGCCCGTTTACCAAGACGGAGGACGAAATTTGCGGCTTTCTTGAGGGGAGAAGTGGGAGGCTGGGACATCTTGTTGAATATATTAACTGAAAATGGACGAGGTGGATTTGGAAGACCTGGAGGTTTCTGATCTTGTTATTTGGAATTGATATGATTGAATGGCTTAGCTAGCTGCTGGGCAAAGGATATATTATATAGTTCTGGACAAGAGGTCAGATAAGACAGGCTAGTTCATGATCGAGTCCGTGCTCGCATGCGGTCTTTGTTAAGATGAAACAGACCGAACAATGAGTATATATAGAAACTTGAAAAACAAGGAGATTCGAATATATCTGGAGACAACGAGGGTGTTTAAACAAGTGATTTAACATTAGAACAAGGAGACTCGAGGCAAAGCATGTGTATCAAATGGAGGGGGCATAGAGTCCTCGATGCTAAGCGCATGCTGCAATGATAATTACATTATGCCAACAAAGCATCTAGGTAGTGTCTCATTTTTGGCTAAATTTAGTTCGAAGCCAAGAGCCGACTACGACAATGAACTCGTGATGAAAGAGGTCGATCCTTCCAAGCTAAGTCCAGAAATAACATGTTGAGACTTACATCAATCTTTCACATCCATTAAGTCATAACCTTAAGACTATTATCGCGTTCTCAATGTGGTCTGGATTGGGCTTGTCAGGGACCTTCGATATCGTCACTGCTCCAATCGGGGCATGGGAAAGGCGTACATTAGAAGACCTTGCTTCTAGGTACCTTTGATTCAACAGTCAACCTCATGTTGAAACCAACAGCCAACTTGTGTGGATATACGACTCTCCCGAGGTCAATCGTGTGAGCTGGACACCTGGGCAGGAAGCCCGACTTTACATTAGACCTAAGGCCCCGAGGCCGGAAGTTCACAAACTCATATAGCCCGATGTAGGTAATATTCACGGATAGAAGTAGGTAAATCACGTTCACGAAGGATATCTTATTGAGCAAAATGTTCATTCCAAAAGGATTCACTTACATCTCGTAGCCGGAGGACTTCACGTAGATGACCGAATCAGGCAAAACCAGGTTTAGTTTCGGAGACATCATATTCTCTGACACACTGTAGCAATCAAAAGCAAACCAGAACACAAAGTCACAAATTACGAGTTAGCACCCCATCCTGCAGAAAACCTCCAATCCTGCCCAGCCTCTCCAATCCCTCTCACCAAACCTACAACATTATCAAGAAACCCAGCTTCACCATTATTAACCCTCTCTCGGCGATCGATCTCAGTATCCGAACTAGCAGCACGAAGACCAAGCAGCTGTCGCGTAGTATACCCCTGCAAGCGATCCGCATCCATCCTCGTCAAAAGATCACCTTCACCCTGCCGCCGAGTCCACGCCGCCTGCTTAACAGCCGGAGCCCAATATTCAGCCAGGGAAGACTCATCACGATCAAACGCGTAGCACTTATCCAGCACAGAGTCAGACTCCGGTATAAGCGATGCGTTCCAGCGCGTGTGGATGACTTCGTACCTCTTCTCCATGAAGAAGATAACCGGCCACGTGATGATCCAGAGCTGCAGGAGGACGACAGCCCACCAGACGAAACGATTCGTACGGAGCCGGTTGATCCAGTGCGGGGAGTATATTGTGACGGAGCGTTGGGCGATGAAGAGACTGAAGTTTATGGAGCCGCGGTAGTTGAGTTCGCGAATGTGTGAGGATAGGACGTTGCGCATGGCGTTGGAGTCGAAACCGGAGACTTTACGGTGCAGAGTGAATCTGTATGGCGTTAATCGAGATTAGCAGGGTATTTTGTGCGCGAGTAAGGGGCAGAGCATACGATTTCACAGAAGCGGGGTCACGACAGAACCGCTCGCACCACATTCTCAGGCTTTTCGCTTCTGGGGAGCTGTTATCTTGCTCGTCGGCGTCATCTCGGGCTAGGAGGGCATCACTGTCCCCGCCGAGACTAATAGCAGCACGCGACTTGGGCGGTTTGTACGTGCGCGAGCGGAGGATTCCTCCCCGATACGCGGGTTTGAGGTACTCATCTGTGAGGATTTCCACCTCCCTCCAGATCGCGTCCGTATATCCGCCCTCCCAGCCGGTCAGCATGGTCTCTGCCAGATCCAGTTTGAAGTTGAAGTCTGAGACTGTGTTGCTTTTTTTGTCCTTTTTGTCATTGCTCGATTCGCTGTGGGTGCCATGGATGTAGAGTAGCGGCCGTGGCGGCAGCCTTATCTGCCGGCAGATAACATTGTAGAGCTCGTCGCAGTTGCTTGAGAGCGCTGGTTCGAGGGTGAGAGAGACCTTGTCTTGGGGTCTGACATCCTTGACGCCGGGGAGAACATAGGCGGAGTCGATTAGACGGAGGGGTCGGATGCTTGTGGGAGGCTGGACAGACTGGATAGGGGCGAGAATGGGTTCGGGGTCATCTGTGTATGGAGGCGGCGCGTCGTCGAGAGAATGGAGTGAGTGCGACGATGACGCAGGGGGATCGGCCTGGTGGAGGCGACCCATGACTTTGATATTTTGGGGGGAAAGTAAGCAAAAGTGATCAAAGAAAAAAGTGAAAAGGGATATTAAAAGATAAAAGATAAACCAAGGATGATATATAAATGGGGGGTTTCAAGGTTTGAGGCTCTAAGACCTCGTACTATGTACGGAGTACTCCGTAGTGTCTTCGGTATGGCAATGTTTCGTATACAACATTAGATCAATGCGAATTTTAGACGCTCAAGCAGCCAGGCTTTATTTTTTTATTTCCCTTCATGGATGTCCATAGTTCCTTTTTATTTATACAAATAATCATGGCAAACGTTGAACAACATTCAAAGGTTGAAGCCATCCATGAATGGAGTTCCCATGTTTTGTAAACCTTAGGAGTATTTATGGTAATATATTTCTATTATTAGTATAGGGAGAGACCAATTAGACAAGGGGGCTTATATACAACCGGAGCATTGCAAACCACTTGAGGTACACGTATTGATTTTTAACACAAAATTTGCTGGCATTTCAAATAGGTCACTCGCCAATTATCTTCTCCAAGTAATTTAGCCAGTTCTCTCCCAATACTTTCTGCATATTTGATTTCGACCAGCCCGCTCGAGCCATACATAGCCTTGGCCAGTTCCGGGCGGTCCTTTAACGGGCCCAGAGGCTTCACAACAGTCTGACTGCCCCAGGGCGTGAGCTGACGCGCATAACCCTTGTCCAGATTACACCAGGCCATGAAATCACTTGGTCGAGCATGGCCTTCCCTGGCATCTGAACCCGCACCGTAGCAGGAAGCATCGGTCTCTACCACCGTTTTGCGCCCTTCTTCGAAGTGGGCTAAAATAGGCGCGGTGATATACTTCCTTTAGTTCTATAAACGCACTCTAGTAACTATCATCCTATTTAAAAACCGCGTCCTTACTACTACCGGAAGTAGGATAACACCTGGCTAGCATCGGCTGTAATCTCGGGACGAACCCTAACCGTTAGGTTCCATGGTAGAATACTTGAACCCAACCCCGGAACCACAATACCATATGAACAGTTCATTGAAGGAGAGGCTCTATTGCAAGAGGTTGATACGAGATGTTTCCCCAATATCGAGATCAGCTCTGGTTGGTCTGAAAGGAGATGAGTGAGCTAGCCAGCGAGCAATCAACCCATCATGTGGAGATGCCGATACGGAACTTGAAAGTCAAGTGTCAAGATCTTGAAACTAAAGTCACGACAGAACCATTGTGGGGGATTTTTTAGATATTAGTCATTAGTCAAGCTCGGTTCTCTAATTGGAACGAGTAACTGTTAAATCGCTGAAGCGTGTCGACCGATCGGCGATGCTGCGGCTGAACAACGTGACCCGGGCACATGCAGGGGGCGACACAAGGCTTCCCAGTTTCTACCTCTCCTTCTGACGGTCATGACATTGCCTCAATATTCAATCATCACCATCAGCATATGGCCTATAAACACAGCGATGGAACTTGATGTTGGAGTCCATAGCAATCCTAACATAGAGGACCATGCGACCAGGCAAGTGAGCCGACAACCCCAAACGAAAGGCAATAGCTAAGAAATATTGCACACAGCCATCAAAGCGCCACAAGGGTGGATATGAATAAGATCCTCCTCGAAGCAGACGAATTTGTCACCGAATATGGTCTAGACGACTCACAAAATGTTATCAGGAGGGGGGCTCTACTTTTCCATCACCCGGACGATTTTTCACGCCTTGACAAGGAGTTGACCTATTTGGGAAACGATGGGGGTACATATGGCGGGAAATCCCTTTTCATGGGGATGGCTGCATGCTACGCAGCGGGATTTCTCTCCATAACGGTATCTGCGCCGTCTCCCGAATTGGGAGGGACAAGGTTCGAAGTTTTTGGGATAGCGCGCCTGCTTCATAGGTAAATCATAGGTAATATCTAAGTGGATGGTACTCCCCGAGCGCTAACTTCTTCACTAGCATGGCATCGATCATATTTGCACTTTTGGGTTTTGGGCTCTCAGTGGTCTCCAATCGGTATTGGGGTAGGCGCCAGGCTTTGCGCGTGGGAGCACTGCTCGCCCTGGGAGCTTCGATTGGAAGCTTTCTATCTACTAATTTGCACTTGTTTCTTTTGTCCAGGGGTCTTTCTGCAAGCGCAATGGTGGTCTTGACCTCTACTTCGCTCCTCTATATTGCTGAGACTAGCGAGCCATCGAAGCGCGGCTATTGGATAGCAATGTGGTATTTGTGAGAAACCATGTCTTGTGCTCAAAGATATGTTACGCGAAGAAAAGCTAACAGACAAAAAGATACACCGTTTTCCCGTCCGAGAGTTACCAGGTATTTGTGAAAACGGTGATGCCAGAGTCTGCCACCATGAACTTCCTTGATTTTGTGCTGTCAGCGTTGGCCGCATCAGTTCTTTTAGGATTGAGCATCCCGATGATTGAATCTCCCTACTGGCTGGCTTCGAATGGTAACATCGCAGCAGCTTATCATTGTCTACGATGTTTCCGTGATACGGAGCTTCTAGCTGCTCGGGATATTTACCAGATACACGACTTTATCAACAACCGACAGATTCCACTCGATAGTCATCCTTCTGGAATCACACCAGATCCAGAGCCCAGATTAATTACTACCAATCGGAGGATGATAACTTCATTGTCGATATGTGTTGTGCTGATGCATATCAGAGGCATGTCGAGAGTCTTGGTCTCTGAAACTGGCTTTCTCCAGGGCAAGACCTCCTTGATGTATTCCCTTGTTCAGGCAATCTTCATGGCAGTACGAACCATGTTTTTTGTTGTCATGACACAACTGTTGGATCAATTGCGACGAAGAAGAACCATTCTTGTCCTGCTTTATGGACTGTTTACATGCGTCATGCTACTATGCGCTGTTCCCGAATTCGATGCTTTCTATTTATGCTTCACTGCCCTCCACTTTTTCGCGGAGGCTCCAATAGCTCTCTACGTTTCAGAGGTGTTCCCATTGGACTATCGTGGTATGGCCCCTCAAACCGTAAGACGATGCAACAACCTGACATTACGACAGAGATGGGTGTTTCCCTGGCACTTTCTGTCTATGCTGGATCCACCCTAGTACTAGAGCGAAATGCGCCGGAACACCACCAGTCAGACGTACCGGGATCGGGTTTCCCCTTTTGAGAGGGTCCTTGCTGTGAGTCCAAAAAAAAATCCAGATCTTCTTGTGTGTCTGCGAGCGTTTTGCTACAGTTTTATTGACACCGAATCAGAATGTTGTTTCCTGTGTCCATGATCCTGGCTTTTTTCATGAAAGAGACCAAAGGTTTATCTCTAGAGCACAACAGCCTGGGATTCTAACCTTCGGTGCGGCGGCATTTGAGAGGCAGACATTCTCGCTTTTTTTTCAATACTTGGTTCGCATTCATGCGATCTGGGCCAGACCAACTCCACCAACGATCGACAGCCATCATTTTGGTCACTTATGGATCCATTCCGCTATTTTGCACCGAATGAGGAAAGCCATGGTATGCGCAGGCCGGGTTGCGAGCGATGCTGTGCTTTAGAAATGCGGGTTTCAAGTTCAGCAGAATGAGGTCGGCACTCGGCGCCACGATCAATCAATAGACGTATGAAGTCCCGTCTTCCATAAGTGGCTGCCACAAAAAGTGGGGTTTGACGACGGTTATCCTCGTGGTTGAGACGGGATCCATTTCCGATCAGAATCTCCATAAATGAAATGCTCAGTTTGTTGGATTTCACTGCCAGATGAAGTGGTGTGAGACCGTCCTCGTCTTCACAGTACGGGTTCGCCTCGTGATTCAATAAAACCATCGCGAGATCTTCTCTTCCGAGGAAAATTGCATATTGAAGCGGAGTTCGCCCAAAGCGTCCCTTTGTCTCCGTAGACGCCCCTTTTTCAAGCAGAATTTCAATTGCCGCAGCCCCCATTCTACGAATCGCTAGATGAAGAACTGTGTCGCCATCGGGATTTCGGGCCTCCGGGTTAGCCTTACCCACTGAAACCAGCTGAAAAATTTTGTCAACTGACGCGGGCCCCCCCTGCGCGGTAGCAAGGTGGAGGGCTGTCTCCTGCGTGAGCTTTGTACGGGCTTCGGGATCCGCAAAATAACTAAGGAGCACACTTATTGTTTCTGCGCTGCCTTGCTCTGCGGCGATGTGCAGAGCTGTATATCCTCTCAAATAAGCATTTGGGTTGGCGTGTGATAGAAGCAAAATTCGAAGTCTATCCCTGTCTAATCGACCGTCTTTTTCCGACTTCAAGAGATACCAAAGTTCTGACGATGGCAGGTCCTACAAGAAGTCAACTGTTAGTGTATCTAGGCCTTATCGCCTAAGGTCTGGAACTGAGAGGTGAATACCATTTGGGGCTCCGTTATAATGCTGTCGGAATATTCAAACAATAGTGATTGGTCTGAATGAAACTGTTGTTGCGAAATCACACTATGATTAGTATCGGTAATTGAGAGTTGAGATGTCTCAAATGGTTCTGTGGCGAGTGAAACATCGTTTACTGTGGCCGGAGGAAACTTCCAATCCATCATAAGCTGCCCTGAAGCTCGCGGTCTATCTTCAGGAAGAGGAGCTAGCAGTCTTTGCACGAAACATCTGCCCGACAAGCTAACGCGATACCGGGCTAGAGGCTTTTCCAGGAAGCTATGATCGCCATTGCAATATTTCTCCAGCACTGTATTTGCATCGTTCGTATCGGATAAATGATCCGTGAACGGAATTTTGCCCGTTAAAATATAGTGCAGCAGACAGCCTAGAGACCATAGATCAACGGCAGGTGTGTGGCTTGACCCTACTCCACCAACCAAGCGCAACCGTTCAGGGGCCATATAGCCGGGCGTTCCAATTTTAGTTGTTTTCTGTGTTGATGGTTGTGTGTCATCTTTATGGGCGAGTTTGCTGATCCCAAAGTCCGCGATTTTGACTCGGATGGGGTTCAGGTCAACAACCAAGATGTTCTGGAACACGGGTATTAGATGAAGCCTGGGGCCTTGAAAGTTGGAATAAATTTACCTCTGGCTTAATATCGCGATGTATGATTCCCAGTTCATGTAAAACAGACAGACCTTCAATTATTTGATTGCATACACACCACGCTTTCGCTTCCAGCATAGGAGTGGGTTGTTGAGAAATATCCCCGTAAGGACAGTACTCCAGTACGAAGTAGATGTAATCTTTGGACGGAAACCAGCCAATGAGCTCGACAAATAGCTCCTTCTGGTGCGGTCTATTTGGTGGTGTTTGATTAGCCTAATGAGCTTCCTGGCGCAGTGAAAAGAACACGGCACAGATGACAAATGCAGTTAACATACTCCACCTCCTTCGATACCCGTTCCATCATGTGTAGCTCTCGGCGATAATTGCCAATCTCTTCTTGCCAACGAATCTGCTTCAGTACCCGCAATTCTCCCTTTAGGGATGAATATAGGAACACGTCCGCATTCCCACGCGCGAGTACTTTTTCACGTTTCCAGATAGAGTTCTCGGTTGTTTTGGCAAATACTTGATCCTGTCCCTGCCCAGGCTTGAGTCTTGTTTCCAGCAAACGGCCATCAGGGAAAATATCAGCTCGAAGCTTGAGCGATTCGGCAAGCTCCTCCTCGTTCATTGTGAATGGGTGATGCTGAGAGGTTTCCGGTTGGGGGGCGCTTCAAGGGTTGGTCTGGCAGGTAACCTCGGGGTAATTTATTGCTGGTATTGTAAATGGTTCAATCGAGGTGTTGAGGAACAGATGGGGATCGAACAAATTGTGGAGGGAAAGGCTCGACCCTGCGGGGCCTGGGCCACCCCGTGCGGCTCGGTTGCGCCCGACTGTCGCTCTCTCGTCCACTCAGGGCTCAGTGTGGATTTGATGCTGATTGCCATATGGGAAGCAGAGCAATCGGAAGCAAATTTCTCCGATCAGGCACAATGTTTTAGGCAACCAGTCTTCGTCATATGACCATGAGCCACCTAGGCAGCGGGCTGACTACATAGCCCCTCTTACGTGCAAACCATTGCTCAAAAAGGGGATACATCAAATCATCATATATCCCTGGCTACGGGATCTACTACTCTGTACGTCGTAATTCTTTCGCCATCACTTTTAAATTGACTGTTAAACCCAATCTACAAGATCCCGCGAATTTAACATGGAAGCGGTTTCGTTCGTAATGGGGGTGACTGGGGCGTTAGATGTTTGCATCAGGTAATTTGCGTCCCCCTTTAACGACAACGAAATTTCTGACTCACCTTTCTTTGAATTCCCAAGAAATGGCCAACAGCTTGTGCGTCTTTGTCGTGAAATACGCAGCATTGACAAGGATATTGAAGAAATGGCGTTGATCATTGAGGGTGTTTGGAACAAAACCGAAGTGCAGGTTAGACTATTAAAGGGGTTCTGGAACATGCCTTCTCTGCTTCAGCCTTCGCTCCGAGAACACTATGCCGATTCAATATCTCGCCTCAATGAAAAGCTTTTGGGTGCCATTGATGGTCTTGAAAAGAGTCACCACCAGAAGCTTTCATCTAACAGCTCATACTCAAAGGCTAAGGCTCTCTTCCTCACCAAAGACTTGAAAAAGGTCGTTGCAGATTTGGAGGCCTGGCAACGAAGGTTCGACCCGTCATGGTACTTGATAACACTTCTCTCGGCATCGGCAATCGATGAAAAACTACAAGACGAGAGAAGAAGCCCATCGGCAAGGAGGATTATTCAGACCAGAGAAATCATTCGGAATGTTTCTACTCAGCGAAGTCATTCCGATGGAACAATCTTTCGGCCTACTGAATCAATTTCGAACGGCCGTGAGAAGATACCTGGAACGAACACATACACATCATCCTATGATGGCCGGCAAATTCTTCTAGATAGAACCAATTATGCACCAAAAGCAAACCTTGAAACCATCAAATCCAATGTTCGAGATCTGGCACGCATGCTCAGGAATGTTGATCCCGATTCTTTTGGCCTACTCAAATGTGTTGGGGCAGTGGAGATCCCGCCCCAGGATTCCACAGGGACTCCCCAAAGCCAGAACACACAATTTGAATTCATCTTCGAGATACCAAATGGGTTAAACTCCCCGAAGACATTGAGAGAGATTCTGCTAAGCAGGCCGAGAATATCCTTGACCAAGCGCATGAAGCTCGCTAAGCAGCTCGCAAGGTCAATCATGTTTGTCCACACGACGGGATTCGTCCACAAAGGAATCCGCCCCGAAACGGTCCTTATATTCGAAGAAGACAACACGGATATCGGACCATCGTTCCTTATTGGATTTGAACGCATCAGACGCGCCCAAGGTCAGACTGATCTAATGGGGGACTTGGAATGGGAAAAGAATCTATATAGACATCCATATCGACAAGGACAATGGTCCGAAGAGGCATTCAAAATGCAGCACGATATATACAGTCTCGGGGTTTGCCTTCTCGAAATCGCCTTATGGCATTCATTTCTGGTACAGGAACCAGACAACACTGAACCACACCCCTGGGATGAGTTGAATATCCAAAGTGCCATCTCCGACAGGAATTCTCGCCGAGGTGGCACGGCAATCAAGGCAGAGCTGGTGGCTATCACTGAAGACCGACTCCCGAGCCTTGTTGGAGATCAATACACCAATCTAGTTCTTGCATGCCTGTGCTGTCTGGACACAGAGAGCAAGCACAATGTTTTCGAAGGACCCGGAAGTGCTGTCAAGGACGAGGATGGCATCGTGGTAGGCGTTCGATACATCGAAAATGTAAGGCGAATGAGAATAACATTGGTGTCCACGCAATACTGATCACTCCTCGCAGATTTTAGTCAAGACCGAAGAGCTTTTAGTCTAGGAAGTGGAGATTTATGGCCAAACGCACAATTTACGCCCCCATCCTCCCACAGTGAGTCTATCCCCGTGGCGGATAAGCAGCCTATATTAAAAAGAAATTGCCAAGATGCCTCCGATATGTCAGAAATCTCTCCAGCCTGAAACTATATACCTAGAACGCAAACCGCACAACACAATTGAGCACACCAAACACCTCATTCTATGAATTTGCCCTTTGTAACGTAAAGCTTTACCCCAAGTGGAGTAACCCCTTGTCCATTCGGCATGCCATAGAGTCTCCTTGTCTGTTCCTTTCCTTCCTCGTCAAGTTCATAAACAGTGACGTTGCACCATTGCCAGTACACTGTCTGGCTTTTTCCAACAATTATTGCCACACGGTTCTGGGGCACGTCGCTGAAATCTATGGGGGAATCAAGCGGTTTTTTTTCGAAAGGCTGAGGATATTTCAGCCTATGTAAAGTGTCAAACATACGGGACTAACCATATCTCCTTTTGGAATACTCAGATACTCCCCAAGGACTTATGTACGAATGGCCAAAGTGTCGCTCTCATGAGATGAAACACTGTTGAGCCACAGAAAAAGCCTTCACAAGGTGCTTCCTGTGAGGCGAATGAAGAGCAGATCGTGCTAGTTGGGATAATTTCAGCATGATCTGCGAGCCAGTCAGAAATTTATAGAGTTAAAATGTGTACCGTTATTTTCCAAATGATTTCAGCACCTGGTTCGCATTGATTGCCTGATTTGGTGAGTCGGTGATCGAGAAACGGGGGAGAGAGAGGCAACACGCCCTGTATTGGCTAACTCGAAAGTGCGTGAAAGGTAGCGAGGAAAACAGGAGAGGAACCAACAAGAGAGGTCAAACAGATCATATCACCTGGGCACATGATCTCCAACAGTCAGATGTGGGGTAAATTCACGTGCGTCCCTATAGAACGGTAATTTCCATTGTTTTTCTAACGATATTCAAGCAACTTCCGGATTCTTCAACCGCGAGCTTAATTAGCTTGCTCCTGCCAAGTGGCGGATCTCGTCATCCTCACCGGCCACTAGCGCTATGTAATGTTCGAGCAGTATCCTGATTACACAATCTGATGGCTTTGAACCTTTTACCTAAAAGGGCAGATACAGAGGGGGCCCTATATGGTTAGAGTCACTGTTTATCTATGTGATACCAAGGAAAATCTCGACAGAGGCTTCAAGATGCACAAAATTGATGTGTATGGTTTCTCTACTGCGGCTCAGCGGTCTACTGCAGCATTTAAGAATCATCACAACAACCACAGGGGTACTTAGGTATACTGCCACTCGGAATCGTTGTTGATCTTCAGGAAGACGAAAGTAATCCCATTCGATGCTATGCCGTAAATAGTGCAGTTCATCTTGTTCCCCCTTACGCCGGTAAATAGTTTATAAGCACCTTACCCTCCAGCCCTAGGGAGCTCTAGGGCTTCTGGGGCTCTAAAGTTAGAGTAGTTCCAAAGCCCTTAGCATTCCGTCACTCCTGACTTTAATCAATTGCTCCTATAGTACTACACGGGCTCATATCGACTCCTAGACGCTGAATTTTATCGACATTTTAGTGGGGTTGCTTTAATCTCTTTTTTTCTCCATACACCGTGAAAACTACCAGATAATTTATGGACAATGATGCGGTTACTAGAAATCCCAAAAGAAAAAGCGGTATACCCTGTTGTCTTGGTGGTTCTTAATTGCATTGCTGGCAGCTGCTGTACTCGCTCCTTGCTCCGCACATACGTCTAGCTCTGGATCCCCGTAGCCTTTTATATCGATAATCACGCGTCGAGCTTTAACATCTCGAGATTAAATTTATCGAGGGGCAGACGAAACTTCTATAAACTTCAATCAAAGTCACGGATTACACGAGAAGGTAGAAGCAGCTTCTAATAATGGAAGACCCTGCACGCCCAGGGCGCGAAAAACGCGTAGGTAATCAATTTGGTCTTCAATGCCGGGTGTGTTTTGCCAGGAAAGTAGAACTGCTGTTCTTCCATCGCGCTTTGCTAGGCGAATGTCACGGACAGAATGCGCCTGTACGATGAGGTCGGACGGCTCTTCAAACCACTTTTTCCATTGTACCACGTTGATAATGGCACTGCGAATCCCTTCCCAGATACCGCATATGCACGACACACCCGTGATGCTGCCTTGTTGCCAGGCTTCGAAGATCTCGCGTGACCAGTTGGAGATGTTCAAACCGTCAAGGTGGATCGCAGTGCGGTAGATTTCTAGCGCTTCGGTTTCGGATACCATGGTGAGATGATGATTTTAGTTCCAAATGAGAGAGGTGATTCTGAGAAGCCATTTCGAATAGTCTCTTTTAAATATACAATTCGGTGCGGTCCCGATGGATATTTCCAGTTTGGGGAAGGGATGGCGTGCTCAGTTCGTTGATTACCGCGTTATCTCTCCGACGACCCCCCTTCCCATGCGACAATCATGGAGGGCGCCGTGCATCGCTTCCGGGTCCATCGAAATAAATCACAACCGAAGATAATAAAACAGGGTAGACCCACCAATGCTAATAATGGTCGACGGCCCTCTCTACCGGCGTGTCGCCGCTGCCGCCAACAAAAGAAGCGGTGCTCCCGAACAGCTGACGGATCCTGCGAGCAATGCATGATTGCTTGGGTGCCTTGCTCTTTGATGCAGCAACCTGCGAGTCCGCAGACGCGTGAGCGTGAACTGCAATCACGCATTGACTGGCTAAGCCGGCTTGTGAATGATGCACTCCCCGTTGGTAGATCGCCGATCGAGTCTATCGAGACTGGGCGAGATATGGCCTTGGACAGTCCGATGCAGTCTCCATCAACTGGGGCGACTATGGCGATTGAGCGCAGCGAGAGTGGCTTTGAAGAGAGCCGTACTCCCAAGGCTGAAGGAAATGTGTGCCTTTCTGTTGCAGCTAGTCTCAAGTGCTTACAGGCCTATTTTCGACACGTTCATCGCACATACCCATTTATGGATAGCGAGTATGTTCTTCAAGATTTCGATGCCCTTTGCAATAAAGGGGCACATAATGGCCTTCTCCCCCAATCTGCTGTACCAAACCGCGTCTATATGGTAATGGCTATCGGTTTCACAACCCTGCAGCGAGCTGGGGAAGTGCAAAACATCGAGGAGCGAGATTTCCAACCGTGTCTCAAGGGGGTACTCTGTGAGTGTGTCTCTCGAGTGGACGAGCAATCAGCAGGCACCTTGCTCCTCCTTGGCTTGTATCTCTTGTTCAAGCCCGATGACCAAGATCCGCGAGCCATCGCTGGTGTTCTCACCAACCATGCTCTGGCAGTCGGGCTGATGAATGAGTCCCCCACTTGCCAGACCCTTTCGCCTCGGGCACTGGAGCTCCGTCGCCGTCTTGGTTGGTCAGTATATGTGTTCACTCGCATGATCAGCATATCCTATGGACTGCCATTTGCCTTTCCCGACAATCTAATGAAATTACCACTACCGAGCATCATGATTCATGAATATGGCTCTGAGGAAGGACATCAATACGCAATAGCCTTGCAGGTCAGTCGACATGTGATTTCTCTGCGACAACTAGAGACACGCATTGTCAACGCCATTTATGATCCCAACCCATCTACAAGTCCCCAAGAACTCCGACTCCAAATCGAAGACTGGTATACACAGGGCTGTCTACTATCCAGCTCAACTTTGTGCGAACAGGACCAGCTTCCCTTTCATACGACCATCGCATGGCTTAATGTCCGCTACGAGAACCTGCTTCTCTTATTGTACAGTCCTGCACAAGGAGATTCTGCAACCGAAGAAAATCTGCCAAATCTCCAGGGTGCTGCGCAGCAGTACATCCGGTTGAGCCTTATACTGCATGACCACCGACATCTGCCCATGAACTGGATTACACTCTGTCGCCTCCTTTCATTGGCTGCAATTCTTCTCTACTGTACTCGTCAATGGGCCCCAGCCTTTGAAAATATCCCGGAGATTCCTCTTCTCGCAAACTTGCTTGAATTCTTTCCACCCTCCTGGGGTGCTGCACATGAAGCGTCTCGAATTCTGCGGCGCCTTGCAGATATCATTACAAAGCAAAAGAGCCCGTTGATACCACGAAGCCAGTTTTCCGGGTCTTCTGTGATGGCCACCTCAAGTTTCAATGCTGAAATGGAGCTACAGTCTGTCCAAGATGACCTGGAAGCATTGCTGAGCCAATCAATGGGCGAGGCAAGCTTTTATACCTGGCCCCTGAGGCCGAAAGTTGCGGACCGAAGTGTTTCTCATCCATCCTTTACTATGCATAGCTTGAGAGCTGGACCAGAAAGTGGAATCCGGAATAATCGGCTCAGTGTTACGCACGACGGAACTTCGATCCCAGCAGATAACGACCTGGGTGAAAGCTTGCTAGAAACGCAGTGGATGAATCTTTTGGGGGGTGTAGGATCTGATATGCTCTAATTGAGACTCTTGTTCTTTCTTTCCTATCTTTCATTGGAATCTTGATCTTCTATCTGCGATACCCATGTGTCCGTCTATAGACGCGGATTCCCAACCACAGCATCTTGAGCAATCTCCCTCTCAAAGTCGAACCCAAGCTCTTCCAAACTCTTAACCTGAGCTCGCCGATCGCCAAGTGCCTGAGCCGCCTTCTTGATCAATGGGAATCTCGCACGCGTCCACTTCTCTTTCTCGCCCCAGAAGGGCGGTGTTCTGCCGTACCCGTCATTTTCCAACCCATTCTTTCGCGTCGCATGTGAACTCAACTCGTACAGAGAGTTGATGTAAGCTGCATCAAGCGGAAAAGCAAGGATATTGAAGCTACGTCCTTCGCCGCGATTGACCGTCCACTCCCCAATCCACCGCTCCATTTCAATCTCCGAAGGCAGCGCTACTCGTCCCGACAGAACGCGCGCGACCCACGCCCCTTGTGCCTGACTGAAAGGGAATGGGACAATCCGTTGAGGGAAGCCTATCAGAGCGAGGGTGGGCTCTTTGCTGTAGAAGACATGCTGGTACAAATGGTGAGGACGCACGCCATCCGTGACAAGAGGTGGCTGAAGACTTGATAAGAATGGAATGGAGAAGTGGTAGCCTGTGCAGAAGATAATGTGATCGACATCTCGCTCTTCGTGGCCATTGACAAACTGCACACGACCCTCTTCGGCACTGAGAAGGCTAATTTCCGGAAGGCTTTCGGCAACGGCGGCTTGCTCTGTGGAGAGTGCTGTTGCTGTCCGTTCGGAAATCAGCAGCGGGTGCTTTGACACACGACCGATTTGAGTGGCGATGTCGATTCCCGAGGCGGAGTGACCGACGACAATTACTTTCTATTGCTGTCTGAGTACTGTGGGTGACTTGGTAGGCGGAGGGTTACATACCTTGTTTGAAAACGATTCGGCACGCCTATAAGAGGAAGAATGAATGATGGAGCCTGGATAGGTTTGATTCCACTCAGCTAAGCCAGCGATTTCAGGGATATATGGGTCATTGTGGTGTCCATTAGCGACTACGACTGCGTCGAACTGGCCCACCATGATCCCACCAGTCTTCAAATTGCGCCACGTCACAGTCCATTCCGGTTTGGGGAGTTTCTTTGATATTTTCACATCCAAAATCAAGGATTGCAGACGTATAAGGGGCTTCAGCTCCTCTGCATACTGATGGAGATAGTCTCTCACGACGACATGCGTTGGAAATAGCGCGGTTCCCGCAGGGAACGGAGACTCGGTGAACTGCATCATCGAGTTTGGAATATTTGTTTCGAGAGAGTCATATACAGGAGAAATAAAAGTCCCGTTCACAGGCTGTTGAGGCTCCTGGCTTGGCTTAGAACGAGAAATCACCGATGCATCGCGGACGCCTTGATCGCCGGTGTAATTCCAAACACCCCCAGGTTTGTCGCGCTGTTCAAAAATGGTGACGGTCTTGAATTTCTCTTCCGCAAGAAGGTATCTGCGTTTAGTTTATCAATTATTCACGTCCACCCCTAAAAGGCATAGGCAAAAACGTACTTTGCGACTCCTAGGCCACAAGGGCCTGCACCGATAACAGCCACCCGTTCAACTTCCATGGCAATTAAACCAAATAATCAAAAATCAAAAATCTAGCGACAATCAGCACTCTTTAAGGAGTTCAGATTTGGAATGCGAAGTCGTTTAAGATAATCCACAGTAGAAGCCTCTCGCGCCATATCAGCCTCCGATAACGTGCACCGGTTAGTCTCGATGGGGTAAAAACGAGCGGAGCCGCGCCGATAGGGCTTAATGATGTGCTCGTGAATAATTTGATAAATGTTTAGCATGCATATAAATATTGGTTCATCGGATGAAATACATGAAGCAGTAGTCCATTTCCCTAGCCACTGCTGTTTTGAGCATGGAGTTCGACCACGATCAACTAAAAACACAGCCTAAGGTCAAGGGCCTCAAAGCTCCAAGCGAACAGTCAGAGCTGGCACCGATACAGAAAACCAGACAAGCTCGACTCAAGGCGTTGATACGGGACACCTGTGATAAGTCGCCTCGAGAGTGCAAGCTTGTTCAGAACGTGGACTGGTGGCTACTGAGTTATGCCTGTACGGCATATTTCATTAAATCTTTGGATCAATCCCTATGAGCTAGGAAAATACATGCCTGACAGACATAAATAGACTTCCAATGCTTACGTCTCGGGCATGAAAGAGGCACTCAACCTGAAGGGAAACGACCTGAACTACCTGACAACACACTGGAACATCGGTTACATCGTCGGGCAGATCCCATAGCACAAACCAAGAATGCTCAGGACGAGTCCCGCCAACGTTGGTTCCATTGGCATGAGCCAGGTACTTCAAAAGCCGACAAAAAACTCATTTTGAAACTGGACTGGTTTCTTCTCAGTTACAGTTGTTTATACTTTTTCATCAAGCAGCTGGATGGCAACAACGTGTCCAATGCCTACGTCTCTGGCATGAAAGAAGAGCTTGGATTCGGACCAGGGAATGAACTGAGCTGGATGAACACATACTTTAGTATTGGCGCAATCCTAGGGGGACCAATTTCCAACCTCGCTTTAACTGTTGTTCGACCGAGGTACTGGCTGCCAAGCTGTTTGTTCATCTGGTCGCTCTTCGTACTTTTCTTGTACAAGTACAACCACGCATCTGAGCTCTACGGTCTTCGATTTTGTATTGGACTTTTTGAGTCCGCCGCGTGGCCCGGAATTCAGTACGTTATTGGATGTTGGTATCGCCGATCCGAACTGGCGCGTCGAAGTGGTCTCTTCATCATGTCCGGAGTTCTGGGACAAATGTTTTCAGGCTACCTGCAAGCAGCACTGTTCAAAGACATGGATGGAAAAGGTGGATTATCTGCGTGGAGATGGCTCTTCATTTTCGATTTCATCCTTGCCATTCCAGTCGCCATATATGGTTACATTCTTTACCCCGATACGCCTCGAAACACCACAGCATTCTATCTCTCTGAATGGGAAAGAAATCGGGCCAGAGAGAAAATCGACGAAGAAGGTCGAACTCCTGTTGGAAAACTGGATGCCACTGTTTTCAAACGCATCTTGCTATCCTGGCAATTCTATGCTTTTTCACTCGCGTATGCCTTGTGGTCTCTCACCTGCGGGTCCTATGTGATGCAGTATTTCGGGATTTGGTTGAAGTCTCTGAGAGTATATACAGTACCTCAAATCAACAACATTCCCACTTCCATGGGCGCCATGAATTTTGCTTTCATGCTCGGTACGGGATATGTCTCCGATAAATCCGGCCGACGAGGACCCGTCTGTTTCGCAGTCGGATGTCTCCTAACCTTCTGCTTTGCCATATTTACGGCGTGGCCTGCATCAAGAGGATTGAAGATGGCTGCGTTAATTCTCACGGGATGTTATGGATGTTATACACCCCTTCTGGCAGGTTGGGTGAACGCGTCATGTGGTGGAGATCAACACCTAAGAGCATTTGTTCTAGCGTTCATGGTCAGCCTTGGATCAGCTGTTGTCATCCCCTTCCAACAGCTGCAATTTCCTAGCGGAGAGGGGCCGAAATTCTCCAAAACATATGGCTGGGTCAGTGGGCTGTGTTTTGTTTTGGTATTGACTTTATGGACTGGGTTTGGAATCGACATTGTTGAACGGATTTTCACACGCGGGAAGCGCAAGGAGAGCATACCCAAAGATGCCGATGTTTAGTGTTGCGATTAGCATTCTTCTAAAGGGAAAAGGTAAAGGTCAAGCAAAGAGATAATCGTCATTAACTATTTGCAAAGAAAAAAAGATTCAGGTCTATGTATACACCAATTTCGACCTTACCCAACGTAACACTTAAAAGATACGAATTCCGGATCCATCTGCTGGCGATCGTGGCACAAACCAGGACCCCGCCAGCCATAAGTTTGGGAAATGTCGTTGACAAGATCGCACTGCGTATTAGGAGAGACCGTACAGAGACCATTTGTCATAAGCCATGATTTGGGATTATGCAAAGAATCGCTGTGACAGTTCCTCCATTCCCAATTACCGCTTTCTGGTATAGTCCACCAACGACACGAAACGGCTGTGTCGTTGACCACGGTCCCGAGATTACTCTTCGTGCGGAACCTCATGCAGTCACTGTCCTCCAATTTCTTGTTGTGACCTTGGAGTAACACGTAGCTTCCAGTGCAACCGATGCCATTGAACATCTTCAGTGACCATCCGTTGGGTACGGTGACGACACCATCCACGATTTTTGTTGTTGAGGCTTTGGTTATGGAAGTCTTGGTTTTGGTTGTTGTAGCAGACGTGGCCTTGGTAGTACTTGAGCTTGTGGGGACTATAGTATTCCGAAGTTGGCTTGCCAGGAGACTGAGCTTCTTGGCCGGTTCCAGGAATTGAGTGGCAGTGCCAGTATGAGTGCTAGTGGCAGAGCTAGTAGGAGCGGCAGCTGACGTGGACGTGGTTTCGTGTAGATATGTCAAAGGTACATCTACCAAGGGTATATCTGTCGTGAAAAAGTGTGCATCCGCGTTTTTTGTACTTGTCGGGGATTTAGCTTTAGCTGTCACTGTCACAGCTTCGGCTGTCATTGTCACAAAGCTTCTAGCTGACAATGGCACATTTTTAGTTTCAGATGGCACGGATGTGGCTTTAGTTGCAGATGTAGTTTTTACTGATGTAGCCTTAGTTCCAGGCGCAGGGGGCACAGCAGGTGCAGGTGCAGATGAGCCACAGAAGTCTGCACCAGTACCACATTTACCCTTTGTAGAGCACTATAGGTATGGTCAATCTAAGCCGCGAGATCGAGATTGAATCTTGGTAGAGCTTACACATTGACCCGCAGGGCATGGATTCAAAGAGGCAATATTGGTCCACAACATTGGACGTGCTGTTCCAGGCACTTGGGGACCACAGACTGCATCACCGATTGCAACTGGCATTGGGGGTTCACCCTTGCTGAGACAAACTTGACCTCCATCCTGCAGTTGGTTGCACCCGTACCATGCCGAGGTATTGGCGTTCCAAGTCTCGATATCGGCCGTGGTGATCCCGTACCCGTCGGCAATCTTCGCGCAGGTATCGCCATTGCGGATAGTATAAACGTAGCAGTAAGCATCACTGTCCGGTGGAAATGTAGTCGTCCCTGGCGCGCAGCAAACGGGTTTTCCGCGATGCAGAGAGGAGCAGGCAGTATTCGGGGTGAAGGAAGTGAATGATGCCGCCGAGGTACCGCACCTGAGAGCCAGATCGTCGCATGTATCCCCAGTGCCAACAGGAATGGAGGGGCAGGTGTAGGGGTAGGTGTACAGGGCCGGGTCTTGGATTGGTTTGTCCTAATTTGGATTAGAAACTGGAGTACAAGTGATGTTGGGAGTTGGAGAAGTGGGTACTAACCTCGGGTGCACCTAGAGACAACGCAACTGTGCTATGAATCAAACGGAGACTGCACAGTGCGAGAAAGATGCCCCTTTGAAAAGACCCCATCTTGTGTAGACTTGCCTGAGAGGACGATGCCTTTTGAAGATCAACGCGTGGCTTTATATATATTTCTAAAGAACTACACTATATGTCACGCCTGAGAGCAACATCGCGGAGGCAACATGCATTCATGCAGCCAGTGAATCATATGAAACACAGATATGCTCTTGACAGTAATGTGCAGGGTCTGAGAGTCTCTAAAGAGCCAATTAAAATCATTCTTTCTCAAGGACAACATGTTGGATTGTTGTAACAACAAGCCAAAGTGTCTCCTCCGCTACCACAAACAAAGAAGTCGTTGCATTGGGATGACCCCCGGTAGAAATGTGACTCCAAATGGCCTTTGTTCTAGAGCCTCTCTTTCCTCTTCGGAGTTGGGATTCACAGATTCTCCTTGAAGATGCGATATAACGTACCATGCTGCTGATCTTGGAGGGGTCTTGGCTGCCGGGGTAGTAGATACCTGCATCGAAACCACCAGTCTGTGGGGTTTCATGACACTAAGACAAAGGAAAGACTTAAGAACAGCGATTGCCAGATGCTGCAACTTCCTAAATCGAACTCAAATTATTGTTGGCGTGGAACAGACACCATCACAACGTAGCGCTCATCCCCGGGACCAGTCGAATGCCATATATGTATTGAAAAAATTTGAATATCAGAGAAGGTGTTGAAGCTTATTTCTAATTAGTAGTGCGTGCGACCGAGTCAAGTCAAAGAACAAATATCCCGGGGTTGAAATAACAAGATTGGCTAAGACCTTATCGGCTTTGTGCCACAGTTCAAGGGTTGGCAGAGACAGGGTTACAGAAATAGATTTTGGTAACCTCGGAAATTTGGAGATAGCAGAGATGGAGATATGAGAGTATGGTGGAAATATTCTCCTATGTAAAGTCCAAAGGCTAATCTTGACATATACCTATACCGATGTACGATTGTGGAAGCAGAGGGTGATGTTATTTTCCAGTACAGTTGCTCTCAGTTCACTCGACATTCCTGGACCTAGAGACTTAGCCGTCGACGAATACGGTGAGTGGCAGATGTCGAAAGTCGACAATGAAACCCTCAAGCATGCATTCCGAGAAGTGTGTGACGTGATGCTCGAGAACGGTCTTGATCTTGCGCAAGTGTACAAAGATCAAGATCCCAAATTCTTCATCGAGAAAGGAGTTAAAATAGGTATCGCTCGGCGTTTCGTAGAGGATATTGGAAAGTTGGTTAAGAACGTGAAGAAAGCGGTGTCTGTTTGCGAGACTCTTTAGTCTGTGTAGAGTTTGGTTACAGTCACTAGCGAAATCTGCTTCCTGTTGTTTTCAATTACTACTCATATTAAAAACGTGGCTCCCAATTGTTGCAGTGATTCTTGAAACGGCTTGACCAATACACACTGAGTAGCGCGCATAGAGTCTTAGGATTTAAAGTTTTCCGTTGCACTTTTTCCGTTGCATTTTCGTTGCTTGGTGGGCCCCGAGACAATTAGAGTGGAGTTATCTAGGCAGCGAAAGTCAGAAAGCTTGGAATATGAGCCATGAACAAGTTACCTTAGGTCGAACGTTGCTAGGAAGGTACCTAAGCCTTTTGTCTATTTGACAGACTTTTTTACCGGCGCCAGGCATTTGTAGAGCAAGTCACTGACGGTTGTCGAAATACAGGGAAATAAACACAATAGTCTGAACCTTGGCGTCGCTGTGCCAAGGGCCCATCCAGCGAAAACTCAGTCCGCCTAGCTTAGATAACCACTGAGTTGGGGTATAAAAAATGTCGGATATGCCAATATCTCGATTCTCCATAGGATTCTCTATCAAGGTTCATCAAGCTTCCATAGATCATGGATCAACTGCCGAATGAATTGCTTCTTTCCATTGGGAAGCATACACAGCAAAGTCGCTGCCCCCAGTCAACCCTGCATTCCCTGAGCCGTTGCTGCCGGCGATTCCATGATATCTTCTCACCTTTGATATATTCATACATCTCTTCGGACACATTTTCCAAGAAGTTTATCCACTTTATCATACGTATATGGAGACAGCCAAAGCTCGCCAGGCAAGTCCATCGATTGGACCTGTGCTGGACACAATGTGACCAGAATGACCCACTGGAAGTGGACAACGAAATAGGCAGCTTCATTGAGGGTGCACTGGATGAAATATTCCCTGCGGCAGAGCACGAGCAAAGAGAACTGTGGAGAGAGCATCTTTATGGAGAGGAGGGACTTTGTGCAGAAGCATGGTTGGGTGTTTTGCTTGTCCGGCTAACCAACCTCCAAATCATCGAGTTCGAGCACGAACATTCCGACCTCATCTCTGATATCTTGCTCAAGGCCGTGAAGCGTCAGCAACCATTCCATCGGGGTTCTCCATTCCCTCGCCTAGAGGAAGTCCGAGCATGTGTTGCCTGGGGGGCTTCATGGATCGACTCGGACTTCTTGACGCCATTCTTTTATTTCCCTGCCGTTCGACGTATCTACGGAACTGCAATAGGAGAAAAAAACATGACGATAGCCTGGACCTTAATATTCATCAGTCTTCATGTCCGATCCGGGTTATAACTATAGAAGAGGGCTATTGGTGCCGCGGTATGCTTGATTGGCTGGCGTTGTGTACGGGTCTTGAGCAGATCTCTATTGGTGTCGAGTTACAGGCGGACGAGTATGAGATTGATGATGAGGAGGCTTTCAACGCTGCAAATTTTCATGTCGCCATTCTTCCTTTTGTCACAACTCTCAAGGCTCTGCGTATCTGCTATGGAGATTCCTACAAAGATCAATTGGAAGAGATGGAAGCTGTGGAAACTCCGTTCGGGTCGTTCAAAGCCTTTACTGTTTTGGAACAGCTTACAGTCCGACACGACCACCTAATGAGGCTGCCTTGTGATCACAATAACCATTCGGATCTGGAGTCACTTTCCGAAACCCTGCCGCACTCACTCGTGAGCCTGGAAGTCACAGACGTAATGATTGATTATCACCTCCAGCTACAATCAGAGCTCTCAAAACTGGTGCTTCGGAGACGCGTTTTTGCTGATCTTCAACGAATAGCGCTCTGCATTCAAAGCGAAGATGGAGAGGGGTTGAATGGTATGTTTGATAGCCTAAAGCTTGAATGCCAAGCGGCGGGTATCACTTTGAAAATTGTATAATGTCACGGTTTTTGGGTGTCGCCAACCGTGATAACAGGCCGTGTAAGCGTTCTGCACAACAAATGTAATGAATGCAATTACAAGATCTCTATTCTATAACACATGACTGATTCAATTCTCATGTTTATTTTACGTTCACATCATGAGCATTGTAGTCGAAGAGTATACTGTCGGCAGATGAGGAAAGCATTCAAGATCCCCGACCATGTCTTGAAACACGCTACCCTTAGCAATTTGACGTGGAAAGCAAGTATAAGCACTTTTAGTAACACGAGCATAAAATAGACGATAACGGAGTCAAACGAATCCAGAAGGTAACACCACTGGTCGTATGTCCCTTTCACAGGAAAGACCGCAGAGAACTTGCGTTACCCATAGTATCAGTATCGTCATTCAAACAACACCCTAATCGACAACTTCCCTAACTCCACTGTGAAACTCCAATGCATTCAGATGAGGGTGTAACCCCTACTATGGAGGACGAGACAGGTTCTGGTGTAGTTCCTTACGCTGCACGGCCCCAAAGCGAAGATTTCCGACATCGAACACCTGCCAGAGGTAGAGACGTCCAAGTCAGCGACCTTGATGTTAAAGTCCCTTTATACAGAATGCGTAACCACTCACCGCATAAATCCCCTTCAAAAAGGTACCACCTAGAATGTCTAGGTCCATAGTGCCTCGGCTCTGGATACCACCATAGAGATATCCAGGCCTAGCTTCTGCAAAGCCCAGATCCTCCTTCTGCACAACGAACTGTTTGCCACCAACTGCGAATGAAACAACAGGGAGTTGATCTACAGTCGTCCTTGTTGGGTAGATATACCCCTGGCTCCGGGGGTCATAGGTGGCACCAGGAATAGCGTCGTAGATAGCCTGGCAGGTGCTATCATCAACCAGAGCCAGAGTGGTACCAGTGTCAGCAATAGCCTTATTTCCCGCGCGGGAAATCGTCTGCCCATTTATAGTCGCCGAGGCCGAGTCAAACATCCAGACCCCTTGACTCTTATCGACGGGCGTGTAATAGATCTGCTCGCTAGACGCCTGCACAGTTGCCTGGTCGATGAACCCGAAGGTGTAGAGCGAGGCACCCCCGTCTGGCTCGTCCGCATCGCGCCATGAGCCCAGCTTTGCTGTAAAAAGCTCGGAGCTCTTCGGGATATCGGCTTGTTCGATCATGTTTTCCACAGGCGTGTTCACTGGCCGCGGTTTGACCGTGCTGATCTCGCTGAACGCAAGGCCGAGCAGCCCGTCACCCGCGCCGCTGGCAAACTGATCAGACATCTTGTCAGCTATCCCGACGGCCTGGTTCTCGACTACCAGTCCGCCGATGCTGACGTTATCGGTGCCCACAGTGCCAGATGAAAACGACCCGTCGGCATATTTAATCTTAAAGGTCGAGCCGGCCTGTTTGTGAAATGTGCTAGAATTTGACGGATTGAAGACATTGTGGTTCGGGTGCTGTGAGAGCGTCGAGTCCGGAAGTTTTGTTGACCAGACCTGTTTATGCTTCCATCAACACTGCTCTGTTGTTTTATCCTTAAAGAAAGTGCCAATGGCTTACCCAGAGATCCGCTGATCCGGTATCAAAATCAAGGTTCACTATCTGCGCTGGCGTCCCAATACTCACCTCCGCCAGGTACATTAGATCATTCTGCACATCCAGTGTGGGCACTTCGCCAACTTGGTCACTGTTAGTGGCTTTCTTCTGCAACACCTGCTGGACATGTGCGCGACCACCGACGGCTTGGTCCGTATAAGGACGACCCATTTGCTCTAGCGTGCCGCCTATGAAGTACGGCCCCTCCTTGGTCGGATTGAAGCGGTACTTGCGCATCAAGTGCACGTATGACTTTGTGCCAGACTTACGGTAGTGGGGATTCGTTCTGAGAGGGATCTTAGTCGGCTTCATTGTCCTTGGCGGTTAATTTGATTCAAGTTGATGAGTATGGATTGTGATAGTAAAGTGTTGTAAAGTGTGGCTTCAGTAAGCAATATTTCGGATAGTGGGTTGTAGCTGGTTGTTGGCAGTGGAAAATCCGATGGCACTGCAGCGTCTTATAGCCTAGTGGTCACGAGCTGTAGATAGAACTGTTCTGAAAGCTGCGGCCAGTCACTGAGCAGATGACTTAGTGAGGTCAACAACTTAATGATCAGACAGCTTTTGAAGAGAACTTGTCTGGCTCTCCTATTTAATTTGTTGGGTTGTTTTCCAGGTGATCTCACTGTTATAGGATCTTGTACTGGCGCAGATGCTTGGGGTGTTGTCAAAACCATGCCAGTTTTGACCACAGACAGACCATTTCTGGTCTGAGGCAGCAGACTCGGATATTAAGGGTAGTCTTCTGATGTCCAAAATCCATGGGCCTGTCTCTGTTCTATTCAGTTCTAGATAGGTGACTAAAAGAAGAAAATGATGATACGATGGAACTATTACACTGTGGCGTGGCTGAGGCTAGATTCTGTTTTTCTGGCCAGGCGCGGAGTACCGCACGTAACGCGTAACGCATGATGTCAACACTATCCCAAGGGAGGCGGCCGACCGAGCCTGAGTCAGGATTACAATTTATTCTTTACCAGTATTTAGTAGATCTGGTTGGTTAGACGAACGCCCTCGAAGACAAGATATGGCTACCCCTAGCGCTAATTCATCTACCGACTAAGAGCTTTGAGGCTCTCATGGCGCTACGTGAACGAACTGCGAGGCGTGCGGCTGCTCGTCAATGGATGTCCCAACAATCCGCCAATACACACTGGATATGATTGCTGCTGGGTACAGCTTCCCGGACTTCCCAACGGTCCAAGAGTTAGAAAACCTACTGCAAACAACCAACAAGGAGATACTTCGTCTGTCTCTCGAACAAGAAGACGACGACGCCATGTTCAACGAAAAGTTCGAAGAAGATCGAGCATAGACTGGTGTTACGGGAAAGTCATATTACTTAAGCAATTATTCACCACTAGTTACCTAGGTAGCTAGTATATAAGCAATATCATGATTTTCTTACCCCTCACAACAACTGCCTACCTAGGTAGGCTTGTCATGGTGACATAATCTCTTTCCAAGGAGTTTTACTAGTTCTCGAATTTTCAATCTGAATTCCGCGTTCATGATACACTTCGAAATGACAATATCTGAAGCTCCTTTCCGGAAAGCCTTCTAGACAAAAATTGACAGAAATTCTGGTTTCGAGTTGTTCGTCTTAGCCATCGCAAAAACGCAACCTGTTTTTCGTACACTATGAAACTCATGCGCGCTAGCCACTCTGGATACCGAGAGAGATATGTACAGCTAGCTAGACCCAAAATCCGTAATTTTATGAACTAGGTACATAGGGATTGCATTCAGGAGCAATTATGCATTCTGCACTTTTGAATACACCTATAAATGGCTCTTCAGTTGTAAATCATGTCTAGACCGAGATCTCCAACTTATAACTAACGCTTCAGCCAAACATGTATAGGCTTCATAAATACAATGCCCAATGCATTCCAAATTGAATTCACTGATATTTCAGCCTCATGGCCCTCGACTAGCTCTTGAAGTGCACTCCTCAGGGCATACCTTCTGAATATTAAGACAAAATGACTGTAAAGTGTGCATGGGATGCTACGTATGTACTCTCACTTCTGAGGTTCTATTCGCTCTTTCCTCTGTTCTCTGTTGTTTATCATCGCGTCAGAGAGTTAGACGCTTTAGACGCGTCTGAATTCACAGTCGCTCTGCTTCTTCGTTCTCTCGTTCTTCTCATTTTTCAACCTTCACGCATCCATTCCCTTTGTATCGTTAATCCTCTCCCTTCATCGCCACGATGGCTTCTAACCAGGAGGTCTCTACCCAGGACACCTCTAACCAGCATGCCTCCGCCTCCAGCCAGGCTCCTGAGAACCAGGCTGCGTGGCTTACTGCCAAATCAGCTCGCCCCCTCAAGGTCAGTGTCACACCATTCACACCTCCAACTGCCCATCAAATTGTTGTCAAGAATGGTGCTGTGGCTGTGAATCCCGTTGAACGGACCAAGAAGTTGATGGGCAAGATGGTGTTCCCCTGGATCAAGTGCCCGTTTGTGCTCGGAAATGATTGTGCCGGTGAGGTTGTGCAGGTTGGTGACATGGTCAGTCGCATCAAGGTTGGTGATCGGGTTCTTGCTCACGCCCTCTCCATGGATCCAGCTGTCAACAAGTCGTCTGAGGGTGCTTTCCAAAACTACACCGTGATTCGTGAGAACATGGCCACAGTGATTCCGGATTGGCTCTCTTACGAAGAGGCTTGCGTTATTCCCCTCGGTCTGTCCACTGCCGCGACCGCCTTGTTCGATCGAGACTTTTTATTCCTCAATCTCCCCGGTAGTCCGCTGCTCAACGGCCCAGAATGGCTTCCCGAGGCGGTCCTGGTGTGGGGTGGATCGACCAGTGTGGGTTGCAACGCCATCCAGCTCGCCGCAGCAGCTGGTTACGAGGTTATCACCACTTGCCCTCCCAAAAACTTCGAATATGTCACTAACCTTGGCGCGTCTTCGGTCTTTGATTATCGCGACAAGCTCACCATCCAGCAAATCGTTGACCTTCTCGAGAACAAGAAGGTTGTTGGCGCCATCGCTATTGGAAACGACTCGACCGAAGCTTGCATCGAAGTCCTCATGAGAACAGAGGGCTCGAAGTTCGTGGCTCGGGCCAGCTTCCCATTCCCGGAAAGAATTCCAACCACAACCTTCCAGTTATTCCGTGCTATGGCAGCCTCAATTCGAGCAAACATCAAGATCCTCATCAAGTCCAAGCGCAGTGGCGTGAAAACCAAGTTCATTTCCGGTACCTCTGTGGCCCATACCCAGGTTGGCGCTATGATTTATAACCAATTCCTCCCCGGAGCTCTTGCCACTGGTGTCTTTGTTGCTGCTCCTAAGCCGCGTGTTGTGGGGAAGGGTCTGGAACAAATTCAAAATGCTATGGATTGTCACATGAGGGGTGTGTCTGCTCAGAAAGTTGTTGTCTCGCTTTGAATTTGTGTCGAGCTTATTTCGGGCAGTTCATGGTGTCCATTGCCCCCAGAAGGGTTTGTTTAGTAAAGCAGCTGAGCATGACTCCAGTTGCTGCTTTTATTTCCTCTTCGCCTGAAAGTGCAGATGCAGGATCTATGGGATAACACCCGAGCACTGGCATCTAGGTAATGTTACGCAATCAGAGTCAATGAAATCCCAATTTCAATCTAGCCATTCAGGCAAATTTTTGAATATATGCGAAGTGAGTAACATTGAAAAGTAAGGGCATACTCATAGGTAAGTGAAGGCATTCTCAAGACCACCCGCCTTATGATGGAAACGTAATGAATGGTACTTGATGCAAATACACTGACCACTTGAATACTACATACTGTATGTACATGCATACAAGACCCAAGAAAACAGTATGCCAATGCCTGCCAGCTCTCGATACGGCGAGCTAAAAAAGTTTCATAACATCCAAAAAGAACGATGGCTCTGGCTGACCTGGGACTTCAGACATAGTACACCCTTGAACACCCGACAGGTTGCACAATTTCTGAAACGCGTCCGAGTCCGAGTCGAGTAGCTCCAAGTAGCTAATAGCCAAATTATTCCCACCCTGCAAAACCCGTAAAGCCTTTTTCAAATCTTCCCACTTCTGCTGTTTATCCTCCGACGCGGAGACACACGTACTCAGTTGATCGGCATGTGTCTTGAGAAACTTTGCCGAGAGATAGAGTAGCATGGGAGAAAACGCATGCGCCTGTGCAACCTCGTGAGACACAGAAGCCACCGGCAATTCACGGGGAGGAAAGGGGGTCTCACCTTGAAAAAGCTGGATCGGGTGAGCGGCTTCGCCAAACCTACTATCTCGTACGCGGAGTAAAGGGGAACCAGGATGATTTCATCATCGATTTCCACGTGCAGGGCCTCCATGATATTGTAGAACCATATTACAGCGGCATTGGCGAGCATATTTGTGAAGAGACGCATAGGGTCATGGAGTTCGGGCGAGGACGGGGGAAGTGAGACCAGCATCAGCCGCTGTTGTACCATTTGGTATAGCCGGGTATGGCGCTTCCAGGTATCTCCGTCTGTCGGAGATGTTTTGTCACTGTGGGCGGCTCGCTGGAATGCAACGCTGTGCCAGCATAGCGTGATCAGGACGATTGTCTCCGCGAAAGGCGGTAGCATTTTCTGTCCGGAGGCCTCGATCTCGTCATATAAGGAGTCCATAATGACTGGCCTGCTATGTTGGAAATCTGACTCCGAGACAGGGAGATATACGCAGAGCTGGAGTAGATATTAGTGTTACTCGGAGCATTCTGTAAAAAAGGGAGTAATCGCTCACAGCTTCCTCATGTAGGCTTAGAGGCCACTCGTCAGAGATATTGAGGAACCGGTCTAGACAATATGCGAGCCAGTAGGTCCGTCGCTTTTCCTCGGCCTCGGCCCATGCTTCTGGGTGGGCCATGTTTATGCTAATGTCATTGAGCCGATCAAACTCGTGCAATTTGGCGAGTTGGATAATGCGAAAGGCACGTCCTGCGGTAAGCCATGATCGGCGATAGCTCATGTAGCGGAACTCGTAGTGCGTTAGAAGAAGCCATGCTTGGGCTGCCTGGAGACAGGCCGCACTGCTAAATTCAATATCGTGGTCGAGAGCCTCAATCGCAGACCGTGCGCGGGTGTAGATACTCTCCCGCATGTGCTGTAAATGGGCGGACGAGGCCGCGGCAAGTGCCCACATTGCAAATTGCAAGCACATGTGAGAAGCTGGTTTGTTGAATCTCTGCGACCAGGAGAAGTACCGGCCTTGGTGGAGCATCGGGACGACAGGGTGTACTCTGTCGAAATATAGTTGGTCCCTTCACTACCTGTTAGATATATCTGGATTCGGAGGGTGGAGTTTGCGTACAGATCTGCCTCGATTATATCTGAGCTCTCATTATCAGGTGGGGTTATTGGTGTAATTGGTGAGGTTAGTGTTGATGCCTCAATGGAGTAGGCCATGTCACGACATTCGGACTTCGTGGGATTGGGGATATATTCTTGGGGCGGGCCGAACATTTGGGCCGGCTCGTTGGAGTGATATTTCTCACTGCCGTCCAACACTTCCTTGGGACTGAGATGTCCCTGGTCACAATTTATGATGCTTTCCAGTGTGGCTAAGAATGCAATTAGCAGGGAAGCTGTATACGATAATATTTCTAACAAACCGATGCGATTCCGCAAAGCCTTGAGATGTCCCTTCTTAGGGCCCCTTGGTGAGCGAACCTGATTCACAAGGCAGGCTGTACCAGAATCCTCGCACTGGTCACATTGAGGCCGTCGCCTATCGCATCGAAGTTTCTTTTTGCGGCATTCCTCGCAAGCCTAAGTTATTAGCGCAAAGGTCACTTCATGGGCTAGGTGGCTATTGTCTCACCAGTCCAGGCTGCTGTCGTGAGCCCGACATATTGAGGAGCTGAACAGAGTGCTGATGTTATTATATTACTACGCCTCCAGGAAGAACAAGACTGGCAGAGTCAATGACATATGCATATGGAGTGGGTATTTATAGTTATTGACTGAGACTTTGAGTGCACTCGAGCCTGAGTGGCTCAAGCCTCGGCAATTATAGATTGACTGTTTGTTTCGCCAGACACCCTCCCTCCTCGAAAGCCTTTTTCACGATCTTCCACATTTGGCAATTTGTACTTGTCGAAAGTCCACTGTTCTTCCGCGATGGAGCCCGAGGAAAGCCTCCTGCGCATGGTGTGATCAGCACTGCATTCTAAATGACCCTATACCCATGACTTCCTCGCGCCCTTCAGGTAACCAAGATGGTGCTTTGTCAAGGGTAAACGGCTAATAATATTGATAGCTTTGAATATACTTCCGTCCCTCCGCTGGCTGCATCGTTAGTCTTTTAATCACGCCACTTGGGTAGTATAGATAAGCTGGATGGTGGTAAGATGTACTGGCCGGTTAGCCATGTTAGTAGATTGTTGATTAGAGGTGGAATGATCTGTCATTCTGGTGTTGGGTCTGTTAGCCAAATTGGTTAGTTGCTTATCAAGAGGGAGGTTCGGATTGTTAACATAGTGTGGCAGGTTGTCGTGTGAATGCACTACGCTGACTGGCTGTTGCATATCTCAACCACAGCACATGCAGCACGTGGACGATGATTTGGAATCGATATTTCAAATCACATCGACTACACGATAAGCTGAACTGGAGGTAAAGCTGGTTCTCGTCCCACTAGAGCCAAGAGAGTGTAGCACAAAGTAGTTGTGATCCGTGCCTCGATAAACCAAAATGTACGGGGCATTAATTGTGTCATTGTCTAGTTTCAGAATTCCTTCTTCAATTTCCGACGAAGAGGTAGTATGGGATCTACAGTTTCTGGTGGACCTGGTGTACCTTACATGGTTGAAAGAAGGAAGTATGATACCTTTACTTGGATATAGGCAATGATAATGCTCTCGTTGACAATTGGGAAGATGTGGAAGCTGATTGACAGATTGAGGATCTAGATCCCTGACAGCCTATGTCTACCAGAACATGGGTTGGGTTACAGACAGTTCAAGTACAGCCGAACATCCGGAAATCTCACGCATCGACCTGCTCCTCCGCCGCGTGACAGCTTGAACCCGATCAAAAGGGTTTCTTGTGGCAAGTGCGATGGAATCCGGCACATTCCCCTCGTGGCCATGGAAGACAACAATTTCATATTGTTGCAACCGGAAACATCAACACACTGTGACTTCGAGGGAAAAGCTTGGATGTGACTTAACCTGGTCGAATGATCATAGTACATTGTACGGCCATTGCCCCACAATACAAATTGAACCCCTCTATTATTGGTTAATATTCCCCCGTGAGAGCCACGCGAGGCTGTCGCATACAATGGGCTACACTAACTGAATATGGTATAAACAATAGTGCACCAGAAATATATTATCATGTCATTGAAATAGTTGATAGTTGGTTGATTTCTAAACTACTATCTGTTCAGCGGTTAAATTAACCACAAAGGCAATCAAGTGCCAAGAGCTGTTGACTGCATCTACACGCATCCGCTTCCGGGACCTGCGTCATCATGCTGCCACCTTTAGGACTAGGCGGGGCTTATCGGGTGCAGAGCAGCTACCCACGGCAGCTACTCACAGCAGTAAATATTGCGAGACTCCAATGTTGATAGGCTCACCCATCTCCCCCCGAGCCGCGAAAGGGTGTACGTATTTGGAATTGCTAAACGGTTATAGTCATTGACCCCATGTGACCTTCAACACGCGGCTCTGCTCCGCATTGTTCACCTGGGCAGTGATATGATGCTTACTCATCGGTCATTATTCCAATCTCGACTAGCCAGATTCGGTTTCTGCAGGATCTCTGTCGATATGGTGTCGCAATAAGGGGGACTCGGCCACCCCATCGCAAGTCTCGAGTTCGGACTAACGGCATGCTTCAGGTCGAATAAGAATTGCACCAAATTTCACAAATACTAGGTGCAAAATTTCCCGTCGCACGTGTACCTCGAAACAACTACGAACGAACGCCGTCATCTTGAGCTGGATCCAGACGGGAACATACTCAAATTTATACAGCTTTTTAATAATTTTAAGGCTCTTCCTCAGGCACGAAATTCGGAGTCCAAGCTCCCCCATCCTGGGGAACATCTTACAATAGACTGGATAAAAGTTTGGATAACCTCCGATGATCAACGGTTCTAGCCTGTTGGCGCTGGGACGGGCCGGACTGTGGGTAAGTCCGCCCGGAGTTACCAAACTGGAACGGATTTTGTGATGCGAAATCCGGTTTCCCCACGAAGCGACAACGGGTGATGGGAGTCATAACTCCATTGCTTCAAAATTCATTGTTACTATCCCTCTGGCCATCCACGCTAGAGATAGGAAGTATTTTCACATCTGATATCGCAAGGAACGGATAATACATTAATCTCATTCGACGGTATAGAATAGCTGATCGAAAGGCTCAAGCTCAGGTACAAAGAACTCTGGGAAAGGAATGCTACCTTCAAACCAACCATCATGTTGGTTTCGCAGTATTTCGTCTGCAGCATTAGCTGTGGTGAGACCCATCGGAAACACAAAGGGGTCCGCTTGTGTAGGATTAGATAACGAAAATCCCCATGGTTCATCGACATTCCGAACACTATCATAGTCATCCGGTTGACCAAGCTCATTTGTGTCGGTTGGCGGCTCAAAAATCAGGATTCGATCCATGTAGTGCTGAACGGTGTAATGCATCTCATCAGACACACGTCGCCGGTATTTCGTAATAGCCTCAGCGAAGTCGGTGAGCATGTTGTGATAGAGTTGAGCTTGCGGGCTTGCTAAAGCGATGTCGCCGAGAATATCGTGTGCGTCTGCGAAAGCTCCCTCAATGTCTTTTCGTGGCTCCCCTGCGAACATTGAAAATCCAAGAACCAGACCTGCGCCGAATATCCATGCTCTGTTCAAGATAACTGTTAGCTAAAAGATTCGACTTATTCTCATCCTAACGTGGATTGCTTATTGAAAGCTGGAGGCACATACTCAATAATACAGAGGTTCCCGAAAGTAAAATTCAAAGCTTTGGCTTTGACACACATTTCAACCATGGTGATAGCCGAGCTGACGCAAACTTGAGCTAATCTGGATACTTTGTTATTTTTGATATTGATATCTGATGCTTCGTCAGGATCACTGATGAGGTGATCAGGAGCTTTGCCGCGAAGTCTGGACATCAAGTACGCGACAAGGAATGGCCGTGTAATCAGTATGACTGCAAAATAATATACGCATGAGATGTGTATGCTCCCGAGAAGCACTCGGCGATTTTCTGGATTAAGATGTCGATTGGTTTCAGGAGGATACGAAAATCGTCGTACGTTCTGAGGCAATCCCCGGCTCCATTGACGGAGCCTTTCAAGTACCCCTTCTGCAGTGGGGACGTGAAGTATATTATTACTTTTGCCAAGCGTATCGACGATTTCCTCAAGAAGAATGCATGCCTTCGCCATGGCTGTGAAGAGAGACTGTGCGTTCTGGTTCTCCCCGCCGCTGAATAGCACGGGATCACTTATATTCTGGCGTATCACTGGCGAGCTTCTGAGTCTGCCGTGAATAAAGCTGCTCAAAACATCAAGATTCTGGACGCTGTTCCATATCCGGAATCTAGAAAGGGTTTCTTTTAATATATTTGGTAAATTTGGAACACAGAAATATGAATGAAGCTCTTACCTGGTGGACAGTTCTTCTTCGGGGAGATCTCTGTCATTTTCCGAGCTATGAAGACCTAGGATAACAGCAGCCTTTGCTGCAATGGTGAGAAACATCGACGCTGCATTTCGATTACAGGCACCGAGGGAGTAAAATGTCAAAAGAACAAAATGTCGCACTGTGTTGAGGTTCTGCGACATCAGCATGCCATCGAAAGCGATTTCCCGGGCGCGTAGAAAATAAGCCTTTGAAAGTTGCAAATATTCAGCCTGGCCTCGCACCTGAGCACCAATTGCGAGGGCAAGGTTGAAAGCAGCTTCAAGATCGACTTTCGAAAAGCATTGAGCGGTGCCATTCTCTGATGATGTTCTCTCGGCCATAAGCATATTAAGCTCGTCTGCAGTGAAGAGGTCCAAGACGCCGCTGCTCTGGAATAAATGTTAGTTTCGAAATGTGCGTTTTTACCCATTAATTGATTGACATACCGCCTCAAGGTAAGAGCTGAGGAGCAAATATGCCTGCTCTGGTGATGGATGCGTGGGATTCATTTCAAAGGTAGCTGACTCCGGTTCAATGGAGACATGATGTCGCTCCTCATCGGTGAAGGGAACCGACCCAATGTAGCCTTTTATCGTCCTTCTCAAAAAATGAAGGAATGAGCGTGAAGATGTTTCTCCCACATACACTGGAAATAATGATGGTCAGCGCGGTGATAGATGATATGCCACAGAAACAAAATACAAACATTTTTCACGAGTTTCTGATCGGGATGTGACTCGGTTAGCTGCCGCGCTGATACTAGGATCTACTGTACAGCTGGGATCGGCAGTGGATGGATTCACAGAAGATGGAGTCCTCATTGGAACGGTATAGTCATTCAGGGAAGTCGGGGAAGTTGGTGAAGTCCGTGCTGCATTGGACGGCAACGATCCTTCTGAATTGGAACGGATATGAAAGCTATTATTGCCCTTGCCTCGTCGTCGACGGTCAACTCCCGAATAGACGCAGGTACTGGCCTGGTCACGTCTCATGCATGAGCCGCAGGGGGTCTGAGCATCGCATCTTATCTTTGAGGACTTGCATGCGACACAGGCGCGATAAGATCTTTGACGGTTTTCGGGACGTACTTTAGGCCGTGGCATTGGAAAGGTGACTTATGGAGATGCTTTATGATGAGAATTAAGCTTGATAAAATGGTTTACAGAGACAGAATCATTATAATCGGAAACAAAAGTGCGGGGAATTGTAATCAAAGCGCAGCTGATACGTCCTGCCGCCTTATCTCGACCCCGGGGGCGTTCTATCAAAACCTTCCGGATTACGAGACTCGTAACCAAACTGAATCTTTGATCTTTCGAGGAGACATTTTAGTCTTGTATAGTTTTGTTTTCATTTCTTTGGTTTAAAGCCGAGTGTATTACGTGTATTATGTGGCTCACATAAGATACTCGTGGACGTGTTCAAAAGTCCCGTTTACAAAATATTATTAGACGAAGCAATGATATTGACATTCTCCTCTTAAATAACACTACATTTCTGTTCTTCAAATCAAATATAATGTCTCAGACCTTTACCGTCGCCTGTCGACTAAAGTTCTTAGCCACAGACTGGGCAAAGTATTCACCCACAGTCATCGGGGGACTAGAACGAGAAAGAGTTAGTCAATACCAGTCATGAACGGAAATCGAAGCGGTGGCATACTATTTCTTCAATGGTCCCTGGAGTACGAAGTCACGCCTGCCTTGGTTGAAATAGGCAATTGAGTATCGAGATGGTGACTTCCCAACCTCCTTGGCGCGGACTCGGTGATAGTTGGACTTCAAGCGATCATCCGACCAAGCCACTAGAGATAAACCCATATGTCAGAGATTGAAGACTGACATAAGAGTACCACCATTTTATCTCCGTATAATACGTACTGAGCATATCACCGATATTGACAACAATGGGTCCGGTCTCGGCAGGAAGGGGCGTGAAGACGTCGCCGCTAGCAAAACTAGAGTGGCTTTCTCTGCCTGGGCAAATTTCAAGTCCGTCCTCTCCATCTCGCTGGAATAGAAGAGTCAGACAGCCGATATCGGTATGGCTTCCCGCTCTCCAGGTGCCCACTGAATTTTCAGAGGCGGGATAGTGAATCAGGCGGAGCTGCGTCAAACAGTCGGCTTGATTTGGATCATTCGCGGTCTTGAAGTAACCCTCCTCAAATCCGAGGGCAATGGCAAAGCAAGACACTTAACTCGACGTTAGTCGGAGTCTGTGATGCACAATCCTTTTGCTGTTTCCAGGTGGAAAGGGTAAAAACATACACACTTGGTCTGATATACCAGCACATTTACTCATGAATTGAGTGGTTGATTCACTAAATTCGGGGACATCCCCATCGCTTGGCCAGTCGGAATGACGTCGCAGCCAGAGAGATTCTTTCTGGTCGTAGGTGCCAGTGCTAGCGCGCAATTGAGCCTAAACAGTAAAAGTCAATCTGACATTCACACCTCTGGTAAGCCATTGTCCACGTACCTTGTACTCCCATCCGTTATTAGTTGTGGGGTCATGAGGCGTCTTGGCTTTGACCTCAGGCGAGAGGTCAAAGAAAGCCTTCGAAATCGCAAACTGGGCTTCGATCTCCTCCTTGGTAATATCGTGGTCTACCAAGGTAAAGAATCCAGCGTACTCCGCCGCATTGAGTAGCTGTGCAATAATTTCCTCCTTGCGATTATCAAAATCTAGAAACCTTATTAGTAGCCTATTGCGACTCCAGCTACTGACTGGGCTCACCCTTCAGGGAGATAACAGGAACAAATCTTTCCGCCATATCTGTCACTTTAAAGATTGGTTTCTCGATCGTAATAGGTGTTTTTGGTCTTCTTTGCTTTCTTGGATACTTTTCACTCGCTTTTTCTAGCCATGGAGTGCTTGTTTATCAAGTCTATCGGATAATGCCTACTATCGGAAATGTACCGATCTAAAAGATGCACGGGGAATGCGACAATGGAATTACCCTCATCCTACGAGATATCATGAACCGATTTGTTCTCGGATCAGAAACAAAGTTCAGACAAGAAAAGTAAAATAATAACCGAAAGCGAATCTGTCCACTCCAACCCGCTTTTTCAATCTGCTTATCTTCCGCTCGGAAATGTACCCCGCATACTATCAGCCCCGGCAGTGCACGATATGAAGTTTATTCTCATCCGTGATGCCTAGAATGCAGCCAAGGCTAAATCCATAACCCTCTGGATTATTGCCTATTAGTAACGCCATCGCTCTGCTTCCAGTTTGAAACGGCATCATGGCTGAGTGCGATATGAAATCCATGAAGGTAAGGATCAGACACTCCTATCCCTCAGACAAATGGTAGGAAGTCGCTAACGGTGATATACTAGATGGAAAACACCAAGCTTGAAGGGGCGGGGGAGCAACTTTCTGGCAAATACATTGAAACGGCAAGCAGAGACAAAGCCTTGAATTTGCTTGCCAATCGCCATGCTCCTTTTGACCCCAACTCAGCAGAGGCGATACGGGTCAGATGGAAGATCGACATGCGAATTATGCCGATGATCTTCGTCATATACTGCCTTCAACTCATGGATAAAAATAGTCTGTCATTTGCTGCGATTATGGGTATCAAAGAAGACACCAATCTCTCATCTGCACAGTATTCCTGGCTCGGATCACTTGTTTAGTAAGATAACATTTAATATTAGGGGCGCAAAATATGTGAACTGACAAACACATCTCTCTAGCTTTGGGTATCTCGGGGGTGACATCCCGGCAACATATCTCATGCAACGGTTCAACCTGTCGAAATATCTCGCTATTATGTGTATGATATGGGGAGTTATTGTTGCGCTGCATGCAGTCTGTCATGATTTTGCCAGTCTAGCTGCATTACGATTCTTTCTAGGTGCTATTGAAGTCTCAACAGTACCTGTGGCTATCTACATCACTGGCGCTTTCTATACAAAGGAAGAACAGCTCACACGAGTCGCACTGTGGTACACTACATCCGGATGGGCAGCTGTCTTCGGTGGCTTCCTTGCCTGGTGTATGTATCATGCTAGCAACTTCCGCTGGCAAGGTCTCTTCATTTTGTATGGAGCCATGACATTTTTGACCGGGGTTCTCCTGTTTATTTTTCTTGCCGCGTCTCCGACAGATGCTAAGTGGCTGACCGAAGAAGAAAAGATCATTGCCCTCGAACGCGTTCGAGAAAATAAAACAGGTACCGAAGTGTGGAAATTCAGCTGGCCTCAGCTTCGAGAGGCGCTGCTTGACGTTCGGCTATACCTGCTATTTTTCATGTTGGTCTCGACTGGAATGCCTAACGGTGGCTTGACTGCCTTCGGTATGTGGAACAGTCTCTCGCTCTTATGTTATACCCAACCAACTATACTGAACTGACCTTTCACATAGGCCCAACTATTGTGGATGGCTTTGGCTATGATGTGCCTACCACCCAGCTTTTGAATATGGGCTCCGGTGCGGCTCAAGTCGTTGGAACCTTCCTTGCTCTTTTCCTTGCCAAATGGACCAATCGTACCTTTGCTGGTATATGCACACTTCTTCTTGCCTGTATCGGCTGCTCTATGATGCTTGGGATTCCGAGCGAGAATAATAATGCTCGGTATGGTGGATATGTCCTGGTATATCAATGTTCGTACTCCCATTCTTCGAAGCTCCACTACCCGGCAGAAATATACTGACAGTGACAGTTCCAATCTGCATTCTTTTCATTATCACGTTCTTAACCGCAGGTGTGGCTGGCTCGACCAAAAAGTTCGCTTTCGGCTGTGTCTATCAATTGGGATATGCTGTTGGCAACATCATTGGCCCCCAAACCTACAGGGCCCATGATGCACCAAATTACTATGTGAGGAAACCAACACTAAATCATTTTGATCTTGGATTAAGTTAACATGAATTTTTCCAGACGGCAAAATATACTATGCTTGCGTTTTTTATTATCACCGCGGTTTTGATTGGAATTTACGGCTGGATTCATCACACCTGGAACCAAAAGAGAGAGAAGGAAATTTCCTCTCAGCCACGAGGTAATAAACCACCACATATAGCTCTTATCAATCCAGATAACAGTCTGGCTAATCTGCTACTTGTTAGACCCGGCCGATGCTACGGAGAACGAAGAGTTTGCCGACTTCACTGACTTCCAGTTGAAGTCCTTCCGGTATCCGATTTAAGCTATGGTGATACCCAAAGTATTCACAGGGATTAATATTATTTGTTATTCAATGTTGTCAAGATGTCAGTCCTTTCAATTTTTTTTTCTTTTTGAGTGGAGATAATGGAATCAGATTCGGACGGAATATATGTAGATCAATCAAGGTGTATTCACTTCATCCTGTACCAGCTGATTGTCCGTTAGCCGTAAGAGTCAAATCAGGGATATCGTATATTCGGTGGAGTGCCAAGGTTTGTGACAGACGACGGATAAAGAAAAACAAAAGAATACTTCTTCTATATAGCCTTTCCTAACACTAATAGTTACCGGGCTTTTGCTTTATCCAGTTAGAGGGAAGATGATAAAAATTATTGAGAGTGTTGACCGTATGTCAAAGGAAGAGGAAGAAAGCGAAGAGGATTGATTGATTTATCTAAATGTATCTGAGTGATAGGCTACACACTCGATGCCCTCGCATCATCTGCCATCTAGTGCCGATTTCTGCTCGCTATAGTCGTTCTTTCGGCCTTTCTTTTATTTTAGTTAGTGCATCTAGTCACAAAGGAGGTTTTGCGGCTGGGAACTTACTACTTCCTCCCTGTAACTCCACACATGACTGAATAAAGCTTAACAAATGGTCACCTTGCACGGTGTCCTCTGTCCCAATTGACAAAATATTGCTGCAGTAGAGGAGAATGTTAGTGGCTGTAACTTGGTAAGATAATTAGGTAGAATTAAATTTCACCTTAGATGGTTGTGCCTTTTCAGCACATGAAACACAGGCAGTGTTCCAGAAGGTTGGCTTCGTAATCTGTATGCATTGAAAAACTTCAGGGTTGCGTCAATTGTTTCTGGCCTAGCATTGATATGATTATAAGCGAAAGAGTTCTGTTCATGGTTTAGAGTGGATAGCCCTGTACTTACACTTCCCACTCAACAGATCCCAAGTACACGGGTATCTTCTGAGAGTTTCTGTACAATAGTCAGTTTTTATTAACTGGATATTATCAAAAGAGGATCGCAACACTTACAGTAGGGGTGAGTTGTCGGGTAATCTTTGAAATAATCCAAAAGCAGATTTAGGCTATCAATAAGCGTCAGCAACTTGAATTAATTGGACACGCGGTCCAGAAAATGGATTCACGTTACCCCCCAGACGCCTTCAGAATCAGATCCATAATACGACCTAATGGTCTTTTGGCGTACTGGCTTGGTCCGATCATACCAAAATGGTACACTAAGATACATTACTCCGGCCACTGGGGGGAAATCGGCAACTCAGATGCGCGATCTGGATCTCCTTTTTAGTTTAGCACAGTATCAAAAGGCGATATGAGAAAATGACAGTTTTTCTTACCAGCGGCATAAAGGTTCATCGCGATATGCGCACCGCCAGATGAATGACCAAACAGGATAACCTTGTCGACCGAGCCACAACCGTACCTAGTGGACGAGATATGATTGAAAATCCATTCACGTGCCAATTGTACATCATCTGCACCTCCGGGGTACTGCACGTGTGGCACAAGACGATGATTTATCACCACAGTGATGATGCCCCGTTGAGCGAAAAACCACCCGATGTTGGAATATACCTGCTCGGTCCACAATTTATCTCCGGAAAAGAATCCTCCTCCGTGAACATACATCATGACCGGTCTGTTGGATTCATTTCCATGTGGCACAAATACATCCAAGAGATTTCTATCCGAAGGTCCATATCGCTCATCGCGGATGACCGTTACAGTCTGTGGTGGCTCAGGATAGAAAGGGTCATATAGCTTGCGCCAAATCTATTGAAATAAAATTGCATGTTATTAACAATGCGACTAGAAGGAATTGAGAGTAAGTCAATTCGCATACCTCCTCGTCGCCGAGTTGAAATTTTGAAGTCTCTTGCGCGATTTTAGCAAAGACGGCATCCATGCGATTGGCTGACATGGTAATTGCAAAAGCACCGATATTATCGAAAGTGGTCCAATGTGTTGACAGGAGGAAAGAAACAACTTGAACTGAAATTGGATGTTACGAGTCACTCCGTGCTGTGGTTCGGCTGTAAAGGAACATTGCCGGATAAGCTGAGGCCCGTAGCCGAGATCGCTGGATTCCGGATACTTGCAAGGCTATGGGGAGGAAAGTATACATTCACGATTGATAAGCAAATACTTCAATTGAAAGCTTGGAACCTTTGATATATCGAATCAAAAAAATTGCTTAATGTTACTTTTTTGCTGTTGGCTGAACCTTGGGTAAATACTGTACAAATTCGCATACCAAGGGATATTCTTCATCGACTCATCTCATTCATAATGACGCTGAATAGGTAAGCACACAGGTCCCATTGCCCTGTTTAACTCATAAGCATCCTCTAATACAGATACTGAGCAGATCCGAGGTTGGAAAACATACCACCATCAATAGTTGTTGGGTGATCATCAACGAGAATGTTTATGATGTTACGGAGTTTCTCAAGGAACACCCTGGAGGAGCCAGTATCATTCTTGCGCATGCAGGTCGTGATGCTACTCAAGCATTTGAATCCTTTCATCAGGCGGAGATTATCGATCAGAACCTTGGCCCAGAGTATATATATCCCCTCTCTGACGCACTAAATGGCAACAGCCCTGCTAATTAAAATCAAAGAAAGAACTTAGGCACCGTCACGCAAGACTTGTCCAGCACCAGTCATGCAGAGGGAGTAATTCAATCACCTCGACCAAAGCCTAAGCTATCATTTGTGATTAGTCTTTCAGACTTCGAACATGCTGCTGCAAAGAGTCTTCCCGCCAGTTCATTTGCATGTAAGCACTGCCCCATCAATTAATTGGAATGTTCCATGTCTGACAAGCCATGATAGTCCTGAAATCCGGTGCTGAGGATGAGTATGCCTCCAACTGGAATCGCGATAGCTGGAAAGCAATTCGTTTCCGCCCGCGTGTTCTACGACGAATTGAGAGTGTTGACATCTCATGCACTCTCTTGGGCACTAAGCTTTCAGCCCCTTTCTTTATTTGCCCAGCAGGGGGTGCAAAGCTAGCCAACACCAAGGGCGACCTGTGTTTAGTCAAAGCTGCTGCTCGCCATGGAATCCTACATTGGGTTTGTAACAACTCGGCCATTTCTCAGCAAGATATGGCCACTGCGCGTGCACCAGATCAAACGTTATACTGGCAAATATATGCCATGACTGACTTGAAAATCACTGAAAAGCAAATCAAGGAAGCTGTCAGGCTAGGGTACAAAGGGTTCGCATTGACCGTTGATGCAATTCGAGCTGGAAAGCGAGAGCGGGATCTACGGGTTGCATCTTTGGATACAGAGCAAGATGAAGAGGACGACTTGGATACCGCAGAAAGCTTTTCAAAAGAGCCAACTGTGCAGCGGCCGTAAATACTTTCTGGCCCATGTGTGGAATCTTCCTGAAACTGACATATCTACAGGCCCGTCTGGTCGAGTTTTGATTGGAAATCTTCCATCGAGTGGCTCCGGAAAATGACAAGTCTACCCATTGCTATCAAGGGTATTCAATGTTGGGAAGACGCACTGTTATGCATGGAATACGGAGTCCACCCATGGCTTTCTAATCATGGTGGCCGTCAATTGGATGGAGCACCATCTGCCGTGGACACTCTTTTGTCCATTCGAAATCATTGTCCCGAGGTCTTTGACAAATGTGAGGTCATCGTCGATGGGGGTGTTACCCGAGGCTCGGATGTAGTCAAGGCTGTTGCACTCGGCGCGAAGGGCGTTGGCCTTGGAAGACCATTCTTGTACTCTCTCGTATTCGGCGAGGCTGGAGCAAGCAAGGCTATTCGAATTTTGAAGCATGAGATTGAGACTACCATGGCATTGTTGGGTGTGACATCAGTCGATCAATTAAGTCCATCTTATGTGAGTGATAAATTTTCCGTGGAAACAAGTATGGCAAGAAAAACGAGATCTAATCTTCACAGGTTGAAACCTCGTTATTATATCCTTACGCACGGTCAATCTTGTGATTTGTCAAGTACATAGTCAATAAAAGTCCTCTTTGGTGAAGAGACATTCTCGGTATTTTAACATAGGATTTTTTTCAAATTCCAAAAAATGAATATGAAAATTTCAAAGAATCCTCTACCTTTGCGAGCAAGGTTGCTTGAGTTCAGCACAAAAGGGTGTTATAAGGGCCTAGAACGACATAATGTACTCATATATGCAGCTTTGCACTCTGTTGTGGGCTCCACAATGACCACAACAAATTTAAATACAATCAGTATGCCCCCTTTCTGTCCAAACCGACAGAGACAATGCCATCAGTCTTGTAATTTAAAGAGCAGCCGCAGCTTTAACAAGATGGTCGAATCCGGATGGGTTCGCCCCAACATACTCTCCAAGTTTTTGACCATTTTTGAAGGACATAAAAGTTGGCATCGCTCTTATGTTACATTCCTGGGCAATTTCTTCTTGTGCATCGACGTCAACCTTGTAGAACTTGACCGGGGTTTCTTCCGATTCTGCCCATTTTTCAACATGAGGAGCGATCGCTCTGCAAGGTCCGCACCATACCGCCCAGAAATCAATCACAACGGGATGGTCGCTATTGATGATCTTATTGAACTCGTCGTAGCTGTCATCCTCTCGTCAATGCCGAACGGTAGAGTGCAAGGTTTTGGAAGGGACTTACGAGTTAATAGGTAGAACAGACATCCTGGATATGGGTTTGGAAAACGAGGTATTTCTGTATTTGAAAGGTGGTAGCAAGATAGAGGCAAGATAGAGGCAAGATTTGATGGTTTATATAAGAATCAGAATCAGAACACCCGGACGAACTGCTTGTTTATATCTGTCCGTGGAAAGAACCGACCCCGCCTCAGCCACAAGCCAATTCTCAGCTTCAGTTGAACTGCTCAGCTAAATGATATTATTTGCCACGATTGGCCAGTCTCCAGCAGAGCTCCACTCGGTTAGGTTGATGAGGTGTCACCACCTCAGCTGCAGTGACATCATGTACCCGTTTTCGGAGACTCGTGAAAACTCAAGCGTCAAACTATGCAGCAATTTTTTATGACCTACGGTCATACTGTCACACATCACACAACAAACGGACAAGCGGACGCATAATTCCTCCACCGTCTCTTCTGGTAGAATGTCACCTAGGCACTGCGCTAGGAGGAAGGAAGAATATTCTGGAAAAACTTAGTGGACGCGGGTGATTCCTGTTACTACCTCCGAATATCTACCGACCGACTCCCCCAGACTTCATCTCGAAGCACGAACTTTGTACCCGGGATCTTATCTATGTGGCGCTCTTTAGGCTAGCAACTTTTCGGGTAATACACGGGTCGAGCCAACAAGCAGTCTATTACATATGCATTTTATGCACGAGTGACATTCTACGATCGGACTCTTTTGTACGTAATTCCATAGCTTAGTCCGTCTAGATACCCCACGGGAGGTCGGAGGCATTCTGGAGTATTGCTCGCAATCTCGATCCCGCTAAAATTCAATATCAGCATGTGTGTGGATTCCCTATACAAGAAAGTGTGTGTGTGTGTGTGTGTGTGTGTGTGTCATTTACCCTCCTCGCAATGAAAAGCAGGCTACTACGACTATATGGTGTTGTGGCCTTAGGCCCAGTTGATGCCTCAGGCATCAACCCCTCGTTTGCTCCCAGATAGATAGTTAGAAGCTCGCTCTTCCTGTAGGAATCAACTCTCTCCCTCCTTTCCTTTGGTCCCTACATAGTAGAGCCCAAGACTATATATATCCCTGTACGTACATGTGAAGTGCTCCACTTCCTGAAGACGAACTTCAAGGCCTGCCGTCGCCCAATTGCCGCTCCCATTGTTTAGGCTGCTCTCGCGGCGCGCGACTGCGAAACCGTTGTGACGCCTCGGCGAAGTCCAGCACGGCCTGGACCATCCTGGGCCGCGAGGCGTTGTATGGTTTACCTTTCTCACCTTGCTTTGGGCCTCCCAGCAGACTCGACACACTATTGTTGATGGCACCTATACCGCTGCGTATGTAACATATATTATGTTGGAGCTACCTGCGAAGTCCCTCACGATGCTCACACATCATGATATGAAGTCCCTAAATGATTCAGACTTCACACTAGGAACGAGATTTAAATTTGAAAGAAAAAAGGGGTCCATTCTTGCTCAAAGATAAGAGGTGAGAGAAAATCATGTGCATTAACAACACACTATGTATGAACCACACGCCAGATGACCAAAATATCGGTCGCGAATCACGGCTTCAGACTGTGTGTAATTTCCTAAACAAAATTAGCCAAGTTACCTTCAGATGATGGGGATAGACTCACCAGGGCCAGGTTGCGCGAGGAAGCGCCGACATAGAATTTAACAGATTCATCTTTCGGGAATCGCCATTTCTGCTCTGTAACGTCCCAGATCATAACATCCTTCCGGCGGACACTATAACATACAAGTTAGCTCAATATCACGTATATCTGAAGTTATTCTTACGGGAATGATGCCTTCCGGCGATGGCCAGGCTCCATGTTCTTGATCTTGGTGAAACCTCGAAGGAGCTTCGGGGGTTCCTCTTCGTTCGCAGGGAACTCCACGTACTGCAAAGTGATGAGCATCTCAGCTTGAGTTAAAGGGGGCTCTAAGCTTACCAGTTGAGCTACCTCGGAGCCAGTATGCTTTCCAGTATTAGTGATGTCAGCTGTCACCGTAGCGATAACGTCATAAATAGATTGGCCAGCGGTCTGGCCGACGAACTCTTCGTTGGTAGTTTGGATAGCGTATTTATCCGAAGATTCCTTCAAATCGATGTCGATGTTGGAGTACTTGAATGCAGTGTAAGATAGACCAAAGCCAAATTCTACGCAGTCAGTACAATAGGCATGTCATTCCAACCCATATTAGAAATTTGACTAACCAAAGCGAGGCGTAATGTTGTATGTATCGAACCACCTGTAATCAATCTTCAGCTTTTCAGTGAAGTCTGCCTGAGGCGTAATACTGTGCTCTTGTGATATGGTGTTTGGAGGATAATCCGACTCGCTTTTACCCACTATATCTGGTCAGATGAAATGTGCACGTAGCGGGGTTTGATGAGACTCTTACCTGTAAAGGGCAACTTCGCATTCGGAGAAACATGGCCCCAGAGAATATCAACCAAGCCAGGGCCTGTTTGCTCGCCAGGGTAAAGAGGAGCAAGCACAGCCGTTACATTGGGGTTGTCGATCCAGGCTTCCATGATCACTGGCCCACCAACGTGAAGCACCACAATCGTGTTGTTGCAATTGGCTGCCGTTTCTAGAATAATGTCTTCCGAGCGTGTCCAGTTTCCGATGTTCAGGTTAAGATCGTTGCGATCCATGTTTTCCCGTTGATATCTGTCTGCGAAGACGAGGCAAACATCTGGAGGAGATACCGACAGCCCACCGCCAGCCAGAGTATCGTATATCAGACTCTCGGCAGTATTATCAATGACATATTGAAGGAAAGCATTGGTTTCTCGCGCTTTGGCTTGGATTGCATCCAGGGGTGTAATCAGGTTGTTTGCCCAGGTGTATCCGGATCCGCCACCAAGGCTAAGTGTTCCATTATTCTGTAGAATTCCACAGTCACGGTATAATTTACCACACCCCTGAATACCAAGAGGATTCGGGCCCGCATCTTGGCCAATGATTGCGATGATTCGAGGACTCCGGAGAGGTAATGAGCCAGTATTCTTCAGCAAAACGGTTCCATCAGCAGAGATCTTTCGAGCTATCTCAACGGCTGATAGTTTCTGTCCATCAACCTCAGCAGATATAGTAAGTGGCCGGTTTATCATCCCTGGAATTGTAGTCACAGTGGATGGAAGAGGTTTGTCGATCTGACCCGTCACGATAAGCGGAACAATCATTCTGGTAACCATATCATCTAAACGAGTTTTTTTGATCGTTCCATTCTGGACCATTTTGTAGAGATCCTTGTCGTAGAATGGCCCTAGAATTCCACCAAAGCCCAAGCCTGGCATATTAGCGTCGAGCCCGCCTTCAACAAATGCCTGGGTTCCCCAGGTGGCTTAATCGGGTAAGTAAGTTTCTTTTTCTCAGGGTACCAGAATTTACTCACCTCCCCAATCACTGATGAGTGCCCCCTGGAAATTTAATTCGGTCTTCAGCATCTTGTTGTTAGACTCGGAATTGGCACACGAATGAGTGCCATTGACAGAATTGTATCCGCACATGATGTGTGTCACACCAGCACGAATAGCCTCAGCAAATGACCAGAGGTATATCTCGTGAGTTGTCTTATCATCGATGTTGCTGGATATGGGAACCTGTTCAGATGCAGCGTAGATGCTATATGGTTCTGTGAAATTGTATGGGTTCCTTGGTGGTCTTAGTGCTACAAACTATAAGCGGGAGAACTCTGAGAACAATACCTGAAAGTCTCCTGTTCATATCCAATGTAATGCTTTGCTAGTACCTGAACGCCCGAGTCTCGCAGGCCCCTAACGCCATGCCACGATGCAATTCCGGTACCATACGGATCGGCATACCTACCATAAAACATCAGCTTAAGAAGATATCACTGACAATCGTCACCTACCATCCTTCCCAGTTCCGACCGCCTTTGGGAGAACGGCCAAGCGGCCCCCCTTGAGAAGTTAGCGACTGGCATTACAACCGAGGAGGAGTGAAGGGTCCGGGTGAGGGTAGTACATGTCGCACTCACCAGTAATGATAGCCATAGCCACGTGGATGCCCAGATCGTAGAATTCTTTACCAATAGCCAAGGAACGCGCGTAAATCAAATCCACATCCCAGGTAGCAGCTGTAGTCACACCGGAAGGAAATTGTATGCTTCCAGGTCGAGGTCCTGCAGGGCCGTCCTGAAAACACATAGTTGGAATTCCAAGCCGTGTGACGTTGCCTGTTTGACCTGCACAGAGACCTTCTTGGCCAGTAACAAGATCAACCTTCTCTTGCAATGTCATTTGGGCAACCAGCCCTTGTGCACGCAAATTGGCTGCCTTCCATGCCATTCCCCCATCTGCGGCAGGAGGCGGAACAACATAAGACAAGCCAGTTGCAGAGGGTGTTAGCGCACTACATTGCAAGGCCAACGAGAGGCAAGTCGATAGGAGCAGCGATTTGCTAAGCATTGGAGCAATAACGTATAAATTCCAAATACTCTACAAAAAGGAATCCTTGGTGGTGTTCCAAAGACTTTTTGGCTACTAGAACTCACGGTAAGAGTCATTATTTATAGCTACTACGGAGTGGACTCTATCTGTTTAGGTTGATTCAATACCAAATGCGGAATTGTATTCAAACCTAAAAAGAATGCTCATTCAATCAGATTAGCCTTCACTTCAGAGCCTTTACTTTTCCAGAGATAGGCAAAATAGCCTATCCAGACGTATCTATAATGATTTTCCAATGATTGGATTCAGCCTAGCTTAGAGTCAAATAGAACGTAGAACGTAGAACTAATATTCAGTGTATATATTGCGAGTTTAGATTTAGAGGACCACGAAGCACTGTGCGTAAATATGGCCCGTGTGTGGGGTAACATGTTGCTGTCGCGGGGTCTTGCAGGTATCCGAAAGGGTGGATAGCCGACGACTCAGGTACATTTCCGATCGATACCTAACAAGGTTCATTCCCCCGCATCATGATGTGTATTACCGTCATAGCTATCATCCCGGGTATTATCATATTCTCGGATATTATAAGACCCTACATAGGGAGTCTCGGGTATAGTGTTAATAAAGAAGTCCTTTAGATAATACGTGCTTATCTTCCTCGATAATCTTCTGAACGTTAACGATTTATCTTAATACTGTTGCCTATCGGACCTTACACGGCCCAAGTTCTTTTAGAGGTATCGGATAATAGGTTGAGCGCTACGTGCTGGAAACCCTGCTAGCCAACCATCGTTTGCTTCTTCGCTGGCCGAAGCTTCCGGTTTCGTTTTGCAGGCACTGTTTTCCAAAGTTGTGGAAACATTTATGATCCCAGTCGAGGAAGTTGCATGCTGGCCCAACAAAATATATCCATTGGCTATAATAAACTTCTTTCTCGTATTGCTACAAAAGTCTACGCTGTCCAAAAAGGATGTTCTTGCAAATGCATATTCAGTCTAAGGTAGTTGTATTAGCGATTGTTGTTGGGATTCGGGGCACACTTAGCGTACGCCAGTTGAGTTACATATGTGTATAAAGTCCCACTTCTTTCTGCGTGACTTGTCTCTGACACATACTGCGGGAAATAGCCCTTCTAGCCTCCATCACGTTCCTTATGTCACCCGAAAATCTGACAAACATACCGACTTTGAGATGTAGCGGAAAGTGGGGCCGGCAAATAGGCGTTCGGGTTCCTGTGGGCCGATGGTCTGCAGGTGGATCCGCATATAGAGACCTCGGGAGTTGTCAAGAGTGGAATAGCGTGAAGGTTAATGCTCAGTATGAGAGAGACAGCATACCGTAGTTATGTAGGGAAGGAGCGAAGTCATATTCTGGGGAAGCCACTATCGGCTTTTAACCATTGCGGTGCCCAAATCTCGACACTTATCCCAACTCCCAATCTTCCAACAAACCACCAAACTTCTTCCCTGCCCCGCAGCCACATATCCCTTCTACGCTAGCAACAGACCTCGGAACAACGATGAAGCTCATCATAGCCGGCGCGACCGGCCTTTTGGGCAATGAGCTCGTGAGACAAAGCCTGCAAATCCGCGAGATCAACCAGGTCGTTGCTTTAGCTCACCAGCCCGTGCAGCTCGACGAAAGTATCGACTTATCGAAGTTGAAGAGCATTATTATTCGCGACTATGGTGAATACCCTGACGATGTGAAGGCCGAGTTTACTGGCGCCGACGCTTGTATTTGGTATGTTTCAAGCAGCACCCTCATTGCCGTATCAAGACTAATTACAAGACTTCGTCGGTACCTGTAGGACTGTCCCCATCACAGCCTTACGCACCAGTAAGGTCGAACTCAAGCGTTTATGCCAGGACTGCACAAAGCTCGGATTCGAGGCCATGTACGAGGCTGCACCGGCACGTCCCTTTCGCTTCATGTACTTGAGTGCGGAAGGAATAACTCGAGACCCAACAAAGAAGCCAGTAATCATGCCAGATTACAATATTATGCGAGTAGTTAATTGGGACCCTGTGATATGTTCTGGGTCTTACGCTAATGTTTCTTTTGCTAAACTAGTGCAACACGGAGCTCATAGTGCTCAAATTTCCTACCGAGAAAGAAGGAGTCGAGGTTTGCATCGCTCGGCCCGGCGTGATTGCTAACTCGTCGACTTGGTCAAGGGCTTTGGTCGCCAACCTTTTTCATATAGTCAATTTCTTCGGGCGGCCCCTTCCGACTATACAACGGAGTGAGCTCGTAGCGGCAGTGCTAAACCAAGTCATGGATGGATTCGACAAGGAAACTCTGTTGAATGCCGATCTCGTTCGACTTGGACGAAGGGAGCTGAAATTTCGCAGTATGCCTCAGACTTTATAAATCTTGGGTCAGGGCATGACATTTCCACCTTCTCTTTATCCTTCTCAACCTGGTTCTTGCATGGCCTATGGACTTTGACATCACTTCAGCAGGGATCCGAATGGGCGTTTCAAATCCACCAAGCCTAACCCTGACCAAAAGGCTTGAGGTAGCAATTCAACATCCGACGCTGACATTGAGAAAGAACTTAGGTGCCAAATTTGAAGCACTCTCCTATCCAAACCGAATCTCTGTCATTGATACCGTGTGACTCTGTCTCGGCTTTTCTGTGACTCCAAATGTCACTACTCGCCTACTGAAAAGCAGACGTCGATGGCAACCAGACAAATCAATTTTTTATCATGGCCAACCTCGTTCTAAAGAAAACAATTGATTTCGGGTTGCGGCAAGCGAATTTCTCTGCGATGCAACTGCTTCTCGTACACAGACGAACCCAGAGCATCCCTAAACAAGTAGACGTAGTTGATGAACTAGTCACGGGTGGCCAATCATGATCGAATTTCATCCGAGGCAAATCCCAGATGGAACCCCCCAAACTTGGATATTGGTCTTTGTTTTGTTGCAAGGTTTCCAACATCGACTACAGTCTGTTTAACCTACCTTAGACTTAATATCACGAGCACATTATAACATCAACTCTAGCCGATGAATGAATTTTTATTTCTAACAATTGCCTGCCGAGAGGCGACGTGCATGTGGGCGACCTACAAAATGTCATGAATAGTCATGATGACGAAGTAGAATACTCGTGGCATAAAACTAATGGACACATCTCCAAAACTAGCAAATATCCGCGCCTCCACCATTGTAAATTGCTGAATCCATATTCTATATCTAAGGTTCAATAATTTCAGCCGTCAGAATGGCCGAACGCTCCCAACCCAAAAGCCCCAACCCCGAACACCAGCCAAATGACGCCCCAGAGATGAAAGACCCTGTTCAGCCCGGGTCCTCCGACATTGACGAAAGAATGAGTACGCAGCTTACCTTAAACCATTTGACACATATGTCTTAAATTTACCCTTTTCAGAAATTCTAACACCAACTACAGCCCGGGATTATAAGGAGGCCATCGATAAAACGAATATCATCAACGAAGAACGCCTTCGCCACGTAAAGCCCCAATCCTCTACGGCCTACCGCGAACCATCCGAGGAGGAAATTGATATTTCTTGGCGGCCTGATCCATCAGGACATCCGCGGAGGACGTTCTAGATGGTTGTATAGGAGTATAGTTGGTTCCTTCTCGGTTGTTATTAGAGAATGAACGACTTATTTTTCATGTGCTTTACGCCTGATAGTATCGTCTCATGGAGCATAGAAGGCTGAACATTCGTGAGTCTCCATTAGCCTGGACTATTGTGAGATTTGAAACTGCACTAGTTATATATAAGACGCTTGGTCCTTGTAAGAAGGGTGTAGTGACCGCCTCCACATCGTGATTAGCGGGAGAATGTTTAGCGGCCAAGTCGACGTTAAATCCTACTAGTCAAGATGCGCTGACCCCGGATTCCGGGGCCAGGGTGTGCATGCAGGCGGGTAAATGCAGATTAAGATCTGGCCTGCATAGCGGGAGATCTACGCGATCTAGTTGGACGGGGCTGACCAGGGTGCGAACCTTGAAAGTTTAACGTAGTAGCACGGGCCTTCTACACGACGTCAATGTGGGGGGATGAAGCTGGAGAGACAAATAAATCGTGTAAACGTGAGGCTATCTCGTGAAAATTCAAGTAAATGCTATATGTACATGAGTCATGTTAAAACGCCGTCCCAATATGTGCAACTGTTTTCCACCCGCTCAAAGCTTTCCCTGGGCCTCCTTGGCCGCCTTGGCGTGACGCTCAAAAGAAGACACGGGGGGAGCGGAGTTGGGGTTGGGGTGGTGCTTCTTGAGTGCCATCTTGACGTTGTACTCCAAGTCGAGGGTCGCCTTGGGGTCGTTTGTCTTGGGCTTGAAGTCCACAACGAGATCATCCTTCACAGCGAAGACGGAGTCGATGGCGAGGTGGGGGTCGTCGCTGGGGTAGATCTGGTTGATGACCGTGGCGTATTCGGGGTGGGTGATCATCAGGTGGATGTGAGCGGGACGCATGGGCGATCGGTCCATGAGCTTGAGAAGGACACCGGCGGGGCCGTCGGTCGGCAGGGAGTAGGGAGTGGGGTGGTAGCAGTACCAGTTGAATTCTCCCTTCTCGTTGGAGCGGAACTTGCCGCGGAGATTGTTATCGGACTGGGTCGGGTCCTGGAAGTCGTATTGGCCGTTGGCCGAGGCCTGCCAGATGTCGAGGACTGCGCCGACGATCGGCTTGCCGGTCTCCATGTCCTTAATGGCGCCGTGCATGAAAGTGACACGGCCATTAGGCTTGGGATCCTGGATGATGCTGTCGCCGAGGGCGCGGAAGGGGGCGTTGGGGGACCAGAACGGGCCGAGAATGACGTTGGAAGTAGGGGAGACGCCGTCCTCGGTGACGATCTTGTTGGCGATCTCATCAACAAGACTAATGAAATCAATTAGCTTTCACTTTTTTTCTGGGTTTTCTTCAATTTTATTTTTGGAACAAAAATAAAAAGTGAAGTGAGATGTGAAACTTACGACTCGAGGCCGATCACGTCACAGATGCGGTGGCCTTCGTTGCGGATCGGGGTGCTGATCTGACCGATAGAGTTGATGAACTCAACGCCGAGCATCCACTCGGCGGAGGTCAGTTCAACCTCACGAGCGAACTCGTGGATGTGCTTGATCAGAGAACCCAAGACCACGCGAGCACGCTCGGGGGTGTTGGGGCCCATGCCATTGATGACAGATGGGGTAAAGGTTGGGTCGAACTGGCGTGTGGTAGACATTTTGTATGATTGAAGAGAGTTGTAAAGAAAAAGAAGTCAAGAGAGTCAGAGCGACCTTTAAGGGTCTATATAGAGCGTGGGCGACGGCATATCGTTCGGCTGGTCATGGATGTGGGGAAACCGCGACCGTGCCAAACCGCCAAAAATCCCGTTTCCACCTGCCGAATGTTGCGATCGCGCGAATCCAAGATGGTTCCATTCTGGCATCGGTCAGCCTTCAACAGCCGAGGGGCTGGTCCCCTATTATATCAGCGCGGGGTGGCCGGGGTAGCTCTTATCCGCGGGTAAGCCCCGGGATGTGAGCCCCCTTTCACATACCCGCTTTCACCGCCTTTTGATTGGTTCGGCTTTTACTTTTTCTGACCTTCCGGCTCACGTGCCGACTTTCCGAAGTCATATACCTATTGACATCGAAAGAGAGGGCATTAATACATATTCATAGATACACATCTCAAAAATTCACGGTGGATTAATATAGAGTCATAATATCCAGGATATGTAAAGTCAAAACTGCGGCGCCAACTTTCATTGATAGAAATCCTTTGAGAATGAGAAGAACGCAGCAAGGTCCTCCCTGCTGACCCCCAGAAAAAGGAGGAGGGAAGTGATACTGACCCGGGGGCATGCCATACCCCTGTCGTTGTCCCTGGTTCTGTCCCTAGTTCTGTCCCTGCGGCATAGGAGGAGGATGATGATGGCACGGAGGAGGGAAGGCTGATGATGAGGACCCGGATCCGGGTGGAGGGAAGGGCATTGTCGGCATATGAGGAGGAGGCGGAGGCCAAGGACCGTACTTGGGTGCAGGTACTTGGGGATAGCCGGTGTTGGGACCCATGGGAGGATGGGCATATTGGCTACTGGGGGATGATCCGGGGGGAGGGAGCTGATGGGTGCGGGGGCATGTTGAGGCTGGTGAGGGGGCGGGAAGTGTGAAGTGGGCAGCTGCTCATAGTTCGTCCATAAAGATATCCAGAATCGTCTTGGTTTGCTTTCACTCAGATCGTTGGTTTCAATTCATCCCCAATGGTGAATTTCTACCAAATTCTCCACGTAGTAATCTCCTACAGCAAACTCTCCGCAGTATAGCTGCTGCTTGATCGCATTTATCACATTGTGGCCAATCCTCTTCCCTCGTATCGTGCCACCTTGATGAATGAAACGGAGGGTTTGTATCGCCATCAAACTCCATTTACCGGTCATGCATCAATGCCGGCACAAGTTCCAGTTCCTTCTCAAAAGCCAGCTCAGTCTTTGGACTCCATGCTCCATTGTGACCAATTACAAAACGACGAAGGTGTGGAAGGCCTGTCTCAAATGAGACAAAATAGTCATTCCATCGGCGTGGATAATGGTAGAGCCAGGCGTCGCCCCTGTGGTAGAGCGAGGCCTCGCCCCTGACATCACCGGCTTGGAACTCCATTTTAGATGTCGGTATCGGGCAGTTGTCAAGCTTGTATTTGCTGTCCTGTATTCTCGCTCGGAATAAGATAGAACAATCGTCGAGGTAAAGTTCTTGAAGTGTTGACGAGTGCGACAGAATCCAATCGACCTGCTGGTCTTCAAAAAAGGAGAAGTGTCCCAGAGTGAGCGACTGCAAATTTGGACAGTGAATCCCTTCGAGGCTGAGTTTGGGGTAAAATCCCCAGTAAAAGTTGGAGTATAGAGACAGCTTCCGGAGGGATCCCATCGTGGGATTCAGCCAGACTGATGGCAGTATATCTGCGTAGAATTCATGCACTTCCTCTTTCTGTCAGATATTTCGCCGAATTAGCACGTGCAACTATACCTAAATAGATTTCACGCAGACTGAAGTAGGTACAAACCTCAATTTCGTCTACAGGAAGCGTAGGTTTGCATTCATGCGCAACATTCAGTCTTAGGGAGCTCATCGTTCTTAGTGCTCGCTGGAAATCTGTGCTCAATGGTGTCACGTTCTGTTGATTCTGAATCCCTAGTTCTTTCAATGGTCGCTTTAAAGACACCAGCCCCGTACCCAGCCATTCTATGATGGTTTCTCGGTAACGGTATGACTGGGGTGCCGTATGATGATAGTCGCTTATCGTGCAGTTTTTGTCGAAGCGTAGCACGACACTTTCGAGATTCGGAATTTTTGGAAGCATAGGTAGAAGCTCCTTCCATTTAAAAGGTGGCTTATGTTCATCGTGGTCTCCATCGGAATCCTAATGTGCTGCGTGTTAGCCAAACGTTGACTGCATGACAGTGCATACCGTTGCATCTCATTTTGATATCTCATTTACATAGTCGACCTCGATAGTATTGAGGCGAAGTTTGCGCACGAGTTCTTTCAGCTGCGGATGTGCTGTGATGGACTGGAAAGCCTCACAGCTTTTATCATCGGTGTACAGTGAGACCGTGGAGAACAGATTCTTTGTTGCGAAAGCGCATAGCCTGTGGTTTGTTAGCCTCAGGGCCTTGAGGGTTTCCATGTCCAACAGGGACGTGATGATCGCCAGTAGCTCTGGGGGGAGATTAAATGAGGCCATGTTTGATCTGGCTACTAGTGAGCAAAGAGAGAAAAGAAAGCGAGAGAGAAGAAAGGATCGAATTCTCTACAAACAAACTGAGAGCTAGCTGATAGCTAGGTGAAGCCTGGCAAACCAGGCATCTGCATGTGACTGTCCCAACAATGTTCTTGGTTGCAAATGGAACACATAAATATCTTTCAGGGGGACGTACGACGGGTCGCAAGACTCAGGATCCGGCTCTCCTGGCCCGGAGAAAAGGGCGAGACAGGAATAATAAGAGGAGACGGAGGAGTCGGAAGAGATATTGAAGCCGAATGACTCCAAGGTGGAGTTCTTTGACCGAGACAACACCCCATTTGGTTGGCGGGACTACACAGAGCGAATATATACTAAACGGGTAGAGTGGCGGAAGCGAGGCATGCCCAGTTCCTATATACTGGTGGTGATCGTGGAAGCCCCTCTCCCCGTGCCAGGCGGGCCCTTAAGGCAAGAGCCAGCAGAAGTTGAAAAACAACGTCCTATAGTATAGAAGGTGTGGGTTATATATATCCATGGTCAGCTATGCAAAAATAGGATACTTCCATAAGTATCTTTCGGAAATGGGTGTCAGACTTTCTTATAAATCTCCAACTCCGATGTGCTACCGAATGTGATTTCTTGCCCCTGTTTTCTAGGCATCCTTAGGCTACGGAAGTACATAAGTTCCAGGGCGCCATACCTCATTTTCCCATAGTAAATTTTTGACCGCCAGCTCTATCTGCTCATTACCAACTCCGTATAACACAGTTCAATCAGCTCTTCAAATCCAATTTTTACGCCGCTTTACTAGATAATTACTCTCCTTTAGACCTTGCCAACTCCCATCATTTGGTCCCATAGGAGTGCCAAGAGATAGGAGTGAGGTGCCAGTCCGCTCCTATAGGACTATAAACACTGTAAACACGTAGAAAAACGTGACCTGTATAAGATATGTAGAAAAGTTCAATGTTACCTGGTTGAAGCCCGAAGATATTGCCATGGGGGATGTTCCCACCTTGAATATTCTTGAAGGAAGTGGCATCCAGCCCGATGAACTTTTAATCATCAAAGAAAATAGTCCATTCGACTCAAATAGTGAAGCTGCGAAAAGGAAACAAAATGGAAGAGAAGAGGAGAAGAGATGAGAAGGAAGGATCTATCTAAACAAACTGTCGCATCGCAACCTTGTCTTATCGCTTCCTCTTGTGCCTTCTTAATAGCAACATCAGTTCATCACAGCAGCTAGTCCAAGACAAGAAGCTCAAAGCTGTTCAATCGTCCCGAGGATGATTTCATAATGCTTCTCCAAGCGTTGTAACTTTGGACTGAGCTGTGCAATGTACTGCCTTTCTTCCAACTTCCTGCGCGCTAGCTCGCCACTCCAGATTTCTATCTGGGCCAGCACAGAATATATGTCGCTCATAATGAGGGCGAATGTCTTCTCCATAATTATCTGCATTTCATCAAACACCCTTTGAGAAGCTTGCTTGACCTCGCACGCAATAGCACTAGATATGTTCAGGAACAGTGTTCCGTTCTCAATTCGGCCCTGTACCAGATCCCGCAGAGCCTTTTCCGGGTGTGACCCTGAGATAGATAAGCAACCACTCCCAATAAAGTTCAAATTGCCGCATCATGGCGGCACCCTCTACTTGCCTTGGTATGAGACTGCCTTTCGGTACGCGGGAATCATCTCTTGTAGAACGAACGACGATTCATTAGACCCCAAGGCTTTGCCACGTATTCCCCTTTTTAGCATTAGCCAGAATACTTATACGCCTTTGTATCCAAATACATATCAACATACCGAAGTTCCATTTCAAATGTATGTCTTGACGTTTCAAAACAACTCTTGACTTCTTCCGCCCTATGATCAATGCTGCGCACCATCGCATGTGGGAATGCATGGGCTTGGGAGGAAATAAGTTAACCTGTCCAAATTCCTCACTTAAACATACTTACTTTCCAAGTGGGCCTTTAAGTGTTGGAAGAGTTCCGAACTGGAGGTCTGGAGCTTTCCAAACATCACAGGAATGTCCTTTTCGAGCAAGTCCCACTGCATATCAAGCTCCGTTCGCATCTTCCAGACAAGTTCTCCGTTCCAATTCGTGCGTTTCCCATCTAAGGTCTTGTGGTCACCATTATTTTGGCACCATATCCTGTATTGCACTAAAACCCTGATATCAGCCCACGGGGAAGATCTTGTTCTTTCGGGAGTCCTCACGCCAGTGCCACTACCGGTTTATTAGTCCTATACAGAAGCAACAAAGGGAATACAATTGGGGAAATGTTTACCTTGGTCCATTCTATTCCCTTTTCGATTGCAGCCTTTTCCCAATGCCCCAGTCGTTGATCTAAAGAAAGGAATCAGTTGGGTAATATGTTTCGTGGCCTTCACGCGTACTCGAGAATGTCAGCATGAGATCTTCAAAGCTGTCGCCAAAATTCCTCTCAGTCATAGTGATCTCGTTCAGAGTCTGTGACATGTAAGCCCATATTAACCAATACGGGGCGTAGGGGTCTCATACAGAACACTTTATCTCATTCACCTTCGCTAGGTTCTCAACTGGCCTTTGTGTTGGCGACGATAACTTGGGCTTGGCATGCACGCCTATTGAGGTGAGGATACTGGGTAATGTGGTTCGAAGAAAATGCATAGCTTCGTCAAATCTGGACTGTGTGGATAGAGAGTAGCAGAACCTTCTCAATTCAGGAATCCCACTTGTAGTTACCATTCTGAGAGCAGCATCAGATGTGCCTTTTTGTCTGTACTTTTCATACCATATGTTTGATACGCAGAATGTATTCAAAGTCGTTCCTTCAAATTTCTCTGCGTACGCACTTTGTAGTCCAGCCTTCACGCGAATATTCCTGGCTCGGATGAGCATTGCTTCCTTCCTTCCAAAAGTCAACATCGATATGTCTTCACATAAATTTGGTAATCCACTTACTGGTGCTTTAAATCTTTTTTCAGTCCCCAGTTACCGTTGTCCTTTGCTTCTTCAATTGCTTTATCCATGTCATTGATCAGAGATAGAAGTGGCTTCCCATCATGAGTATAAAGCAATTTAGCAGATAGGCTCTTGATTTCGGACTACTCATCGTCAGCAAATTTCAACTGGAATGATTTCATATGACTAACCTCTGACTTAGTACAAACAACTGCAATCTGCGCCCTTTTGCGTGCCGAAGCTTCCAAGCCCAGGGGTGCATGACGCGCGATAGCGGCATACAACGATGATTTCAAGGACTGATCGGTAATTGCTCGAGAAATATTGGCGATGATAAAAATATGGTCACATCGAGAAAGATACTCTTGGGTCGCTTTGACCCGTGCGAGATTCACATCCAGGAGACCTGTGCAACGATCAGCCATGATATGTTGATCTCACGCAACAGATTGATTCCTTACCAGGTAGATCGACAAGGGCTAACCCCATTCTCAAAATTGGAGCATCGATATAAATGCTATCGAAAAGTTTAGTGCACATGAGCGATGTATGTTGTAAAGGCAGCGCACCGAATGAGCTTAGTGAATGGCCAAAGTCTATCTCGCATGAACAGACCAGTCCTCTCATAGCATTCTTCTGCAGTTTCCGCATATGTTGCCCACTTCCCGTCAGCTCCTCCTTGCGGCCAAGGAATACTCGCTGCCCACTGACACAACTGATCTAACACACGCTCAAATGCCCCATCAGATTGATCCTTCGCAAATTGTATGTTGAAATCTTTCTCATGCCCAAATGCCGTATGTAGGGAAGACCACGCCTGATCTGATTCAGTTTGGTACTTTATGGCATAGGCCATACTTTCCGAGCCACCTGCAACGTCGGGGAGAAAGATACGGCGGAAGCTCCACAAAAGCTCCTTGATATGATCTTTGATGGCCAACTCGGAAAAATACTCTACCTCGATTTTGATACGCTGTGTCTGCGATGCCTCCTTCTGCTTGTACTCAGTAACAATCGAGGTACAGGCTTCGGACAAGTTTCCCTATCCCCGAATAAGCTTAGCATAGCAATAATGGTGAAGGGACATACTATTGCAGCAATATTGGGAAAGTCAAGCAATGAGTTGATGACGCTGCTTTTTCCTATAAGATGTCAGCTAGCAAAATTCTCTCCGCTTATCACACAGTGTGCGCCCTTACCTTCCCCAGAATTTCCGAGAAATGCGATTGTCTTAACAGTCGAAAATTCAAATTGGCTTGCTCGGATCAGGCCATCCGTCAGATCAGCCGTTCTTTGTGGACTTCTTTCTGCGCCTCCAGCTGATCTTTGGCGAGAAAGAAGTTGAGAAAGTATAGTAGCAGATTGTTGAGCGAGTTGCTTCCCGTAGAGCAGACCCATCTGGAATTCTGGCGAAAAGAATAGGGATTCGGGATACTCTTCTTCCGGGATACCGGGAAGATAGAGTACTTTACCGGCTCCGGAGAAAGACGAAGGAGGCTTGGTTTGAACAGAGCCTGTCGGCGCATCTGGATGTCTGAATGTGAAAGTAGATGAAGGGAAGTACCCAGCATTATTAGACTTTACTTGTATAGGAGCAGAAATTTGCCTCGGCTCAGCTTCCACTGGTACTTCTCTCTTTAGTTGGTCCATTCCTGCTTTGCTCGACGATCGTGGGAAGACGAGAATGAGGATATGAAGGCCAGTTTGAGTGGAAAAGCCGCGGCAACCTGACTGGAAAGCGGGGGGCGTGGACCGTTCTTATATTGTCTATGTACTAGCAGGGGTTTGCAGAAAACTAAGTACTAGATGCACGGAAACACCAGGGGACCAAAAGCACACAGTAAATGGACAGATAGCCGGGAAAAAGTTGTAAATTCAAGAAGAAAGGAGACGAAGTAAAAGAGCTCATATTCTCTACATCCATGATCTTCATAATATGTATGGAACACAAAAGACTAAACTATAAGCGGGGAAGGTTTCAATGTCGCAAAAAGAAAAGAAAACAGACAAGATGCCAGGGATCATGCATCGACAGATTACCACCCACCATAGCCAACAGATAGGTACTATCACAAACCAAAAACATTTAAAAATGGGGATTGATGGGCAGGGCAGACCCCCTTGGATTACTAATTACAACCTTAGTTTACCCACTTTCGATAACGTAATCGGTAAACGAGCCTGCAAGCCCGCGGGCCAACGGGCGGCTGCTAAGCGGCGTATGTAAATGAGTGGCGCACCCCAAAACACCATAATAACTGCCATAAATTATAACTTGATATCTTAACAACAGTTATATATAGGGACTCTTCCTTGTTAACTAGTGCATTTTAGCTGATATGTAGCCTATTTAAGGAGCTCAGAGAATTTCTATGATTTAGTGTTAGGGTGCGTGATCAATTGACTAGGCTTCCGCAGAGCCCACAAAGCCCAAAGCCCAACCCATTCGTGGGTTGGGCTTTGGGCTTTGGGCTTTTTTTGGGCCCACGGCCCATCGTGGGGGCCCACTAGAGCCCATTTAGGCCCATTTTTGCTAAACAAGCCAAACATTTTAGTATCACATGATTTATGAATTTTACACTATGTTTAAGGCCTGTTTTTAGGCCTTAAATAAATGTATTAATTGAATTCGTTTAATAATATAGAGTAGTATAAAAAAGTCAAGTGTCAAGTATAGCAAGAATTTAAAGTAGGTAGTTAACCATACTTAGAATATTTGAAAGTTAGACCGTCGAGAATTTAGGCATTAAGAAATCAGGCATCAAGAGTTCAACGAGAATTGAACTTGAATCTTAGAATTGGTGTGAGATTAGTATATTCAGATGTATGAAATACTGATATTACAAAATATACTGCAGGCAAAATGAGTTATGGCGCACTGGAACCTATGTACTGCCGTATTTATGCAAAAGGGTGGCGGGAGGTTAGCTTGTGTTGATGGAAAATCCCAAAATGGTGGGGATGGTTGTCGCTGCGGGAGAAGGCACGGTGGCAACCAGGAACCCAGCAGACATGGGGCTTCTCCTTGGAGTGGTTCGATTGATCGGCTTCACACAGCATCCAAACATGTATGCTGTTTTAGATTTGTTTGGTTTTCTGGGCAAAGGTTGCTGATCAACCGAACAGCGTGCAGAGACTCCATTGGCCAATTCTCTTGTAAGCCTTTTATACCTGGTCTATCAGGCATCAATTCACTTTCCGGCAGGTATAACCTGGATCGACCTGACGGATATGTCTACTTTTGCTACTGTTGCAGCTTAGTCCTCGAGAGGATCATTACTATCTTCTTCTTGACCAAGACGTCAGCGCCGACATGAACTGTATATTTAGTAATGACAAGGCTAAATTCAATTCCACAAATTCTACTTCATATCCAAAGATCATAAGCTACCCACAACGTAACCGATGCAACAGAAACCTTAGTCCTCAAAACAATCACCAAGCCAAAACCCCTTTCTGAGCTCCACAGGCCAAAGACGCGCAAATCTGCTCATCCTTCTCACTAACATCTGCATTGCACGACACCTTCGGTTTCGCCGGCCAGATCTCCCGCCCCTCGGCTTTCTCACGCCCAAAGTGCTCCGTGATGACTTCGCGGACTGTGGTCTGGAAGAACAGCGGCGCCTTCTCGTACTTAGGGTGAAGCTCGCCACTCGTAAAGACATTGCGGTCGAGGTTCCTTTGTGCGTTGTTGCAGAGAACTTTGTCTTCTTCCATGACGCGTGCGTACATATCACTTATCAGCTTGAAGTCGGTATCGGAGGAGTTTCGGTTTCTGTAGACTTCGTAGGCCATCTTGGAGCTTTTTGCGCTTGAGGGGAGGAATTTCTGGATCATGATAAAATGTGGCCTATGTATGTTAGAGGATGTTCTATTTGAGAAACAGAAACTGGGAATACTTACGAGACAACCATGGCAGACATGGGGAAGTAGTAAGTACTGGCAGTGTAAAGACCCTTCTCGATCTGTTCTGGTGTAGACTCGCAATGGTGTTGGATGTGTCCGTCTTTGAGATCGCTGTCGAAAGATTCAAGGTTGAGGAATTCGGGGATATCGGCGTGTGTTGTAGGGCAGTGGTAGCATTCGTTGAAATTATCAGCCAGAATCTTCCAGTTATAGTCGCCCTCGAGCGCATAAGCGTGGTCGAAATCGTAGTCGTCGAAGTTGTAGGCTTTGTACCGTTCTTGCTTGTCGACGTCCTTGAAATGTTCCTCCCATGACACCTCCGGAACTACATTCGCATCCATATTGACCCAGATAAAGCCATTGACGTCGACCTTGAGGTGGATTCTGAAAAGACCGTTCTGCTCCTTGTCGAAGTTGCTCAGCTCTTGGTATTTCGTAGCTTTGGCGAGCTTTCCATTCAATCCGTAAGACCAGCCGTGGTATCGGCAAGCGAGGATTTGGGAATTCCCGGATCCCTCTTTCTCAACTACCGGGTACGCACGGTGTCTGCACACGTTGTGGAATGCATTGATGTCGCCCTGTCGGTCGCGAGTGATGATGAAGTCGAAACCTGCAAGCTCGTAGCGGAGCCAGTCGCCGGTGTTCTTCAACCGCATGCTGTGGGTGATGAAGAGCCATCTCTTTGAAAATATGGCTCGGCGCTCCAGCTCGTACATCTCCGGTGAAGTGTACCATGATGCAGGCAAGGCACGAACGGGGGATGCTTTGGTTTCTTCCTTGGAGGCAGGGGTGTTGAAGCCAAAATAGTTGAACATCGAAGCCATGATGAAGTAAGAAGAAGGTGCAATGGAAAATGTCCTCAAGTGTTTGTTGTTTTACTGCTCATCATAAAGAACCCTTTATATGCTCCGAGACAATTTGATATCAGACCGGTAGCCATTCCTATACTCCGATCATATGAACGGCCGTGTTCTAGTTTGGTAGGGGCAACCCATCGCGAGGTGGGTTGATCTTCCAAAAACAGACATCGAACCCGCCAACCCGCCAACCCGCCACCATAGTACTACAATCCGTACTACCAGCCAGGGGATTTGACGCCATGATGGGATTATTGGGCCAAATGTTATCAAACCCGACATGTAGTCGGGCAGGTATTCCGTGGTCCGCGCTACAGCGGCTTTGTTTGGGGGTTAGCAGGCATACTTCGAACGCCGGTCGGGTCATATGGCCAATAGATATTCGCATAAATAAGCTGCACGAGCCCTAATTTTAGAGCTATACTGCTGATGGAGTCACGAGGACTCGGGTTCCTCAAGTTGTGGAGATGAGTGACTCCCACTACAATCATAAAACAAATACTTTCTACCAATGTGTGTAGTGATGCGCATAGTCCTGGCTTCCTCATCTTGTCTAATGTTTTGACAAAACAAAAAAGATGAAATCCTCAGTCTTGGTTAGATTTGGAGTCAGAGGGGCTTATTTTAAGAATGAGTAGGTAGCTATAGGAGATTGAGGTGATACATATCCACTTCTAGTTCATAGACAAGGTGGCTGAAAAGACACGTCACAAGACTTTGTATGACCTACAGGTAGTTTGGCAAATATTTAGGTATTGTTATTGTAAACGAGATAAGCTTAATATAGAACATATACCAAGTCAATAACAAACAGAAGTTGTCCGTCGTGTTACAAGCATATATATACTCTGACATTTCTTGGCTTTCCCTTTCCGTTCCAATGCTCAGCCTACCGCAGTCTCTAACCTCCAGTGCGCCATATCAAGGAGCCTCGACCAGAGCTTCCACCCGGCATTTCGCTCAGCTGAGTGGCTCTAAGAAAAGCGACGGCAAGCGTCTCCACACTACATGAATCCACTCGATTCTCCCATGCACTATTGCCGTGCTCGTCCAACCAAAGCATCTTGATCAAACCCGTCTCAATAGCCTCGCGGTCTAGTAGATATACCACAACCTGGAATTCCAGCTCTTTAAGAGCTAAGGTCCTCTCTTCCTCGTCGTCTAGCGCCTCATATTGGGCCCTAATCTCATCGTCATTCAGGCACGACCGGTATTTAAGGACACCTCTTTCGTCATCGATGCCTATGAAGTCCGTGATACCTGGCACTCGGACGAGAACCTGTCGCCAATGATCTGGCGTTCCGTCGTCAAAGGCGTAGCGGTTGCTGTCGTCGAGGTACCGATTAGAACCGATATCAGCGTCGATCTTGCCCTCGGTCTTCATATCCTCGTATTTTTCGCTTAGGTCCTTATCGTAGCAAGTCCGAAGCCAGATTGTCTGCATTCTACTTTCTTCATTTGCACAAATATTTCGCTCATGGATTGACTGGTGAATGCTCAAAATGTGGATCTGCTCATTTGTGAAACCAGGCTGAGCAAGGACCCATCTCGCCCTATCATGATAACTCTAACCGAATGTTAGTATGAAGTCGAGGAACTCGGCTAGGGAGGGAGCCAGACAAATCGATCAATAAGCGACAGCTCTTGATATTTCCACGCCAATTGCTCCCATTGCTGGGGGCTCTCCTTTACCCCCTCGGGCCAATGTTCCTATTCGATTTGGCATTGACATAAATCTTCATGCAAATCTCGGAAGGAGTGGACGTACTGTGACATAATAATCAAATGGCAAGGCACCGTACTGGGCTCCCTCCTCCAAGACTTCTTCTGGCATTGTAAAAAATGTCTAGGGAATTTCTTGTGGCCAAACAAGGGTATGTTTCAAGGTAAACGAGTGTGCAATGCGGAATAAAAGGCAGAGGACGAACCCCCGCGCTAATGAGTTCCCCAAATGCGGGCTGGTCTTGGCAGATACATTGGCCCCCGTTTAGTTACTGCAGCTCCTCGATCAAATCCAGCAGGGGCAATCTTGGAAGTGGCATCATCTATGGCGCTCCCACTTTACATTCCGCTTTGTATTCACACTCCCGCCGACCGATATCACCTCCCACTATCTGATCAGCCACTCAGAATTCAAATTGAAGGTCCCCTTATCGCCATACAAAGGCTCCTACCAGATATCCCGTGGCGTCTGGGTTTTCCAGACCGAACATTCCCACAACTAGCAGGCCCGGAGCTAGCTCGATTAACGTATCAAACCATATACGGACGAGATATCTGTCCAGAAGTCCCGGGTGATCTAGTGGTGCAGGATGAGTACTTGGGCTGAATACCAGAGAAGCGTCCGGATGAGTAAGTATATATCAATCTCTCCTGGTGGAAGCAACTAGCTCTGATATCCCTCTCCTTTTAATTTGATTGGGCTAATTGACTATTATGGTGTAACATTTGACCATCTTGTTCCAGCTGATGATATCAACCCTGAGGTGTTACAGATAAACATTATTGAGATTGAGGATGATAATGGTATTTATGCAAATACATGGCTTTCCTTTGCAGTAGATCCAGCTCAGTTTATTGGGAAGAAGGTACTAGCAGTGCCGAGATGTTGCCAGAAGAGAAAGGGAACACAGGATCGCTGGCGAGTGAATGCACTTGTGGGCCAGAGGGTTCACGGATTGGAATACGTAAAGGGAGCTAAAGAATGGGAAAATGTAGCTAAAAAAGAAAGCCTAGCAGAAGGTCAGAAATCGTACGGAAATTGAGAACTTGAATTGATATACATGCTCCAAGCTCCATTCTAACATGATTGAATACGCTAGGTAACGCCAAACACTGGACTCGTCTTGTCTTCATCGAACAGTAGCCTTTCTCCTCGTTTCTCTCTCTTTTTTTCAACAGAAATTTAGTCGTATTCACATAAGATCATCTTTGGAGGAAAGTAAATTGCTTTCTCGGGCCAGCAGATACAATGTAATGTACACACGCACTGTACTGTCGCGATCTACTGGTAATTTCCATGGAAGTAACTTTGAATAATGTCATATTGAATGTTCATTCCAGCATCAAGAGTCTCGCTTCTTCGCATCGCTCAATTCACCTCGCTCTTTCACTAAATTCGAAATCGCAGTGCCAGTATCACCTCCTAGCTTCGCGAATCCCTGGATCACACCCTCACGGTCCCCGGGAGGCTTTTCCTGACTCATTTTGAACTTGCCCTGAAGCTTGGTGATTCGGATCTCAATACCAACAATGTTCTTCTTCAGGAGGTCAGTGTACGACGTAGGCGCATCGGACACCTCCCACGGCTGCGGTTTCTCGCCACCAGTGTACCCCATAATTGACTTCTCGGTATGCTGCGAAAGATCATGGAGTTGCTTGGCGAGGTATTCGCCGGTCTCGGGTGTTTTGGAATCATAGTATAGCGACATCTTGCCATACGCCTGGACGGCGGAGTAATTCCATGTGGGCACGACCTTCCCTGTATCTGGCTTTGTCTCGACGTAGAATTTTGGAGTCACGTAGTGGTCGTGCTTGCCATTGAAGAGCACTAGGACGTCGTCGTCGAGCTCGAGAACGTTCGGGGGTTTGTTATCCACAGCCTCCATCATCGTCTTGACTTGCGGATTCTGTTTGGCGATGTGCGCGCGGAGATAGGGATCCGTCTTGCCTGTTTCCTCTGGGAAATCCACCACAAATGGGGCATGGGTGCACTGTAGGAAGTCTTGCTGGGAGGAGTTCATGCCGGTGATCAAAACCCCGAGGGGGTTTTGCCGGATGAAATGGAGCAAGACCTCTCTGTCTTTCTCCTCATGAGCGCTTTGAAAAAACATTTTGAATAGCAGCTGGGAGGTATGTGTCAGAGGAATATGAAGTTGGAAGAGAAAGAGGCGTGAAGACAATTATGTACAACAGCCCTGGAGGAACAAAATAATGACTCAAATCAAGCCCCCCCAAAATGTCACATTATCGTATCGTTGATTTGTTATCGGTGGCCAAGGATTCGTCCACTAAAGGCATGTACAACCGGCACCTGCAGAGGTCCAGCGGGGCTGGGAAGGCGCAGGAATTGACATTTCCCCACCGGATTATCAAAAGCCCGAGAAAAGGCCACGAGAATTCAGATAAAATTCAGATTATGTACATCAATCATAGACAGCGAAAGGCACTTGAGATTCATGATTGCGCTTCAAAAAAAAAACTTTGTTGTTATGGAAGGACGGGAGCAATCTAACCCCTTTTAGCGTTCATGTACACCAGATTTGGTATAGCGCAAACTATTAGGAATATGAAAGGATTCGATTGGCTACAACAGCTGACGACCCATTTTAATATATACATAGAGAACTTAAATCCATACTTTAAATGCTTCATTCATTCGCTCAAGCCATGCATAGAGGATCTGCCAATGACATCAAGTCAATTTACGAAATCATCTCTACGAGAGCGATTTCTATGCCTATCTTCGACCTAAGTATGTATGTATCGAACTAACACCTCGAATCATTGATTCTTAAAGTTGCCGATGAACATATCGTTATTATTTCAATTGCATTCCCTGACAGCCAATTCCTTTCAATAGGAAGTCTGCCTGTGCATATTTTGTAAACTGCTTACATCGGAAAAAACAAGGAAAGGTGATCAAGAGTCGAAGATACTGCGAGCATGATTCAAACTTAAGAAATAGCCTCTGTCCATACAGTCAATTTCCCAAACGTGTGTTGATTGTAACTCCTAGTGCGTTGACTATGTATGCCCTACATTGATGGAACGGTCGTCTAATAACATATCACCAAATCTCTTTCTGGTTGGTCCGCTTTACTTCAGTCGCTGCAAGAGCATTTTGGCAGACTTCTTGTAGTATTTGGATCAGCTAAATGCTTCGCTCAATCTCTCTTCTATTGTCATCGTATAAAAGTCCCGCGTTAGGGCTCTCAGTAAAGAATGCCGGTCCTGGATTTGTAATTCATGATTGATGAGTTCACTCTCCAGCGCTCGAAAACGTCCCCCGAGTCGCTTGACATACTCTGGCTTTAAAGCATCGGCTGTGATAATTCTAGTCATAGTCATATGCAATAACATTTTGAGGGAGATCTGTTTGTCATGCTAAATAGCAGGTGACTCGAATCGCTCGTGCTCACGATACCCTTGGAGAGTGTCGCACGGAAGTCATTGCGAAGCTCATGCGTGAACTGGAGGATTCTAACAAGCTTGATTGCCTGCAAAGCTGCAGCTGCTTCAGATTCGTATTCATTTCCGGTGATAATCTGTTTGAGGAACTCGAGCGACTTTTCACTCTCCAGGAGAGTGGATTTTGAGTCAGCAATAGCCTGGGCCGCCTCCGCACGTCTGGCAACGAAGTTGTAAGTCAACGTGCAACTCTGCGCCGCCAAGTTCAGAACAGCGATCACATTTGCGGTTAGGCTTATGGGAAACATGATATATAATATGATGTTGTGTGCTATGCTATGATGAAGGACATAGGATCTTTCTGTTTGGGAAACCATGTGTAGCCCCTGTATTTGGAGTCAGAACGTCCCAACCTCCTGACAACTCCCCCGACTCTACCTTGGTAGTGCGGGGCATAATTTGGCGCTCATGCTATCCAATTGGGACTTTCCAGTTCGGATCTTAGTATGAACCCCACCTTTGGGACAGGCGAACGACAAATGGTTCCAATGAGGTGTTACTCATATAATTCGAGGCCATCGGGGAGTGCCAACATAAGGGAAGATGCACGAATCTACCTACAGCCCGTGTCTCTTACTTGTGGTCAACGCAATACAGATTCTGTTATTTACACATCCTCTCCAAAATGCTCCAAAGATCGTCCATTTTAAGCTCACTAGCGTTGTGGATACCGCGGGAGCTTCAAAGCGTGGTGTAAAGTCAATTCTAGACGGGTCATGGTCCTCTGGGGGTTAAATTGCGCAGACCTAAGAAAGACTAAGCATGCTGTACACCCTAATATCAGGACTGACTTGAGACAGTCGTCTCTTGTCTGGTGGTTTTTCCAGGGACCAATCCGACTTGGTTTGAGAACTTGTCGACGGAGCAACGCATAATGGGGAGGCAAGCACCAGACCTGGGCAGGTAGCACTGCCGAGGGAGTTGCCGCTGATTTTAGGGTATGTGGTGATTAGATATGGGAGTTAAAGTGATGATAAGTGAGATTTAGGTATCCTAATAGATTCTTGGGGCAATACTTGGGGCAGTACTTGAGACACTGCTTGAGGTACGGCTTGAGATACTACCAGCAGATGTGGGTATCAACAGCCCAATTTTGTAAGAGAATCATCCATTCAATATATAAGATGGGGTGATAAAAGGAGGGTATAGATTGAACATCGCAGGAAATCGTAAAGAAACCATCATAGAAGCCCCAAGGGGACTAGAACCAAAACTCCAACGCTCCAAAACAGAAGCCACCTGCATAAAACAAAAAGATGCGCCGATTTTTGATTGTCAGCAGGTCGCGAGACCCCCGGCATATAACAACCGAATCCCAATGACTATCAGTCAATGAGATGAGTAGAATATCAATCAAACAGAGAAACAAGAGTATGTCCCGGTAAGCAGGCCCACGTTCAGAACAACATGAACGCAGCTCGAACCGCACATCTTCATATATTGACATCGTAATTCGTTGGAATCATCTTTGTCATTCGTCATAGAACATTACATTGATGCAAGACTAGCAGATCCTGCAGCCGCAGATCCCCAGCGCAGTTTTCGGAGTCCGCCGCGGACCGCTTCCTGGCCACACCCTGTTGAGGGGCGAGGGCCAGGAACACCATCTCCCATCATTCCGATCTCGGCCCGCCCGACCTCACGGCCGATCATATACCCCGCGGAAAAACTGATTGCGGAGAATAGAACGACAACGCCGGCGCTGATGACCCATGTCATGATCGTGGGGCTGACAGTCGTTGTTGGATCTGTCATGCTCACGCGACGACTCTTCTTCGAGACAACACCGCGGTCTTTAGGGGAACTTGAACGACGCTTTGCTTTGGTGGCAGCTGGGTCAGATGACACCGTTGGTGCTCTTAAGTCTCTCTGTGGTGCTCCTATGGAAGGACTTGTTTCTGGATACTGCGGCGAGGATGACGACTCTTCATCGCTGCTCTCCTCTCCCATAGCAACTGATGCACCTACTAGTCGGAATGAAGCGGGTTGTCCGCCTCCTGAGGGAGCAGCTGGGGTAGGTGATGATCGATTATCATTCTTTGGAAGACCTCTGGCGGCAGCGGCACATGAAAGAAGCGTTGATAGGCTGGCACGAAGGGCGGCATCGTGGTCGGCATGATGGGATGGAGAAATCATATTGTAAGGGCTGTGCTGATATTGAGTTCTCCGGGATGATCGTGGGCTAGGAAAAGATTCTCTTCGAGAGGCGCGGTGAGTTGAGGTAGACGGCACATTGGGTTGAGAACGGCGTGCACTCCATCCAGGTTCTGACGTTGCTGGCGGGTGTGTGAATATATTCGGTTGAGGTACGAAAGGTGATGGGCTTATTCCCATCCCTAGGGCAGTAGAAGTATCATCTTCATCATCGCTGGAGGTAGCGTCTGAACTTGATGATAGCGGTGCAGAGCGGGCAGATAATGTAGCCGGGAGCGTTGGGCGGGTTATATCTTCATTTGAGCTGCTAAGAACGCGATCAGACTCGCTTTCGCTCTCCTCATATTCCTCCTGGCTGCTACTGGCTTGGCTAGCATCCCGAGATGCATAGTCCGCCTGGGCCGTGGTGATAGCAGCAAGATGTTGTAGACGGCGTCGCCGATTGCGACGCTGATATGCTCCCGCTTCTCCATGCTCGACCTGTAAGCCGGTGGTGATTATGTCTTCATTCGTGGCAGCAGAGGAGAAGGAGGAAGAGGACGGTTGCGAGGAAACGTCGATCCAAGAATCTATGTAGTATCGTAGTGAGTACATTATGGAGACGTGAAAGCGATTTTGTATGCATATTGAAAGTTCATCGGCAGGGGAGGTACCAGTCGGATTATAAAAAGGACTACATACCCTCTGATCTCATGGGTGCCGCACCAGATGGCTGTGGCTGACCGTTATCTCGAAGCGGCTGATGTCCATCGCGCGTCATCCGACTTGCGGCTCTAGGCTCACGCACCTGACCCAGCAGGTCGCAGTGATTTGGTTGCATGGCCAGAGGTTCGAAGGAATATGAGAGGAGAATATGCGAGAAGAGGGTATGCGAACAGAAATATAGAAGAGAGGGGATCAGGCCACTCTGGAGTACAAGAGAGCGGTCAACGTGGGGGGGAAGTTATCTTATCAAGTGGAGTCGACGATCACTGATGCCCAAGGCTGTTTATACTCCTTTCTGCTCACAATAACCAGGAGTTAAAAGGAGTTAAAACGGAATTAAAATGGTAAGATTAATCTCGCAAAACAGAAAAGAAGAGTGATAAAAGAAAGATGAAAAGATCCCCCAGGTGCAAAGAATCGAAATGATGAGGTGATCAGCAGACTGAACAGGTGATTTGCAGCCCGTGACGAAGCACAGGGCGAAAGACGATGCGAGGGGTTGTCAGTGGTAAATGTCGAATATCGTGGTTCTTACAGTAGAATGTTAGGATTTAAAGAAGCAGCAGTGAGACCTTCGTTCATCAACACTTCAATCAAAGAAGCAGAAATCAATGAACCAATGTACTTGGGCAAAACAAAGAATATTGCGGGGAAGGCGGCATCCAGTGGCAATATAGCCGATAGTTACACAAGGCAAGAAAAACAAAAGCAGGTTAAGTTGATCAGAATGAAAATTGAAATGACGTATCAAATTTAAGATACCTGAGCTAAGATCATATTACACATAATTAAACACGAACTTTTTTCTCTCAAAGAAGAACCTGAGACCCATGGACACCAATATGTTGCGAAATCAAACGTATGCAGGAAAGAACCTCAAATTTAGAAGGTGACCTTGGTACCCTTGTACTCAGGGATGCTGCCCTTGCCCTTGTTGAGACCACCACGGCCGCCACGGTCGCCGAAGCCACCACGGCCACCGCCGCGACCACCACCACCGCGACCACCGAAGCCACCGCCACGGTCGCCGAAGCCACCACGGCCACCACCGCGACCACCACCGCGACCACCACCACCACGGCCGCCGAAGCCACCACGGTCACCACCGGCAGGACGGGGAGTAGAGAAGTCAAGACGGATAGAACGGCCCTCGAGCTCGTGGCCGTTGAGAGCAGCGTGGGCAGCCTTGGCCTCATCGATGGAAGAGAACTGAACGTAACCGAAGCCCTTAGGGCGGCCGGTCTCCTGCTCAGTGGGGAGACGGATTCCGAGAACGGAGCCCTGGGCGCCGAAGACCTCGTGGAGAGCATCCTCAGTGGCGCTGAAGGGAAGGTTTCCAACGAAGAGAGTGTCGGACTCGGGGCTGGTCTGGTCACCGTAGGAGCGAGCACGATCCTGGGAGCGGTCGCCACCCTCGGGCTTGGCCTGGCGGGGAGCGGCGTAGTCGAGGTTGATGGTACGACCATCAAGATCGGTACCCTTCTTGGCCTCCATGGCCTTAACGGCATCGGCGGCGCTGTTGTACTCAACGTAGCCGAAGCCACGGGAGCGGCCAGTCTCGCGGTCGGTGACAATGCGGACACCGGAGAGCTCACCGAACTCGGAGAACTCACGCTGGAGCCACTCCTCGTCGACGTTCCAGGACAGGTTACCAATGAACAGGTTGGCGACAGCACCCTCGGGGACATCCTCGGTCTTGGACTTCTTGGCAGTGGCAGCAGGCTCCTCATCAGCCTTGCGCTTCTTGGAGACAGGGGTCTCCTCGGAGTCAGAGTCAGAGCTGTCAGAGTCGGAACCAGACTCAGAGTCGGAAGAGGCCTTCTTGGCCTCGGACTCAGACTCGGACTCAGAGTCGGAAGAGTCGGAAGTCTCGGCCTTCTTCTCGGTCTTCTTGGGGGCGGGCTTCTCCTCCTCAGACTCGGAAGAGTCAGAGTCGGAAGAGTCGGAAGACTCAGCCTTGGCAGCGACCTTCTTCTCGGTCTTCTTGGGAGCGGGCTTCTCCTCCTCGGACTCGGAAGAGTCAGAGTCGGAAGAGTCGGAAGACTCAGCCTTAGCAGCGACCTTCTTCTCGGTCTTCTTGGGAGCGGGCTTCTCCTCCTCGGACTCAGACTCGGACTCGGAGCTGGAGGAAGCATCCTTCATATCCTCATCGGACTCAGACTCCGACTCGGAGGAGCTGGGAGTAGGCTCCTTCTTCTTGTTCTTCTTGGAGGACTTCTCCTTGGAGGCGACCTTGCTGGCAACGGCCTTGCTCTTGGCAGCGGGGGACTGGGAAGCCTTGGTGACACCGGCATCCTTGACCTTGTTCAAGGCCTTGCTGGCCTTGCCGGCCTTATCGGCACCCTTGGTAGATGTCTTGGACATATTGAACTGTAGAGGAAAGATGAAATGTTAGCCATTACTCTTATATAAAATGGAGGGGACTCATGGAGAGGGCTTGGGAGGCTGGCTTGTAGCTTGGGTAGGGTGGCACATACTGTAGTGACAAGTGAAATTCTTGTAGTATGTGCGGCAAAGCCCACGATCCCTCAAAGCACCCGTGTTTTGGATGTGTAAAATGGAACAACAGCCCTCAGAAGAACTGCCAGAAGTGAACTAAATCACAGCTGGACGTTAACCCACTACCCACGGACGGACAAGTTTTCAAGCCCACAAGCAACAGACAGCCAATACTGTCTAGAATATGTAACCCACGAGGAAGATGTCCCACAGAGCCCACAGAATAGATGTATGTCAAGCCCACAGCCCTCAGAGTGACAAGAAGCCCACAGAGTATCCGAAACGAACTTACGAGATAAAACCCACGCGACTGCGTTAGTTAGTGTGTAGAGAGATCTCTTGAGTAGTCAAGAGAAGAGATAAATAAAGCAACCTGAAACAGACTGCTTTTTTGAAAGGGGAATGAGAAAAGAAGTAGAGAGGATGGGAAGAAGAAGAAGAAAAAAGTGAAGAGCTGGGGGACCATCAGCTCTGATAAGGAAAATTTTCTGAAAAAAAAAATCGGAGGCTGGCAGAACATTTCCGCTTTCCTAGAAAGGTTAGAGCAGGAACTTAGTCCTAGGACAATGTGGGTACCTGTGTAGTGGCTGTCGACGACTCATAATCGCATGTCACTTGGCGGTGTCTTCTACTTTTGTCTACGGTGTACCTACTACGTCAATTCCTCTGCTATTACTCTACTCGTTCAGACACTGTTCGACTTTTATTTAGCTCGATAGTCAATGGGAAGCTCAGTTCCCATTTGGCCTTTATCGTGATGGCCCCTCCGACACCCTCCTCGCACCGACCCCGCAAGAAGAGAAAGGGTGCGATCTCCCCCGGCTCCAACAATAACCTGATCTTGGATCTAGGCGAGGGGAAGCAATCTCCAGCATTTCCACTGGTCTCATTTCTGTGGGCTGCTCGCGCCGGTGTGTCTCAATGGCTGATTCTCCCACTTGTCCTCATGGCCGTTGGCCTGTTCCGATGGGCTGTGAGCTTATGGGGTTACTCTGGTATGCGACATTGTCTCTCTTTGGAGTTGAATACAACAGTTAACACCTTCTAGGCTTCCAGATTCCCCCGATGCACGGTGATTTTGAGGCGCAACGCCATTGGATGGAAATTACCACACATCTGCCTTTGGCGAAGTGGTACACATACGATCTGCAATACTGGGGTCTCGATTATCCACCATTGACCGCATATCACAGCTGGCTACTCGGAAAGATGTATATACTCCTCCTGCTATTCGTTGTGGAATTCCCATGGTCTCCTGCTGACCTGTCGGCCTGTCTAGTGGCTCCGTTTTTGATCCGAACTGGTTCGCCCTGGACGCCTCCCGAGGTTTCGAGGACCCCCGTTTGAAAGTATACATGCGCGCCACCGTCGTTGCATCAGAATACTTCGTGTTCATCCCGGCCGTGGTCAATTTCCTCCGCCGCTACACCCGGATGCAGGGTGTTCATGCATGGTCTGCCTCGATTGCTCTCGTGGCAGTCCTCCTTCAGCCAGCGAACATCCTCATCGACCATGGCCATTTCCAATATAACACAGTCATGCTGGGGTTGGTCGTTGCGAGCTTAGACGCTATCCTGGCAGGGCGTATGCTCTGGGCTTGCATTTTCTTCGTTGGTGCACTGGGTTTCAAACAGATGGCGTTGTACTATGCACCTGTCATGTTCGCCTATCTTCTCGGTGTCTGCACATTCCCTCGGATTAATATCCCCCGCCTCGTGAGCATAGCCCTCATCACATTAGCTACTTTTGCTTTGCTGTTGGCCCCTCTTATGGTTGGTGCCTCCAATGCCGAAGCTCGAAAGGCATTTGCCTCTTCTCCGGTGCCGCCTATGTTGCAGGCACTTCCTATCCAGATGGACAAGAACTCTGTTACATACGGGCTATTGTTCCAACTAACGCAGATCATTCATCGGGTGTTCCCCTTTGCACGTGGGCTCTTCGAAGACAAAGTTGCCAACGCTTGGTGCGCCATTCACACTTTCTACAAGCTCACTCGCTTCGATGCTACGTTGTTGCAGCGAGCATCGCTCGGTGCCACATTGGCGTCAATCATTGTTCCCTGTGCTATCATCTTCCGCCACCCCCGAGCCTCGCTTCTCCTTCCCGCTCTATCTGCCGTCTCCTGGGGATTTTTCTTGTTCTCTTTCCAGGTCCATGAAAAGAGTGTGTTGCTGCCTCTGCTACCAATGACCCTGCTACTTGCTGGTAACGGTGGACTGAGCAAAGAAACACGCGCCTGGGTGGGCTGGGCCAACGTGCTTGGCTCGTGGACCATGTACCCCCTCCTTAAGCGGGATGAGCTCCGCGTTCCTTACATAGTTATGACTTTGCTTTGGGCCTATCTTCTTGGCTTGCCTCCTACTTCTTTCGAGACCTACCGAAGTCGGCCATCCCCGGAAGACTCCAATGCCCACTTCGAGCCCAGCACTCTTACAACTCTCCTACACTTTGGTTTCTATTTGGCCATGATTGCCTGGCATATCCTTGAGGCATTTGTTCCTCCGCCGCCCGGAAAGCCAGATCTTTGGGTGGTCTTGAATGCCCTGATCGGAGCTGGTGGCTTCGGAATTGCCTATCTGTGGTGTATGTGGAAACTATATACCCAATGTCGCCAGATCAGTCGGCAGGCGACCGAGGAGGAAAGCCAGAAAAAGAAGCAGTGATTGTTTGCCTAGGTGGATGGCTGTATGATTTTCAGTGATACCCCATATTATGTGATTATCCAAAATGAGGCAGTAGAGCTGCTAGCTTATTTCATTAATATGATTGATTCGATTTGAAGTTCGTTCTTTAAGAGGTGAGACGTTGTATTGGGGAACTCTTCCCGATCATCTGGGGTGCCAGACTCTAGATTTCAATATGTAACAAACGAGCAAAGATGTCCTAAAAACAGACGATATCCAAAGAAAACAAGAAACTCCCGCCAATGAATGCTATGATACAATGTTGTATAGTGATAGTACAGCCGAGGCCATTGAATCAGAGATTGAGTCTAGACCTTGAAGCCAAACCCGGCCATGCAAGTCTTGTACTGCTCGATCGTGGCCTTGCACTCCTGCTCAGGGTTGTCTGACTTGGAGAAGAGCATGCAGTCATCGCGAGCGGTCTTCTCGGGTTTGCAGACGCAGCAGGGCTAGAATTAAGGCAGAGTCAATCGCTTGCGCTTGTTGGTCCGGCAGTATCGGGTCATACCTTGGGCTTCTCGGACTGGGCGGGCTGAGCGGGTGCTTGCTCGGGGGCAGCGGCGCTTTTCTCTGTAAAGCATTGTGTAAGCGAGGGTCAAGGTCTTCTCTGATATGTATGACTGGCGCATTGCGCAAGTACTCGGCCCGGGAAAGCGGAAAGAGACATTGGTATTTACCATTTGAGGAACCGAAGAGCCAGGACATTGTGATGGATATGTAGATTTTCTTGATGAATATTTTAAGTAAACGAAAGACAAAAAGTGAAAACGTTGGAGCACCCTTGAAAGTGCTTACAAGTGACCTGACACCATCGGACATTATTAATGGCGAGTGTAGCGCAACTGGTCCGTATGTTCCGCCGTAGTTATTATTTTTTTTGTTATCAACAAACTTGCCTCTCCGGGGTCGCCTCCTTTTCTGCTACACTACAGACTTGTTTCGGTTTTTTCTTTCTATCCTTGGGTCTACTTGGGTCTCCTCATTGCTGGGATATTGTCTGCCATTGACCTCACGCTTATCCTATTTTATTTCTTTTTCTTATCTCAATATCCCACTTCAACAACTACCCCGCCATGGCCCCTCCCAAGGTCTTCTCCCTCGAGGGCAAAGTCCTCAAGCTCGACAGCGCAGAGGACATGAATGCGCACATTCAGCCCTTGATTGACAACACCGACTACACTGAAATCCGTCTCGGTGGAAACACCCTGGGCATTGACGCCTCCAAGCGCCTGGCCGAGGTCCTGCAGACCCAAAAGTGCCTCGAAGCTGCCTACCTCGACGACATCTTCACCGGTCGTCTTCTGACGGAAATCCCCACTGCTTTGAACTCGCTCCTGAACGCCATCCTCAAGATCTCGACCGTCCACACCGTGAACCTTAACGACAATGCTTTCGGTCTCAGAACTCAGGCCCCGCTTATCGAATTCCTCTCGCGCCACGTGCCCCTCCGCCACCTCATTCTTAACAACAATGGACTCGGCCCTGCTGCCGGATCTCAGGTCGCCGATGCGCTGTCAAAGCTAGCTGAGCGCAAGGAGGAAGCTCGCAACTGCGGCGAGGAGGTTGCGCTTCTGGAGAGTGTTGTCTGCGGACGAAACCGCTTGGAGAACGGCAGTATGGAGGCATGGGCTCGGGCCTACAAGGCCCACGCCGCCGGCCTGAAGTCGGTTAAGATGACACAGAACGGCATCCGATCGGAGGGTATCTCCCACTTGTTGACCCAGGGTCTCTACCACGCACAATCCCTGGAGGTTCTGGATCTGCAGGACAACACTTTCACCAATGTGGGCTCCACTGCCCTGTCAAACGTCTTGTCTGGCTGGCCGTCTCTGCGCGAGCTTGGTGTCGGCGACTGTCTGCTCTCTGCCCGCGGCGGTGTGAAGGTTGCCCAGGCTTTGGCTGCGAACAAGAACCAGAAGCTCCAGACCCTGCGTCTGCAGTACAACGAGATGAAGGCCGAGGCAGTCAAGAGCTTCACCCACGCAGCCAAGACCGCGCTTCCCAGCCTCCGTCGTATCGAGCTTAATGGAAACATCTTCTCCGAGGATGACCCTAACATCGTTGACCTGCGTGAGCTTTTGGAGGCTCGACAGGAGGAGCATGGTACCGACGAGGACCCCGAGGATACTTGGGGTGTTGATGAGTTGGATGAACTCGAGGAGGAGGATTCGGAAGAAGAAGAGGAAGAAGGAGAAGAGGAAGAGGAGGAAGAGGCCAAGGCTGAGAAAGACCTCAGGGATGCCGAACTTGCCGAGGAAGAGAAGGTTGCTCAGAGAGATGACAGGGATGTCGATGACCTGGCCGATGTTCTGGGCAAGACGGCTATCTAAACCTCTGGAGCTGTTGGACAATTGTCACTTCCATCAGTACCTGCCTTTCATCACGGACGAATCATGGATCCAATGCCACGTTGATATCACCAATGGCTGAGAAACCCGCGCCGGCTTAATTGGTGTCCTCCTGGCCATCCATGGTCCCTTTCTGTGTCCACGGCCACTCACAAGCTTCGGGTATGAGGATCTGACTGACGACGCTTACGCTTTACCTTCAAAAAGACCCCATTTGTTATACCCCCAACCTACAATGATGAAACCCTAGCTGCACATAATTCCCTTTGCTTTGATCCATATTCTGTTTGCATAGCCATGGACCCCCTGTGTTTTCTTCAGAGGATACACCACCATATAGATGGAATACATATCTGGATAAGCAGTACCACTCGAATGATCATAAATTTAGAAAAATAAAGAAGTAGGTGTGTATACAAAAGCTGCATATAAATTGAAAGAAAAAGGATTTCCGAAAATGGAAACCAAGGCTTGGCGCAAACCTCGGACATCGCAGCTCATCAAATTCCCTTTACCTCGTCGCCGTTGACATATTCCATCTACCATACCTGTCACTCCTGGCGCTTCCGTTGCCGTCGCCTTTCCGCTCTTTGTTTTCTTTACAGGTCCCATCTTGCAACACTATACCGGTGACGCGACCGTGAAATATCCCCAGGTGAGTGCCCGCGCAAAACACCCCTCACTACATCTTGCTTCTACACAGTTACCCATTATTTTTTCTGGCGCAATGTGTATAACAGGTCTCTTGTCATTGTTTCCAAGTTTCTGTGTTTGTTTTTGTCGAGTTTCCGAGAGCAAATGAGGGAGAAGGTGGACACGTGCAAATTAACAGCGTACCACCATCTCCCGCATGAATCTCTATGGCGGGGTATTTCAGGAGCCATGTTTCGTGTGACATCTGTTGAGAGCATGTGTGCTCCATGATCCGTGATCCCAAAGAAACAATTGTGCTTGCCGTAGTTCTGCAGATTGCGCCGGCATCCGGGGCTTATAAAGACCCTGCACTCTATGCTTTTGAGATGACATGCTGACCGTTTGTGGCTTATAGGTCTGCTGAAACTTTCTTACCCGGTCCTCCATTGACCTAGTCAAGCACTCTGATCGCGATATCCCTCTACCCCGCACAACATGGCGATGGACGCCAAAGAGATCGAAGCTAAGGCCAAGGCCTTGGGCAAGGCCGCGACATCTAACGAGTCTTCAGCTGTGATTCTGAGCCTCCTGAAGGACATCCAAACCGGGGTCCGGGCAACCGAAGACCTCCTCCGACAGACGCGCATCGGAATCATCGTCAACAAGTTCAAGCAAAGCAAGACTCCAGAAGTCGCACGGCTCTCCAGCGAGATTGTCTCCAAGTGGCGGACCGAGGTGAACAAGCAGAAGCAGGGCGGTGGAACAGCAGCCAGTCGTGGCTCGAGCGGCTCTCCGCGACCAGCGCAAAATGGTACAGGAGTTTCCACCCCAGCCGCTGCTACACCCTCGGACAAGGCGTCGAAGCTATCTGTTCCTCCGGACAAGCGAACCTGGAAGGCTGATGGAGCGGAGATCAATCATACCGGGAACCGAGTGCGTGACAGCTGCACAGGACTGATGTACGATGGACTGTGTGTTGGGTCGACCGAGCCTCCGAAGGTCGTTCTATCGCGCGCTATTGCAGTGGAGATTTCCGCCTACAAGTACCTAGGACCGGAGACGAAGGAGGAATACCGCACGAAGATCCGCAGTCTTTTCCAGAACCTGAAGAACAAGTCCAACCCGAAGCTGCGAGTGCGCGTTGTCGAGGGAGAGATTACCGCTGAGCGATTTGTGCGCATGACGCACGACGAGCTGCGCTCTGTTGAGCAGCGTGAGGCAGACGCCAAGATTCAGAAGGAGAATATGGACAAGGCTATGGTTGCGCAGCAGGAACGCAGTATCAGTAAGAGTTTGCAGTGCGGCAAGTGTGGCCAGCGCAAGGTTACCTACACCGAGGCTCAGACTCGTGCGGCTGATGAACCGATGACCCTGTTCTGTACGTGTCTGAACTGCGGCAAGTCCTGGCGACAGTAAGCTCGAGGGACGTCCGAGACAGCTGCGGGAGCGGAAATGTATTATTCTTTGGGACTCGGTGTTTCTTGCTTTCTATTTTTCCTTTTCTTTTTCTCAATTCTTTCTATCAAGCTCATGCTATGGAAGCCGACGCTGGAGTTCTACTGTGGGCCTTTGATTTATGTCTTCCTCTACATCTGTTTCCCTTTCGGGAGCGAAGCTCATCTGGGCAAATGGATGGAAAACCGTCGTGAACTATCTACCAAAATTCAGATATCCCAATGATTGATCCCAACTCACTCGCTTATACATGGTTGTTTTGATACTACTACATCCATGCATGTAAACAGTAGATAGTTATCAACAAACACGTCATATTTATGTCACCACTTCCACCACTTGGGCACGATTGAAGGATATCAAACCCGCATCCATAGTCCTGGAGCACCAATATCCCTCCAATAGCACATCTACATCACCATAACCACCAAAATCCCCAACATGACCACACGCGCAGACCTCCTAAAACCAATCCACGCCCTCTTCACAGCCCTAACAAACCCAACCCCAACCAACCCCAACGACCTCCTCTCAGCCTTCACAACCTTCCCAGAACCACTAGTCCACGAACACGGTCTCCCGCAACTAGCCCCATTCCTCGGCCGGCCATTCACCGGCCAAGATGGAATAGCAGCTTACTTCGAGCTCATCTCCTCCCTGCTCTCTATCAAAAGCATGGTTTTTGAACCCGAGGAGACCTGGGTGGTTGATGCGAGCTGCATGGCTGTTTCGCTGCGCGGGAAGGCGACGTTCGTATGGAAGGAGACGCGGCAGGCGTGGGATGAGACGTTCGTTTATCGTCTTAAGCTTGCCGTTGATGGTGGTGGGTCTGGGTCTGGGTCTGGGTCTGCGGAGACGGGGAGGTTGGCGGTTTGTGAGTATCAGGTTTGGGCGGATACGGGCGCTGCGTATCTTGCTAGGCTTGGGAGGTTGGGGGATTTGATAGGATCTGGGGGTGATCGTGGAGAGGGGATTTATGTGGATTTTGATGCGAAGGATGGGACGGGGTAGAACGATATATATATCACCAACAGCCAAGATATAGCACGGGAGGTTGTGCCAATCATAAGGAGAGTGTCATTATCTGGGAGATTTTCTAGATAAGTCCAGATGGTAGAATACACTTATTCTATACCTCCCCTCTACCATCCACATTATTCTATAAGACCGAGGGCAGTCTATCCCTCGAAGATGCTATGGTTAAGCTCAACCCCCAAATCCTTGGCCATATTCTGCATCTGAGCCTCGAGCTCATCCTCCATCCCACCACCCAGATGCAAGAACTGGCGCACCTTGGTGAAATAGAAGAAGATATCAGTACTAAACAGCACGACACGGAAGATAAAATGGCGACCGACGTTCCGGATCTTCTCGGCCAGCGGCAGATCCGGCGACTCGATAAGCGCACGCGAAGCCCAGATACCAGTAATCTTAACTCGGTTCACCGGCGAGCCCAGGAACTGGTTATTCCCTTGGACGATTCGCAGATTGCGACCGATGAAGATCAACTCCCGAGGCCACTTGGTTTCATCGCCTAGCATATCGCGGATCGCCTTGCGCATCGCCTGTTGCATCTCGTAGTGTCGCTCTGCACGCTCCGACTTGCTTAGTCCATTGAGACCGCGCTGTGTGGACATGTCCCCGCCACTGTAGGGACGCATCAATGTTGCTGATGCGAAGAAATCTGGGTTGTTCACGCCCCAGCCCTTAACAATCTCGCCCAGCGTGCGATTGTCGAAGGTGAGGAGGGCTTTCCAGAACCGCGCGTATTGGTGTCGGAATCCAGGTTCCATGTGGATGTACAGGCCGTGGTCGATTAGAACCAGCTCTGGCTCTCCGGACGGCTTGCGGCGGATGAAGATGTTGCCCGGGTGCGGGTCGCAGTGGACGTATCCCCACAGGAACATCTGGGCAGAGAATAGGTCTACCATAGTCGTCATCACGTCCTTAAGTGAAAGTCCCAGTCCGCCACGGTTGTTGCGGCCTCGCCAGTAATCGCGCTCCGGCTTGGTGATTGATGCGCGCGGGTTTCGATCCGCAGAATCCGCCTGCGGCTGGTCGAGCGGTGTACCGTGACAGCCTGGACTTCCCTGGCGCCAGCCGCCGCGCCAGGGCCGCGTGATGGCGTCTTTGTCCCAGAGCCGTACGCCTTCTACCCATTCGGCAGTCATGACGCGCTTCGAGCTCAGTTCGCGGTATACACGAGGAATATACACGCGATCGCGCAGACGGGGTTCAGCGGCCACTAGCTTGGCCATGTTCTCCGAGTTATCTGCTTCATTTACGAAGTCTGTTTCGAGCGATAGTCTCTCACTGATATAGGGAACAAGGCTGTAGAAAGGGATGTCGAAGATCTTGCTGTAGATAAAGGTCACGACTCTATTTGATTCAGTGTTAGCATAACTTCCTCTCGCGGCTCGGACTCGGACAAACTCACTTGAAAGCCCAGAGATCCCATGCCAATTGCTGCACGATCTCCCGCTTTTGAATCTTGATCGCGACCTCCGTCCCATCCTGCAGGCGAGCCCAGTGGACCTGGGCAACACTTGCACTGGCTCGGGCTCTTCGCTCCATCACGCCCTTGTCGGGTGCTCCCGTAAACGAGATGCCGAATACCTCCTCCGGCGACTTGCCAAAATCCTCACGGATGACCTTCTCGATATCCTTCCAGTCATTCTGAGGCGCATCGTCAAACATGCGGGAGAACATATGCTGGAACTCAGGGGGCAGGATGGCAGATTGCATCGCAATCGCCTGGCCTATCTTCAGGTAGAGACCGCCATTTTGCCTCAGTAGATCCGACAACCGCTCTGCGTTGCGGGCGTGCACGGCAGCAATAGAACTGGCCAGTGGCGGGTGTGGGCGGAAGTTGATTTTGTAGTCGAGAGCGACGAAGAGACCGAGAGAAAAAGTCCGGGCTGTTCGGGTCAGCGAGGATGCGTAGAACTGGCTGTCGATGCCGTAGGCGACGCCCGTTGCTAGTGAGACGTAGATGATTCGGCGTAACCATTTGATGGTTCGTTTGTAGGTCTTTGCTTCTGTGGGTTTCCCTAGGGAACTTGGTGACGGTGGTACGAAGGGTTGGAATTGGCTTGAGTGGGCATAACGGTGCGGCCGCCATATTGACGGACGGATGATGGTGGGCCGCAGACAGCGGGGGAACATCGCGTGCGCCATATGAAGTTGTGGAGAGGCGGATGCCTAATCACTGCATTGCGGTGTTGGCAATCAAATCGAGTGTGATCTGAGATGAAGGCAAAGTGGTGAGTAGTGTCAGGTTTTAAGTGTCAAGTAAGCCCTGGAGATGTTCGGCCTGTCGTCATCCGCGGAAGCTCCGCGCGGAGTCGGCGTCGGAGGAATTCAGCGATGCCATTGTTGCCTACAACATACACTGTTACTATCCCATTTCCGTGATATAAAGTGAAGTCGGTATATAGTTATGTGATATTAATTACATGTATAGCACTATTTACAGTTAAATCCAGATATAAATCATAATTCATCATGGTCATTAGGCCCCAAAGTGTCACACACTTTCGCATAATCCCTCATATTCTGAGGAATCGTAGTATCCCACAGTTCATCACTCTCCAAGAACCTAAGTTGCTCTTTACACGATTCCTCGGAAGCCATTGGGATCAAAGCAGGAAGATGTTTGATCGAAGCCTTGAGGAAATTGCGCTTGAAGCAGTTGCCAAACCCAGCCAGAGTCTCCGAATCAGAGCAGATATGTACTCCGCCACCCAGCATTGGTCCACAGCTTTCCTTGATGTTGAGCGCAACATCATCGCCCATTTTCAGGAGAGCTTCTTCCTTGTGGGGTACATTCATGCGCTGAACCAGGCTGCGAACGGCGGGGACGAAGGTGTTATTGCGCGTCCATAGATCCCAGTGCGGGACGGTCGGCTGGCATCCAAAGTCGCAGATTTCACTCTGGAATTTATCGAAGAGGTGGCCTGGTCGGCTAACCAGCGCGGAGACGACTTTGAAGCATGATGTGCCGAGGGCTGTGACGGGGGAGAAGAGCAGGACGAGGACGAGGAAGAGGCGGTCGAGGAAAAAACGCATTATGTGAGATAGAGAGGACGAGAGGATGAGGAAGAGAAGATCCAGATCAACCGAGATCTTCTTGCAGTTTCAGGGGAGAGAAGTGAAAGCTGATTTCCCCCGCATTTGTGGAGAACTCGGAACTTCTGACATTTGACATTCACAGACATTCACAGACATTCACAGACATTCATATTAAATCTACAAATGGATTTGGATATTAGCCATGATCCTTTCAGGTATATCTTATATCCCCCTACTCAAGCCCTGAAAGCCTCTAACTATAAATATAGTGACGACTCTGTGGAAATGCCCATAAACCTGCAAGAGGTAGACTCTCTCGAAGCCATTGTTATCATCGACAATGAGCTGGATCCGCTCTCGCCCCCAGCCCCGGATACCGTCCAAATCTCGGGGAATCTGGGGTCGATTGCCATGGGCTCAAAGCATACACTAACAGACCGCGGGGAAGCCTGCAAGGAATTAAGGCTGGCAGATGTCTGCTGCGCAGCACATGGCTTGTCGATTCTGGTGGTAAGGCGATGTTCTACCATTCGTCTCTTGAATGCGGTTTCGTATTAAGCCTATTATAGACTGCCACAAAAGGTGATAAGAAGCACGCTATTCTCTTCGATGCAGGTCCTGAAGAGGAGGCTTGGGAGAGAAACGTGAAACGGCTGCAACCAAATCTCTCCTCCGTGGAAGTGATTCATCTATCGCATTGGCATCGAGACCACTCCGGTTCGTGATTCCGAGCAAAAAAGGATACATTGGCGCATATTCTCTTCGGCTGTTCTGACATACGCGTAGGTGGTCTTCTGCAGGCAATCCGCATGATAAACGATGCCAAACGAGCCGAGAGCCGCTCTGAGGACCTCGTCGCGGACTTGCACCCAGACCGACCGGCCTATAGGGGGTTTGCTCTGCCCGAGCATATCATTTCACTCGAGGCTGACCCTACCTTTGAGGAGATTGGAAGTGCAGGTGCGGTGGTCGACAAGCGGAGCGAGCCACACACCGTACTTGATGACTTCTTTCTTATCTCTGGGGAGATTCCACGAGTGACGCCGTACGAGACAGGTCTGAAGAATGCAGTGCAATATGACCCTGATGAGAATGACTGGTTCTCTGACGAAATCATCGTTGATGAGCGTTCTCTCATCTGCAATCTCAAGGGTATTTGCATCCTAAAACCCGCCCACAAGCTTATTGAACTAACATGTTCTTCAGGAAAGGGACTTGTTGTTTTCACTGGATGTAGCCACGCTGGCGTAGTCAACACCACCAAGCACGCCGTCGAGCTCACGGGTGGATCGGTACCTGTTCATGCCGTTGTTGGTGGATTCCATCTCGCCTCAAGCGACGCAGATCAAATCCAAATCACAGTAGCCGATCTCAAACGGCTCGATCCTGCTGTGCTCATGCCGGGTCACTGTTCGGGCTGGCGGGCCAAGTTTGCGATTGAGAAACACATGCCCGGGTCATTGGTGCCCTGCACCGTAGGATCAAGAATCACATTCTGATTTCTGTTTTATTGGTTTCATCTGAAACATCAATACTAGTTGAAGAAGCTGTTCCTTACAGGCTCATTCTCCACGTGGACGCAGGGTCTTGATGCGAAGCCGCATGGCATGGGTTGCTCGGAGCAACGAGTCTCATCAAGGGGCTATCTCGTTATCGGCTCGGCATAACTTGTTCTGTTGATCGGATTCCGATTCCTGATATCACTCTATCTCCTTGCTGCATTTTCTTGCGATCGGAAGAATGCGAGATGGGTGCAGTTGGCTATTTCTAGACTTATAATAGTAAGCGTAACAATTCTAATGCTAATGATACTGGCCAGTTGAGACACATACAGACAAGCGGCGTAGGCATTGATGCTTCTGAGGCCTGGTTGTAGCGACAGCTTCTATGGCAAGTCCTGGATATTATATATGTCGGAATAACAATTGCAATTTATTTTGAATCAAATAAAAATTCGAGAAATTCAGAACCGCATGAGGTCTGTGGTTGAAGAATCGAACCTGATATATATTTACATCCAACAGCAATTGTCGGCCAACAACATGTATTTCTTTTCATTGCATTTGGGCCCGGTTGTTTAAAATGGCTGCAAGTTATATAATACCTCGCATCTGTTGATGCATTTTCAATATATATATGTTCTATAAACCATGCAGAGTAGATGTAACCTCTATCAAGTACAGCTTTAATTGATTAGATCTTACAAACTTATTCTCAACCATTTCCATGCACACCTAGTTCTGTACACACGTCCAGATAAGACAAAAAGCACATCACCAGCGACAAGATACAGATACGATACAGTGTAACCAACAGTGCAGCAACTACACCCAAGGACGCCCGAGGTCAGCAGGACTAATTTTCCACCTCTCCGTTGTGCATCGTTTTACAGCCAAGATCCCTTGGTAGTAAATATCTACCGAATCTTTGAGATGCAGCATATAGATATCAACAAAACAGTCAGTCCCGTCTTGGCCAAAGAAAATCCCTCAGCGACAGAGTAAGCCCAAGCATTGGCATATCGACATGAACAAATGTAAATGTGCCCCTGATAGTGCCACACCCCTCACAGGCGACACCTCCGATAAGAAGCACGTCCCTAGATTTCACATTGCTACATACTGATGTGCATTACTCTGTATGGAGTACTCCGTACTCTACTCCATGCGGAGTGCAAAGTACAAGCATGCACACTGCCCCCGCCAAGATGCAAGCACAACAAGCATTACCAACAATCACCCTTGCGCTTGTTGACTCCCTCTCCTCTCCACCCCGCCCCACGATCACCGAAGCGCGAATCCATGACCTCACGCCGACTAGAAAAAAAGGGGTTGGTCAGAGGCCAAATGCTCGCCAAGACGATAATGCGGGAGGAAGGGATGCACGGCGTGGCTTGGCGTCGGTGGACATGTACAAGATGAGGGCGATCAGCAGATCAAGGGAGGGGGGAAATTCCTAGCATGGTGTTTGAGGCGATAAGCAAGAGACAATTGACATCATTGAATGACTTTATCGCATCTTACTTCGTATACAAAGTAATATTGTAGAAACATGCCAAGACTATATTTGAATAGCGTCGGTCTTCTTTTTTGGGCGCCAAGATTGATTGTCGAGAGGAGACAGGGATGAGACGCAACCCTCGGGATTATTTGCGCGCATTGATTTTTGAGACTTGTCCATGGTTCCTGGTCGCTAGTTTCTCTTCTCTTGGTGCTATTTGAACACATGCCTAGGTGTGATCTATACTATGAAACATACGGAAGCACTCCGTATACTCTTCCCTTATGGGGTAGGTCGTATTTGACGATGCAGGTCATCGAGACTCCGATTCCCATCGGACTATTGATAGTCCAAGACAATGAGAACAAGGATACAAGTCGATCATACATCCCGTTCTGACCTCAGACTCTCATAAATGGGCAATGCCCAGTGTCGATACAGCTTAGCCAAGAAACTCTAGTGAAACGAAGTAGTGAAACTCGAGGGTAATTGCTCTCCCGTTTCTGTTGTTGGATCTTGGCTTTTGCCTGTCTCTCGTCGATCATAGAGTTTAATCCCACATTGGTGCCATCACGATGTTATTTGTCCACTCACCGCGACGAATGCTATCTATAGACAATAATAACACACTGCACGCCAGGCAGCATGTCGATCCCCCAGCATCCCCACGAATCTATCCCTGTCTTGCTTGGCATGTCCGGACAAGGTATCCCAGGACAAGTACCCGTAAGACACGGAACACCACACTGAAACGGTGTTTGAGCTATATTATGCAGCTTCGACTCCGCCCCCGAGATTTACATCAGGCACCGGCACAGATTGATATTCGGCATTGACCGGGGAGTGTAGCGGTGGCTATGCAGATCTGCCGACATGTGCATACAAAGAGAGAGATATATCGTAGCCTAGCAGGCAGGCTCATATCTTCTTCTAACAATAGTGACAGAAAGTAAATAGCAACGACTAAACTTCATCCAATTCGTCATACTCATCATCATAGCCTCCGATCCTGGAGAAAGCCAGCGGGTATCGTGAACACCGCCGATCACTTGTGCCCGAGGGGCAGTGACATCCAGTCCAAGACGCAATACTGTAACGTTTAATTCGGTCTGTCGAAGCAGTCCGCGCTGTGTGTTTCAATATTGTATCGATATAACAAAGCCAAGAGGAAGATCAATACTCCGTACATACAATTACTGAGTACATCGTCGCTGCAGCACGGGGAGAATGGGAGCGTGTGCATTGTAGACTGAACTGGTTTCACGCACAGGGTAGTTCGGGATACCTACCCTACCCATCACGTCACTTGCACGGTACGCACTATGCTACGAACTACTCGACTAGGTGTATTACCCCGGAGCCATACTAAACAGGGTAATGATTAGGACAGTTATGTAACTATGTCGTATGTTGTACGTGCATACTTGCCTTGCGTCACAGGGGGAAGAATAACAAAGTGACCGCATGCGCATGTCTTTACACTAATTTGTTATTTTCCCATCTAATGTAGTTAGATAGATAGCACAAACCCTTCCCGACACCGGATTCAAGTCACGCCAATCCTAGCAAATAATGATGTGCAACCGCCCATATGCGGGCCAGTAGCAAGTGCGGAAAATATCCCTTTGCATGATTCCCCGAAATACCACTTGCCAGTTGTGAGGGTTCGTGTCGGCGAGTGTGGGGTGTTTGTTCTCCTGTCGATCACAACCGAAAGGAGAAGACTATCAAGCATGCGGTCTGTCTTGGGGGTGATCTGGTCTCTTATGGGCTCTGGATTATTATTCGAGGTGGCGTGAGTCGCCTTTGTACTCGTGGATGGTCTGGGTGTTTGTTTATTCATTGCTTTTTTGAGTATCGCATGGTAGCTACGGAGTATAATGTATGTCATCATTGCTATTGCTATCCTGGAAAAATTTGTAAATAGAAAGATTTGTGCGTGATTAAACAAGCTACCCGGTATAGTATATTTCTCCGTGCAATCTGCATGGTCAATCTTAAACACCGTTTAAAAGATTCAGATTTGCAGTTATTTCGACCAAAGTGTTAAACTTCCAAGCTAGAGACGGGGAGTCGATCCAGGATGTTGACCATTGTTTGTTTCGTTTCGGCGGACTGTGCGTATTGGGGCCGTGTCCGTAGGTGATTACGAGGATCTGATCGACACAGGGTTTGTATGCAGCCAAGAGAAAGGTGTAACATAGCATACGATCTCGACATACGATATACTCCGTACTATGCACACGATCAACTGGAAAATAGCTGTGTACTCAATTCAGCTTCCAAGGTTTGTGAATAGGGCTGATTCGGTCAACGAATTTTACGACTATTACTTGGTGGCGTGCAGGAATTGATTCATCCATGAATTAATGATGAGTAAACAAAGGAAAGGACAATTTACCCGGTGTACGCGGAAAAATGAAGATGAATATCCTTGGAAGATGTGAACCACAAACGAATCAACAAGGAAGAGTTGGCAAGCAATTAAAATTCGATATGTAAGCCTACAAAGTAGTAGAGCACAGCTCAGACGCACACAATCTCAAAAACCGAAACTGTGACGTGCCGAATTCCCGCGTGCCGCGTTGCCCGAGTCGGGGTCGGAGTTTCGTTCGACGCGGGATCACCGACACTGGCCGAGTCTGCACCTCGGCAAGAAACCAGACAACACAGCCAAGACCGAGAGGGGACCGACATAATTCTTAGTCGCTGGTCCAATTATGTACCTTGAACTAGAAACCTCAATATTCGGGGTCTTACCTGCTTAAGGTAATGTAGAGCCATTCCTGTCTGAATGGGCAGTAGGCTGGAAAGCACAGACACGCGGGGCTGGTCCGAGGTACGTATGGAGTATTCGTTATTGATTCCATAGGGTTCGAATGGGCTGTTCAATTGGAATAATACGGAGTACTACCTACGTAGCTAGAGCCCTGGAGATCAAAGAGAATGCCCCGGTGATAATCATTCTCAAGCTATGACCATCCCACACCCCGGGAAAGGTACAGTCATGTCTCCCCGATAGCCGCCGACTCTGGAGATTACTCCGTACAATAGACTTTGTAAAGAGAGGGATATTTTTACATTGCATCTAGGCTTCAATTTCCATGCGTCAAACACGGGTAGAGATACATATTCCTCGTTTCAAAAGACTTAAAGCTCTCCTGCAGGTGCGGGAACCATATGGCGCTATTCCTAAATAGGCCTTTGGGTGAGGTAACACCCGTGCACGGTACCTGGGTACATGGTACTAGACTTGCGCTATATTCAACCCGCTTTTTTTTCCTTTTTTTTCCAATTTCTCCTCGGCCTTTATTTCTCCATGGGCAGTCAAATCCTGGGGTGACCAAAGCTGGGATGGCTTGGCGAACCGGGCTTTGGCTAATAACAGTTACGGTGGTACTTTGGTTTCCTCGATATATTTATTCAAGCAATGCACAGCACGCATTGGGCGAAGTGACAAATTGATCCAAGTAGCGCTGTCAGACGAAGGACGGGACCTCCGCGGACTGTTGGCAGTTTAGTCAACAAGAACATAATAATGTGAACCCTTGTCGGTGTGAGAGTGAAATGAGCTAGAAAGCGACGGAAAATGCCTCACGATCTGAGATCGGCAAAACTCCACGGAGACCAGTCTGACCGTACAAGGTACGCGAAGCTAGGCGTACTATTATACACCGTATGTGGTAAGGTATACTCCGTAATCAAGGAACGATTTGGCAGGCGGGCGATCATTCTGTGGGCCCGCCCACCGGTGAGGGTTTGATTCAGATGGTTAGAGCTCTTGCAAGCGTATTTGGGGAATTCTGATTGATGGACGGAGCTATGTCCCCATCGCACTACTCGCGCTACTGTAGGTACACGGC